TATTCTATCTTTATTTAAATGAGTTTTGCATGTTGTTTATTTGTCAGGGCTGAAATTTATTGATCATTTGCCCATGTAATGCCGGAAGCTCTATATTTCTGAATGTAAATGATCTGGAAATGATTAGAGTGTGGTCGTACAGGAGGCCGATGTGACACTTGCATCATGTTAAACACAGAGCCTCCAGAGAATCGTTCCTTACAGCAGATTTGTGGTTTTCCAGCACGACCGTATAGTGTACAGCAGTATTAACACTTTAGAATCTGATTAACACCATCCGTTGTCTTCAGTGCGATTAGCACTGGTATTTTGGTACCAGTGAATATTTATGTAATTACATTTCCAATGGTTTCTGTGGCCCCAGTTGAATATTCTGAGCAGGCAAATAAGCATAAAGGGGCATTTCAAAACACAGTACCAGATGTAAATGTGTACCTTAAAATATGTACAGTATTTGATCAAGGGCAGTAGTGAGTGCTTTTTAATGAGTTTGACCAGTGCTCGACTGTAATTGGACTTCTCACACAGTGTGAAATGGCTGACTCTACAGTATTCTTCTTAGCTCGGCCCCTTTGTTCTTGTATTAATTATTTTTGAATTGTACATTTGAAAACCTTAGCAATGCAATGCAGACATACTAGGCCAAGTTCACTTTTGTGGACCTTTATTGTTACAAAATGTCAAGCGTACACAAGGAGCTGTTTTAACTGTTATCTGCCAGACACAATATAGGCATGACAAAATGTTTTAGCAAGAAACTCCTTTAGGATCACCGTTGGGAGTGTAGAATGGAATCTGTGTAACTATTGCTCGTTTAATGACACAGTCACAAAATTGCCAGTTGTAATCTGCAGCTGCCTTATGTTGCATAGAGTGAAACAGCATGGAAACATGTCATACAGGCCTTACAGTTTTAACCCTTGACATTACCAAAAACAGAACAACTGAATGCACTAAGTGAAGTGAATTAAACTAATTGCTAAGAACAAAACTTAACCAACCAATGACTCCCATTTTGGGGCAGAGGTAAGTGGGGGTCTCCTTGGGACTGAGCTGGCTTCAAGGCAACGGGTAACGTGCTTGGAACAGGATGTCGGAATCAAGTCAACCAACCCTCTATGGCAGTCTCAATAGGGTAGCCCTAGCTGGATGAGCAGTAAGAAGTTTCCTAGAAAGTGTTCTCAATTCGTGCCTAATATTCTCTGGAATTAGGCAATTCTCCAGGGAGAAATTGCACATTCCATTCCAGACTCAGGAAAATTTCCTTACTTAGGTGACATGCATTTGCTGAACTTTGCTTGGTTTGACTACTCTTAAGCAGGTTGATGGAGTTCACCTGGTTGATCAAAAAAACAACATTACCTAGATGTGCCTATTTATATATTTTTTAATAAATTTGTTTTCTGAAGGAATCTCAGATGATCAGAGAACAGATAGGGAATAGAAATGTGAGTGTTCACTGGTAATCGCTAACCACAGCCGTGGATCAGAGATGGAAGCAAGTTTCAATGGAGCACAAAAGCAATTTGTACAGTGTAATCTATAAGGAATCTCTAAGAAACAGAGGTTTGATAGTGGAATAGCCTGTCCATAACGATTCAAACTGTGATGAACCAGTAGTTAATTTTTAGGAGTAGCAAATGACTTTTCACACTTTAGCCATATGAAATATTACATTGGAAAAATTGGTATGCCATGACAAATATTGCTTAGAAGCTTCAGTTTTCTGATGGATTTCTGCATTTTCACACCATGCATCTGTGAAAAATGCTTAAAAAAAAATTGTGTTTGTGATGGAGAAGGAGAAAGGACCTAGAAACAATCCTGTAGCCTGACTGAATGCAGGCAGCTGGACTAGTTTCTTTTTTTATATCTTCCATTTTAAGAAGCTTCTCCCTTTCAACAGGCACATTTCCATTCCATTTGCCTGCTAAGAGAGTGAATAGCACAGCACTACCAGTACTACTCTAAATAGCCATAAAGAAATATATATGGATAGCATTGATTTCCTCTCCCTGTGAGTAGCAGTGTGGGCATGCTTTTGACATCTCCAAACCAAGCCGATTTTCCATGGGAAGGGGTAATTAACTTTGATCTGTCTGTACTGAAATCATTTTATGTGGATCACCATTCTCTAGTTCAAGCCTAACCACTTGCATCTTTCAGTTTAGTTACCAATCCCAAATAGTTCTGCACATTGTGCCAGGAAAACAAGAAGTAGAAGTATCAGTAGATTCAGGTGCTTCTTGTCTGTGGGATTTAACGAAAATCTTTATAAGTTACAAAGGCAGAAATGGAGTCAAATGTTAGCGCCCTAGCAGACGCACCATGTTTAAAGGTCTGTCAGAATAACTTGTACTTGAATCCCTGTCATCTAAGTTGACACTCCAAGGAATTGCTGGGGTGTACTTGTATTGTTTGAGGTGTCGTCTGCTGGATGAGACCTTGAACTGAGGTCTCACCTGCCTGGTCAGGTGAATGTTAAAGATCCCATGGCACTATTTGAAATTAGAAGGGAGTTTTTCCTAATGACCTGCCCTACCAACTTCATTCATTTCATGACTGTTTATGGGCATTACTGTGTGAAAATTGTCTGCTGCTTTGGCCTACAAAATTCTTCACAGTAAATTGTGTGAAGCACTTTGAGGTGTACTTTTGATGTGAAATCCAAGATTATTATGATTTCTTCCCAGGACCGAGAATAGCATTGGGAATTGGTACATCAGTTCAGTGCAAGCTCCAGGTTACTATCGGATCCATTGATACAATTGCTTTCCATGCAATTGTTTCTACAATCATGAGATACTGATTGTTTTCCATCTTAGGCAGTGGACCTACATACCTGACTCAAACCAAAATGTTACTCTAAAAACAAATAAATAAATCAGTTTTAAAAACAAAATAATAAAACTAAATTATGAAAAATAATTTAAAATCTGGTTCTTGTCTTTAGGATTTAATAACTTTAAATTATTAATAACTTTAATAAGTTATTAAATCCTAAAGACAACAACCAGAAAAATATAATGACCTTGAATGTGCTGGAATCTTTCCACACCACAACAGCGGCTAAATTCTGTCCAGTCACATCGCTGCTGCAGTGACACTCGCACTCCATTCAGAAGGGCTGACTCCAGGAACAAAAGCTCTGCAGAGCAGGTGGTTTGACTCTTTCTAGGTCATGTCTTTCATTGCAAGATGTTAACCTGCAGAGTGAAGTGATTTCCGGCTGCATCTGTGACAGGGTGGACCAGGATTTATTGAAAAGCCATTGTCTACTTCGGAATTTGGTGTTGTGTGTGAGACTGGCTCCAACGAGAGCTGTTGTGCAGTTTATAACTGTAGTTTATTAAGTAACCAGGTGATTTGTTCTGCTGGACACCCTTTGAATTGCTTGGTTTCCCCCCATACACACACACTGGGAGTTTCGGCTCCCAGTCAGTTGTGTGAATCACTTTAAGATGTGCTCTCAGTGAAAATATCTCTGTATAAATATTGATAAATAATATAAAGTGTTGGAATCTCACTGGGTATCAAGGTGTCATCTTTTCGACTAGTTAGTATTAATAAAAAAAACACTTTATATTTGGTATTGCACCTTTCATGTCAGAAGACCATCTCAAAGTGCTTCAACCATATTATAATAATAGTAATATATCTTCCTTGCATTTGATATAGCACCTTATCAAGTCTTCGAGACGTCTCAAAGCGCTTCACAGAATATACTGTACAAAGTGAATCAACTTTTTTTGTGGGTGAAACAATATGAATGTTTTAGCTTTTGTTTTCATTGTATGGAACTAATTGATAATTCTGCATGTACCATTTGTAAAGTTTCAGCACATGCAAGCTCTGATCAAAACGTTTGTGCTTATATCTGAAAGAGTGGAGCAGTTAATGAATAGCTTCTACCGATCACTTCAGACCTCGCTTCCTGAATGCTGCAGTGGAGATTAAGTAGATGTGCGAGTTTCACAAAAAAGCCCAAATGGTTTCAGTTCACGCTGCGTAAAACAGTAAATTAAATTGAAAACTAAAACAGATTGTTCCGTGGAGGGCAAAATATATTAGTGGTTGGGAATGAGAAAATAATGGTGACTTCAGCCATCCTTCATTAGTGAATAATTACCTGTTATCTGTCCTTAGAATATTGAAACAAGGATATAAAAAATTTATACCACTAGATTAAATATATAAGTATGTGTTGCACATTGCATTTCAGTCTGCTTTAATTCTTACGGGTCCCATATTGAAAGACATGTTGTCAGCTCTGAAAAACTGTTATAGCACAGAAACAGGCTTTTTGTTCCATTGGATTGGTCATTCAACTTCATGGCTGTTTGTGGGACATTGCTATGCTCAGGTGAGCTTCTGCATTCGCCTGCCACTACACTTTACAGTAAATCCTATGAAGCACTTTGAGATGTCCTTCGGACGTGAAATGGGCTATATTTTCCACATGAACCACCTAATCAATCCCATTCTCCCACTTACTCCCTATACTATTTAATATTTCACTTTTCAAACGCTCTCGGATTCTACCCCGCATGAAGGGCGCTATACAAATGAAAGTTGTTGTTATTTTTTAAAAAATCCATCACATCCCCTTTTAAAATCGATGTGTTCTGCCTTAACAATGATTCGTGGCAGTGAATTTCACATGTATTTTTGCCTCCAATACTACACTTGATATTAATTTCTCGTGAAGTGCTTTGAGACATTTCAATATAATAAAAAGCTATAAAACTGCAAGTTCTTTCAAGTATTTTTCTTCCTGCCTTTTCCCCATTATTTTCTAGCACTGCCGATTACATTAATAGGTTAGCTAGGGAATTTGCTTGTGATTTGGACATGCCTGTACTAATCATGTCTGCTCTCAGTGGCTGTTAAAGCTGATGTCCTGTATCATTACTTCTTGGTACTTTGATTAAAGATTCAAAACACACAATAATTTCCTCCTTTTTAGAGTTGTTTGACAGATTTCTTATGTTATTTTGCAGATGAAGGACCATACACCAAATCTGCAAACTCAGCAAAAGCTTCGGAAGGCACTCTGGTAGTGAGACGACAAAGCATCCCGGGTATGAACATGACTGTGTGTTGATTATCTGTTCGCCTGCATAATGGCACTTTCAAAAATACTTCTTTGGGAGGAACATACCATAACAACAAGAAATTACATTTGTATAGAGCCTTTCACACCAAGAGGACGTGAAAAGGTGCTATGCAAAATATTATATAGCGTAATGTTAATATTGTTATAATATGACGTAATGTTAATATTGCAGAACTGAGTATAAGGCCCATCCAGTCTACATTGGTGTTTTTCTCCACATGAGTCACCTAAACCAATTCCACTCTCATTAATTATTTCCCCATAGATACTCCCTCATATCTATTGAGACTCTCACAGTTTCTAAAGTATAAGACCTAAAGGAGCTAAAGTATGAAATTATTTTCGAATAATACTTGCCTTTTAAAAGAATCACAGTTTGTACTACGGGTACAAACTTAGATTTTTTGAATATATAAAAGCACCTCTTTTGAAGATGGAATAAACAGAAACTGGTCGCAAATACCTTTGTGAAGTTCTGAAAGAAGCATTTCAGTTTTCAACTATCATTTGTACAAAATGACTATCTGTAGATTTTCAACAACTGCCATTGTGGATTAGATTTTCAACCAAAGAACTGTAAATTGCCTTATTTGCAATATTCTGGGAATTAACATTTAAAAAAAATTAATTTGGGGAAAATTTCTGCACTGCGCATAACATGCCCATACTGAGTAGTATTATTTAACACTATTTAATTCATGAGCAACCAAATCTGGTTATTTTTTCAGAGTGAAGCACCATTAAATTAGATTGGTTTGTATGTAAAACTAGTTCTGGTTTTGAATCTCCATAGATCTCTTTCCTACCCTTCACATTTTTGAGGTTGAATAAATAAGTTTTAAAAAATCTGGGAGGGATGGGGGGATGAATGAAAGGAGAATCTCTTGTTTTCTTGGGTTGGACTGAGTATGAGAAGGCCACTCTTGCCACAAGTCAAAAAGTGCTCTTTACTCCAAGGCAGAGAAGAAGGTGTGGGCCTGTCTTGCTAAGCACACTCATTCTATAGAACGTTCAATCCTCACTACCATACCTGTTCTGAAGGATTGTTCTGTATAAATACCCTGTGATCCTCAAATATAATCAATACAATGTTCAAAATATTCATCCACACCTTCACTACTCAACGCTGATCCATTGATTCCAAATAATCTGCTTTTGTTGAGCATCCATTTTGTGTCTTCAGTACTCTGCAGAAATTGATTTGTCCTCTGATCGTTACTCTCGCTTGGGACTCTCTTGATTGTCATCCTTGGTTCTTCTGTCGAGCGAAATAGCCTACTCTCTTCTACATTATATATGCCTTAGTATGCTATATAAAACAAATCAGGGTGATGCCTCTCAATCTTTCTCCAATGAAAACATGAATGTGAGCCTCTCGCTTATCTTTTTGAAGTTAGTGCACCCATATAGTATACAAAACATGGCTTAACCTGTGATCCACACAGGTACAATGACATCTTTCAACTCATAGACAAATGTTATGGGATGTGGATGTATGTGTTCTAAATTATTTCCAACACTTTGGACCCATTTTCACAGCCTGGACTAGATTTCAACACAGGTCCCAAACACCAAATTAGTATATTGTAAGTGGCTGCATCACCTGGTGCCCCCTGCCTTTCTGTATCAATAAACATACAATACAAATTTACATGTATATAGCACTTTTTATGTCAGGAGGATGTCCACAGGCTCTGATATGAGCAGAATTGTCTTTATGCATTTAGTTGTTGCTTAATAGTTGAATTAGAACTTAGACAGAAAATTAGACAGATTCTATTTCTGTGCAACCGGTTTAGAATAATATTGAAGTACTGTGAGCATGAAGCAATGTTCTATCCACAAAGACAATTGATCAGAAAGTAGCCAATAACCATTACTTGTACCAGAGCCCAGATGGATGCAATTTATGTTATTGCCTTTTTTAATTACATCTATGAGCAATTGGCATTTCTTTCTAAGGAATGGACAAGAGATTATATTTCAACTGCTCTTTCAATTGCATTAAAAAAAGTTTTCTTAGGAAAACTATTGATTGAATACGAGACATCAGAATTGATGCATTGCAATAATTTATTTTGGAACAAGTTTTTAAAAGTAATGCATTTTTATTATTGAATTAAGTAAATGACTGCATTAAATTGAGGCCAATGACATTCTTATCTAGAGGCTGTGAACCCAATAAAGATAAAAGTGATACAGATGAGATGGATTAGGGTTATTAGCAGCAAAGAGCAGAAATTCCATATGTAAGGATATGTTAGTCATATGTTTGACAGTACTTTGAATTTCCATCTTTTTTATACTGAGTATCTGCCACATTAATAATAAGCTCAACAAATGACTACACTGTTTAGATTTGCTGTGCCTTTTCAGAATACTTTTTTCTGGCCTTAATGAGTTTGCTGCCTTAATGTTTAATTCTTTGTAATAGATGTACAGAGTCTGTCTCTACAGATTTGTTGAATGACTTATTGCTACGAATCCCAACTTGTTAGCTGCTTAATCTCTTCAAAAGTTGGTTGAAGTGCATACAAGCCGCTGGGTGACTAATGTCTCTCTGGTCTCTGTTTGAGTGGACTCAGGTCACCTGCTTATACTGCATAACATAAGAAATGCTAGACGAAAAAAAGCAAGGTTCATCTAGTTCGCATGCGCATACGTCCCGAACTACCTATGCACTATATCCCATCGCATTGTTGTGCATGTGGCTGCCCACGAAAGTAACAGGAAAAGCAATCTTGTCCAATAGGTCTTAGCACCTTCAGTTATCTTCGGCTGTCTCATTCATTTTGTATCTCTGGCAAGACTGCTGTCAGCACCACCACTGCATGGTGAAGTCAGCAGTCCACTTCTCCACACTTCTCCTTTAAAAGAAAATGCACAAATTAATATAAAATTGTTAGAGCATTTACAAAACATCAAGTTCCTGGAATCATGCAGTGATGTCCTGATAATTTCAAAAGGTAATGTAGAAAAAATTAGGTTTGGTTATAGGCACATTTTACATAGGAAATGACTGTTGGAACCATATCACTGGATTTATTTTCACTGTTATAATTGGTCTTCTATATGTACATCCCTATCTGTGAACTTCATGCTTATACTCAATGCTATAATGTCATAAATAGCCAGTAAAATATTGTTTTAAAGCAAACCATGCAAGGCAAGGAGCTTAGGTTTTGCCCAGCATGGAAAGTTCTGGTAGCATTGCAGGCTTCCATTTTGATAAAGTGCATTAGCTTGCTGTCTAAAATAATCTTGTGCCTGGGTTTGGACATGCTTTTCACAAGACATAGAGCATTTCAGTTCACTGCCCATGACTGGAGTTGCACAGTATTTCCGTATTGCAGAGTGCTGCTCTAGGCATTCCTTTCAGCACTGTACTCTCTGGCAAATAAACCTCCAGATATGAATATTAGATGGACACCCCTACCATTAACCTCATTTGCAAGTAGTGCGGAAGAAACCACATAGTGAATCAGAGGGAAAGGGAAATATTTTTCAGTACTACAGTAAATTTAACGTTTTCATGTTTTAAGTTCTCTGTTAGTACCATGATTGAGTATTCTGCAGTTTAGCATGAAGTTGTAATATGAAATTGGGCACTGTGTTGTAAGCAGGTGTGTGTTGGACAATTATTCCAAGCACATTATTGGTCCCCAGGGACTCAGTGGTTGAGTTGTTGGAAGACAATGATCACAGTCTACTAATCTCTAGGATTTGATCTTAAACTAACCCAGACAAATTGGTTGAAAGTGGTCCAGTTACTCCTTCTCTCCCTCCCCACCCCTTCCCCCACCCACACTAGTTGTGTGAACGTCTGTAGTTAGAAATCCACATGAAATCATTTCTGATCTATGCCAAAGGTTTTTAGAACACTGTAATACTGCATCAGTCAATTTGGTTCATGCAAAATACCTGTCTAAATCTCCTTTTGCCATCAGTTCATTAAACCAACATTACACTCCAGGGAGTAAATAATGCAAATGATTGATGGTATCAGAACGATTACCCATACAAATGAAACTCGGGCATCAAATTGACCATTGGAAAACATGGCTAATTAATCATCTTGAGCTGGTATTCATTTTGTAGTTAAATAAACTGTGAATCCCTGAGGAATGGTATTCCTGAGAAAAATAATTTAGAGTTTCTACTGAATTGAGACAGAAGGCCAGTCAATTATGACGAAACCTGAAGCCTTTGATAATTGTCTTGTGTGTCTCTTAGTGAGGCTTCTTTAAACGATTCATTACTTTAATGCTTCTATCTGTGTACAGATAAACTTTGGGAGAAAGCGTTGCTCATTAGTATTCCTGTGTGTGGCTTACGCACAATGTAGTGCTTGCTGGCTGTTCATCTAATCCGAATGCTCTACAGCTAACAGAGGTTTGAAACAAATGTATCTATAATTGAGTCTTGATATTGATATTACGGAATCTTAATTACTAAGCTAATATTGCTATTCTGTCACAGATATACTCTGATCTAAATTTCCATTTGCTCAGCCATGAGAGATGCTGTTTCTCCCTCCCCCACCCAAAAAAGGAGGATCAATTCAATTTTACCGGTTTAAAAACCCTCTCCACTGTCTGTGCAGTCAGCCATATAGACTGTAATGTTCTTGCTGCTCCCGGGCCTGCATGATGCTGACGCTGGGTTTCTGAAGTGAACATTACAAGACCAAACAAATCTCACGGTCCCACACCATTGAGGGGAATTATGTACAGTTTGAAAGGAACAATCTAATCATGATATATGACAGCTCTTGTGACTCTTATTTGCTCCATTGTCTAGTCCTCTGTATATGTTGTTCTTCATGAAACTATTTTATATCCCAAACCATTCCCAACATAGAGATTTGTTTGTGTCTGTGCATGCGTACATATGTCTGTTACAATCTACAATATGCCAGTGAAACTGCTTCTCTGTTTAAAAGCAGTCTGTTGGTCTCGCCTCGATATTGTTAATAATCTTGCCATAATGTGTGTCAGCAATTCTGCAATTTCTGTCTTGTACAGGGTGAACAAAAAGTCATGATAACTACTCTATTATCTATTAAAAAATCACTATTGCACTATTATCTATTAAAAAAATCACTATTGCACTATAAGAACAACCGGTGAGAACCACCTCTGCGCTTTCTCCCCACTCTGTCCCTTGAAAGCTCTTGGCTAGTCCAGCGGCCATCATAAGTAACTTCAGTGGACTTTTATTTAATGTGATTAAAGTGCTGATCAAAAAATGAGTTTGGATGAAGAAGGCCTTTTGGCCCATCTGATCTCTTCCTTCCAGAATACCCAACCCATTGTCATCTCATCAAGCTGCTTTTTAAATGTGTCCAGTGTCTTGCCTCACGCACCCTTCTTGGCAACCTTTTCTAGGCATTAATTACCTTCTCGATGGGGTAAAAAAAACTCATGATATCGGTACTGAAATTGACCTTGGCAACTCTAAATGTATGTCCTCCATCTTGGTGCATCCCAAAGTACAGTTCTGGTGTATGTAGTTTATAAAGTATCGTGTTGAATTGTCTTCTCTCTCACACAGCCTCTTTCATAGAATTGAAAAACAATTTTTTACCGAGGTATGTATTTAGAAAAATTCAAAATCAAGTGTTTTATTATTGGCTCTAACTTAAGACCATGTAGAGTAGGAAATATAAATTGGGCTTTCCCCCCTCTCACCCCACATTGTTGCACAGTAGGGAGTGAAGCATCTTCTCCTCAGGTGCATAAACACAACATAAAACTCCTTCAGCACAAACACTGAGTAAAATGGCCAGATGTTGAAAGACTCCTCCACATAACTCACTCTACCCTGCATTCAATTTATTGAGGAAAAGGTTGGATAGAATAATTCCAAAGAGGATCAGTTTTTCCTGACTTTTCCATCGAGCCACACCACGCACTGCAGTATTTTTGCAAGAGATGACATTTACAGAAGGACATATTATTGGTTTTATTGACCATTTATATCGACGGAATAATGATTTGCATCGTCCAGGGCGTTTATTTAGACCTAATTAATCCTAGCACTTGCAGGGATAATTAACCTCACTAAATAGTGGTCTGGGTTTTTCCAGCTGCAGCCTGTGGACTCTTTGATCTCTACTGCATCGATGACTTACTGCTCTTGTGGAGAGGGTGGAAGCGGAAAGAATAAACAGAATGTCTGCTGTGAGATTGTGCACTGCCTTGATGCATATTCGCTCCGCTTTCATGAATACTAAACTGGCTCCGTGGAAGAATATCCAGAATTATACCAAAACACAACATGCCACTGACCAGAGAAAAGGGAGTGTTGTGAATAGCACTTGAACGAGATAGTTTGGTTATAGTAGCATGTACCTGGTTAGAGGGTATATCTACGGCTGCAACGGCTTTGGATATATCTTGTTGCTGAAGCCACTGATGTGTTATATAATGTAACTAATATCAGCCAGTGTCAACCCTCACATAACAAGCAGTTGGTTAGTATTTTATTAATAATTTTGGCACCTTGTTAACTCATGAAATTGCTGATGGGCATTTTAACTGAGACCGGCCACTTCAGCTTCTACACTAGTGAGCCACACAGCTCAGAGAGATGTGGACAGTGCACATGGAATCATTGCACCAAATCAAACGTTCACCAACCTTTCCCTGTTTCACACTGCATTGTTCTCCAGGGCTAAAAATCAGTCAAGGCAAGTGCACTGGTGTACTCTTCCCTTTCTGTTTCCACTTTCCTGAAGGTGGGTGACTCCTTATGGAGTACAATCACATGGTTGCTCTCTGGTACGTGAGCCAAATAACCATTCTTAATGTGCCAGCCCAGACGGTAAGTGTCAGTAGACTATAGGATTTGGGGGTAATTGTCATAATTAAGCCCAGTCCAGGTGATGCCCGCCATTCACTCACTCTCCAGCAGTTGTCACTGAATAGCGATCAGAAGCAGGGATCATGGCTTACTTCCCCCCACCCTACCCTCTCCCTAGCCCAGATTCCCGATGATAACTGTAGCAACCTTTGTGTCACTCTAAATGTGATAAGATAGTTTGGCACAGAACAAGACTTATACCTGGGACCCACCTGGTCTGTATGGGCTGGGCCATCCGTTTAATTTTCAAGGTTACAGAGTGAATGACTGGGGCTGCCTATGGATGATGGTAAGGTCTTTCGTGAATGCAAACTGAATAATGTACTTACTGTGATGCAGTTTGTCGAACTAAAGAGCCACATTCAGTGATATTTCTATTGTTGGTGGTTAACCACAGTGTGGCTTAGTTATTCATGTGATGATTTCAACATTTAATGACATGACACTTAGTTGATGAACAGCCTTTTAAACAAAATGCGGTCTAACCTATATAAGACAATATGCTTTATTTGAACGCATTTTTGTGTAAGCTGACTATTCTGAAATGTTGCAATAAATGTCTCCAATATAGTATTCGGAATACCTTTTTTTTTAAAAAAAGACTATTTCCTCTTGTGGTACAGTGAAGTGACCTAGCTGATGTGCTCTATTCACAGAGGAATTTAAAGGTCAAACGATAGTAGAGTTGATGAAAAAAGAAGGCAGCACCCTGGGGCTCACTGTATCAGGTGGAATAGACAAGGAAGGGAAGCCAAAAGTATCCAACCTTCGACCCGGAGGAATTGCTGCAAGGTAACCAAACCTATTGTGACGTTGTATTAACAGAAATTTCTGCTAGGTACCAAAGCTATTGTAGCATTGAATTACTAAAGAATGATAAAATATTGCAGCAGCTAAAGTGGGCTTGTGGAGACATATGGGAGAAAATAAGTCTTTGTGTAGTTTTTAATTCAAGCCCATTATGTGCTTGTGTATGTGTTAACTGTAGCTGCTCACGAGATCGCTTCAGAAACCAAACCAATTTGGCTATGGTGAAGTTGAAATAACACTTTTAAAATTAGCATCAAGAGGGAGGGGGAAAGGTAAGCAGGGTCTCCTTAGAGCTGATCTGGTATGCTTGGTAATGGAATGTTGGAATCAAGTCAATTCACTGTGGCGGTCTCAGTAGTCCGATTTCTGAACCGAATTGGTCCGTAGTACTCCAGGGCATTGCTGATGAGAGACTGGACAACTTGGCTCATCGGTAGGACTTGGAGGGGCATACCACTCATGGGGACAGGGAATCTTCCCACTAAACTCCTGTTAAGCCTACAATTATTGGCATCAGGGTCCCTCGGTTACTGAAGGAAAAATTAGCCCAGATTTCTGGTAACTATCCAAAGATCCCTACTGGAAGGTACCCATAAAACGTAAATTCCTGCAGATGCTGGAAATCTGAAACAAAAACAGAGATCCCTGGGCACACTCAGCAGGTCAGGCAGGAAAGTTTCCTTTCTCTATAGACTTTGCCTGACCTGCTGAGTGCTCCCAGCGATCTCTGTTTTTATTACACATATGTGGAGATTAGGTGAGGATAGAATTCGGCTCAGTTATGGTTTCTCCACCCCTATGTCTATACATTATAATAGCTCAGATATACAAAATGATTCTTAGGTAAAACATGTCCAACACTCATGGGACTCCACCCCAGTAGAAAGAAAAATTAGTCAAATGCCATAAGAGGAGAAAATTAGCAGAGAAAACAAATCCTCTTGAATTTCAGGAGTTTTCAGTTTTGTCAGGAGGAATTCACTGACCTTTTTGAGCCTGATTTATACTGAAGGCTTGTCTACTGCTATCAACTCTCATATACTGCATTTTGTCGACTCCAGGCAATGTATTAATGTAATCAGATATGCCCCCACTTAAACTTGCATCAGGACAGCTGTCTGTGGAGAAATATTCACACCTGAGGAGCAAGTCCAGAATAATGCAATTTGCCTGAAGCAAACAGTTGTAAGTATTCCACTTGTGTGGTTACTGAAAAGGCCAGTAATGCAGAGTGTGAGTATTTATTCCATGCTGCCTGACAGCAACATGAAAGCCATAGCTATGAAAGTGAATTATTTGCCAATTTTCTCGTTATTGCTTCATCAATTGAAGATGCTAACTTTTGCTGGGATGGTTCTATGTGCGAGCAGACAGTGAGTGTTGGTCAACTCTTTGACCGTAGAAAGCAACACAGTGGAGCCTCATCCTATTTGTATCTGACATACATACACACGCGCACACATATTCCTGTGGCAATTACTGGATAGTGATGAAGAGCAGAAATACTGATTGATATTTTTTTCACCCCCATCTCCTAGATCAGGGCTATTAAAACTAATTTTAGCACTCCCTGACTGAGGTGCTATGCAGGATATCTGACACACTCAAAAGCCAATCACTATTCTTAAGAGAATCCAAGTCAAACTACGGAGTGCTCCACATTATGTTTCGACATTTCTGTTTGTCTGGAATGGATTTCTGTTTGTCTGGAATGGAGTGTGTACTCTCTTCCCCAGAAAATTTAGGTGCATGTTGGCAAGAGCCAAGGCTCTCGGACTTCAGAATTTGCTTCAGGGATACTGTTAGAGTTTAACAACAATAGCTTGCATTTATACAATATAACACCTGTTAAGCAGAATAATATCTTGAAGTGCTTTACAGAGACGGTGTCGGTGAACAGGGGCAATGGGTGGAGAGGGAGGAACAAAGTGACCGTAGACATGGTTGAAGAGATACCACAGCTTGCTAACTTGGCACGGATTGGGAATTGAACCTGTGACTGTGGAATAGTGCTATGAGCGACATCAGGGCAGTGTCATTCCCCTCTCTGCAATCGGGTCAGCTGGAAGTAAATGAGAATGGCAGCTATACAGAAGTATCAATATATCTGCATGATTTACATGACCAATATATACTCCGTGCCCACATCATGTCGGAAAGTGCAAATAGATCTTGTGACTGATGGTTTGACTTTGAAATGCTTGGCAGAGGGAATACTGTAGGCAGCATTAGCTATTAACATTGCAAGATCCTGACATGAAGCAGAGGCACACGATGAAATGCTTTGACATTCTCTTACAGAAGTGACCAGTTAAATATCGGAGACTACATCAAATCAGTCAATGGAATCAACTTAACAAAGTTCAGGCATGATGAAATCATCAGCCTCCTAAAGAATGTTGGTGAGAGAGTGGTCCTTGAGGTGGAATATGAACTCCCGCCTGTTTGTAAGTATTATAAATTATATTGTTCAATACTTCAGCATCGGTCACTGACAATTGAATATGGTATCTTTCCAAGCAGCGATTTAGATAAATTAACAATGAAGTTGTTTTGAAATGTAGATCACATTTGCTGAATAATCTGAAGACATTTATTAATTTCTCCCCATACAGTCCAGCCTGTTAGAGTTTTCCCTGATTTGCATATTTAAAATACGGTTTGTATACAACACAATAACATGGTGAATCCACGTATATTGAAGTGCTACTTTTGGCAATCCCACTTCCCACCTCCCAGTAATGAGCGTGATGCTATCACAGTCCTATTATAATGCAATTTCGATTTTGAAAGACTTGTTATAACAGGCCTAAACTATGGTTAATAATCAGAAGAGTTTGGGTGGAGCCCTACATTCCATTATATTTTCAACCATTATCACCATTATGCATTCCTGTAGCTCAGTGGTTAGAGCACTCGACTCGCGAGCGAGAGACCTGAGTTTGATTCCCGGCAGGGCAAAACCTTAGCCAAGTTTCCTTACTCCACACGCCTGATAATAATCCCTCAAGAAACAAAAACAATGGTCGCAAATATACAATCAATTCACTTTACAGTATATTCTGTGAAGTGCTTTGATGTCCAGAAGACGTGAAAAGCACTATATCAAACGCAAATATAATTATATTATTATCATGTGGAGTCCTGTAGTTTAATAGTTAGAGCGCTCAGCTCGCAAGCGAGAAGACGTGCGTTCGATTCCCAGGCAGGGCGAAACGTTGGGCATGTTACCTTACTCCACATGCCTCTGTTTACCTAGCAGTAAATAGGAACCCGGTTGTTAATCGATTAGCGGATCGCTTTTCCGGGGGTAATAATCCCTTCAAAAAAAAATAATAATTTGGTCACTTAATCCAACACTGTTTGGGCTGTGCGCAATTAGCTGCTGCATTTCGCTCACAAAATATACAGAAAATTCATTTTATAGTATATTCTTGAGAAATTTCCAGACTCCAGATTGAGATAGTTGAAAAAGTGTAGATGTTTGACACAAAATGCAGATTTGGATCTGAGCACCTTTGATTTTTAAAAACAATTGTAAGATAATAAACCTTGCATTTGATATAGCGCTTTATCCTGTCTTCGAGACATCTCAAAGCGCTTCACAGAATATACTGTAAAGTGAATTGACTGTATATTTTGTGGGCGAAACACAGCAGTCAATTGCATGGCACTGATAGCACACATCATCCCTGCACTTTGTGTGATCCTTGGGAATGATTAGCTTGATTATGATTATCTTGCTTTTCGTTTCCTTTGGAGATTAATATGCATTCCAAAATAAGCTAAAAGTGGGAGGGATGAGGCTCTTTCAAAATGGGATTGGAGACAGAATTGCTCCATACACATAAAAACATTCCTGTTTTCATCACATCCACAATGTCCTTTTAGAAGTCGCATTAAAAGTTTACCTGCATGGCTGACTGCTGCTGAAGGCTAATAAGAACCACTTATGGTAGGTCCTTTTCTTCTATATATATATAAAAACAAAACCAGTCTGCTTCCTGTGAAATTCTAACAGTGCCCTGTGGCTTAGACACGGGTGCACTAACTGCTGATTTGAATTCCCAGAGTTTGACTGCACTGCTGGTCTGCATCTGACAGTCTAAGGGCATTTCACAGCTGGTTTGCTTGGCTATTTAGTGATTCTTTCTGCAGTCACGCACCAATAATCTCCCTTAGAATACTGATCCTAATAACCAAATTTGGTTGGAGGGGAGGAAGAGGCTCTAAATCAAAATGCTTGTACTTTCCGATTACATATTGGTCCATTTCCTGTCTTTTTATATGGAGAATGATGTTTCTGGCTTGCTTTATGTTACGGAAAGGAGGAGGAATGGAAATGTATTGCAGGGAAAAATACTATATCCACAAAAGGGCCTTTCGCTCAGAGTTTAGTTTTATAACATGTAAAGATTTCCCCGGGAATGCATTTTAGTGCCTATAGATTTTTAACAAGTCATAGAGGTTTTCCATGCAGACCCTGTTGTATCCATAAAGCTGGTAGAATGCACTCACTGTAGATAAATGATGTAATGGGTGTGATGCACAAAGCAGCTCCATGAAGATGCGTGCAGATGTCACTCAACGATTGGTGAATAATCTGTGATGCAAATGTCTTGAAGTGATGCACAGTTTTTTTTCTGTAAAGTACAATGACTGTGTATTTGTAGATAAACACAGCAGACAACGACTCACAAACAGCTATGAATTGAATAATCATTTTTTATCTGGGGGATTGTTGACCTTTCAAATAATATTATGGAAGCTTTAACATCCACCTGAATAGTCAGATGCGACCTCGGTTTAATATCTCTTCCAAAGGATGGAATCTCTGACAATATAGCACTCCCCCAGCTTTACACTGGCGTGTTAGCCTAGATTCTGAGCTTGGGCACTTGAACACACATCCTTCTGACCCAGAGGTGGCGAGAGTGCTACCGATTGAGAAAAGCAGACACACTCTAAAAAGGTAAAAGTTTTATAGTGCACCTTGGGAACAAAATGCCATCAACTTCTTGTGATGCTCTGTGAAATTGTTCATAGGGTTTATATATAGAGTGATGCAGCACAGAAATAGGCCATTTGATCCAAGTAGCTTGTGTTTATACTCGAACCCACACCCCCCCCCCAATCCCCTCGCCTATAACTCTTCATTCCCTATTCCCTCATGTTCATTTGTAACCTGGGTCTTCTCTTTCTATGTTTGACTGCATTTCTAACATAGAAAGGCATTAATTTATCACAGGGTCAGTTACTCTGTTGTCCTACACTCCCAGTACATCTTGGATGTCAATATGCTGGCATATTTGCTCAATGCAGCACCAATAAAGAACCCTTGTCACTTTGTGCAACAACCAATGATTAATTAGCCTAGCTTTCTTCCTAAGGCAATCCATTAACTTAGGTTAGGTATCCAGACTTATTACATTGGCCCACAAAGCTGCTTAACAAGTGTAAGTCACTTATGGTGATGTGGCACTATATCACTTGCATTTGATATAGCGTCTTATCACCTCAAAGTGCTTCACAGTATATATGGTAGAGTGTAGTGACTGTGTATTTTGTGGGTGAAACCCAGCAGCCAATTGCGCACAGCAGTGTCCCATAAACAAATCGTGGATTGAGCGATCAAGTTATTTTTTGGGGGAAGGGATTATTATCCCCGGGAAGTGATCCACCAGTCGACTAACAAGCGGGTTCCTATTTACTGATAGGTACAATTGCTAGGTAAATATCCAACCAATGCTAATTATATTTCTCCTAATTATATTCACAAAACGTTTTCACTGAATTAAAATTGTCTGGAAGGTGTTTACACATAAAAATATCATGATGTGGGCTTGAGGCTGAATTACACTGCACCGTTTGGGCTACCCTCATAATTACAGTTCTTCAATTTCCCTTCCGCCAAAAATCAAGTGACAGAGAAGATCTCAGTTATTCATCCTACACCTCATCGCATGGCTTGGGACTGCAGTTCTACTATGTCAGCCTGACTCAGTGTATAGCACTTTCACCTCTGGTCAAAAGGTTGTGGGTTCACTCACAGTTCAGTTGGACACTCCAGTACAGTGCTGGGACCAAGTTACATCATTGTAGGTACCATCATTCGAACAAGATGTTGAACCAGCTCCTTTCTGCCTGTCCGAATGAATGGTAAAGACCCATGGCACTATTCAAAAAAGATTAGGGGGTTTCTTCTGATGTCCTGGCCAACAATCCACCAGATAAAATTGTTTGTTCACTTTGTGCCTGTTTGTGGGACATTGCTGTTTTCAAACTGGCTGTCACATTTGCTACAGATACAGTCAGTGCACTTTACAGTAAATGGTGAAAAGTGGTTTGAGACATTTTGACAATATAAGCCACTGTATGAAATGCAAAGATTATTGTAATTATTACAGCAAAGCTGCAAAATTGCTCTTCAAACCACTTCTCAATCTGCTCACAATTTGCTACCAAATTGTGTAATGAAGCCTGATTTATGTTGCACTTTTCCCAGGATAAACATAGCATTGGATCACATTCAGGCTTTACACTCGATTAGGCTTCACATTTGTGTAATAACTCTTGCAAATATAAACAAGCCAGTGTATCCTTGAAATAAACAGCACTTCCACATGGAGATGGCTAAATCCATTCATTTCTGATGAAGAATTTTCTGCCACAGACTTTTGTTGAGCAGAGTCCACATATTTTTTTAAAAGAGAATTAGATGAACACTTTAGGTGGATGCTTGAAAAAGAGGAATGCAGTACTAAAGGATGTGAGTAGCAAGCAGAATTGGATCAGATTAGGCGGCTCATATGAAGAAAAATTAACAGTGAAGACTTGATGGCTGAATGGTTTGTTTCTGTGTTGTAACATTTCTTTGATGTATGATATATTCTTCAGTCAGTGAAGGGTAAATGCCCTTCACTAACTGAAGAATATATCATGCATCAAAGGTAATGCTGAATAATATTCTGTATCTGGACACACAGTGCACTGTTGCAATGATGTGTTTACTCTCTTCTGCTCATAAGTGTCATGCTTCTGAGCTACCTGATGACATGATGTGGACAAACACCTGAACTGCCACCACTCTTATCAATGCTGAAGAGAATTCCTGAGTATTCACAACTAAGTGCCTTTGCATGACTCTTAACTTCCAAAAAATGCTGGTTAATTTAAAGGGTTGGGAGAAATCCAGTTTGGATGCACATAGGGTTCAGTTTCTGGGTTCAGTGTACAGGTCCATGTTAAGTATTACGTTTCATGACTGACTGACAACTTGTGTGGCCAGACTAATAATTATAATAATCATTACATTTGATAGGCACATTTCCCTTTGGGGGAACATCTCAAAGCTCTTCACAGAATATAGTGTGAAGTGGAATAACTGCATTTTATAGGGCAATGTGACAGCCAATTTGCGCACAGCAATGTCCCTTAAACAGCCATTAAGTGAATTTATTTGGGGGATTGTTGGCCAGGACACCAGGAGAAACTTCCTTCTCGTTTTGCCTAGTGCCATAGGATCTTTAACATCTACCTGAACAGGTAGCTGAGGCCTCAGTTTAATGTCTCACCTGAAGGCAGCACCTCCAGCCATGCAGCAAATCCCCAGCACTGCTGTGGAGTATCAACAAAGACGATGTGAGTTCCACGTCCTGATGTGGTCTTAAATCCACAACCTTCTGATTCAGATACGAGAGTGTTACCAATTGAGCCAACCTGACACTCCAGCTGATGTTGAAGTTTGTGGCTCTTATAAATCAGGTTGCTTCTTAAAAAGTCATTCTGAATTTTGAGCCGTCAAATAAAGCATACAAAATAATCCAATCACTCATTCCCTATAAGTACTAAGTCCAAGTGATTGCAGCAAATTCATATGGTTCATGATAGTGCATTTGTTCAGCTAACCAAATTTAAGTGCTGTTGCAGGACATTGTTTATGTGCATTGAATCAGCGAGGAAGATGTCTGGTTTTAAGTATCTAAAATTAAGCCTTGATGCAGTTTAGGCACTTAAACTAAACAAATTATCTACTGCCCATATTTTTATAAAAAACTATCAATCTCTCAGTGCAATAAAGATAATTTCTACAAAATGTTGCACCTAATCTGTTTGGCAGATATGTTTATTGATTTCTGTTTATAGTGACAATATTTTAAGCTTTTTCAACATAATTTTAATTGTATGGTTCAGTCTTCATCACTTTACTCTCTTCCATGTCAGTATATTGTGGGCCGTTTTTTTTCGAAGGTTTCAGGCAATCGTAATTCTTTCCTCTGTAAGAATCTTTCATGCTGCATGTATGGCATTCTTAAATAGGCTAATGTTAGTGAATTAATGTACTATTGAACTGAGCCATAGATTCCCACTTTGAAGGAAGACATGAAAATGAGGAACCTGCAAGAGAGAGATCCCTGAAAGAATTGAATTTTATCTTCCAATAATAATCCTTGACCCATCCATTGGTTGTGAATCCTTTTTCAAATATCTCTGGCTGATGTAAGGTGCTCTTTTTCTTTGTATCTAGCTGTGCAAGGCTCGGGTGTCATTCTTAAAACTGTGGAAGTGACTCTTCACAAGGAAGGCAATACCTTTGGATTTGTGATCAGGGGTGAGTGAGCATGGTGATTTTTACGAAGCACATATATCAGCTTGGTCGAATGCATAATTTCAGATTTCCACAAATGCTTTGGCTCCGAGACATTAAGAAATTTTTATTTATCTTAGCAGAACTATATTCAGATTACTTCCCCTTTTTTTTTCCACATGTAGTTGCGTTGATTTTACATGAGGAGTAGAATGGAAAACCATCTCTATGTCTATAGATTTCTTGGCCTTGCAAGTTCTTGGACATTAAGTTGTCTTGGCTCTTCCTTATGCTTTTGTACTATTCTCACATTAAAGGGTTACAGCCCAGGAGATCATTCGGGCCACCGTATCTATGTTAGTACTTCCCCAGGGACCTATCTAACCTTATCCCATTCAACCTGTTCTTTCATTATATCGTTCCAAATATTTATCCAATTTCCTTTTAAATGGACTTGACTTCAGCAGCGTTTGTGGTAATGCATTCCATGGTCAAGCAAGCTGTGCAAGTAAAGCAAATTGTTTTAAACTACCTCTTTTTTTCCCTTTTGGTGATAGTTGCAGTGAGAGCAGCTTTTGTTTCCCTCGATATGGACAGCTCCTAGTGTTAAGCGTGACCGTGTTCTTCAATATTTTACTGTGAAAATGGCTGGTGAGCATTTTGAAGGGTTCGGATGACTACATTTTCACAATGTGGATTGGGTTGCGTGTCCCACAATCTGCAGGTTGAAGGATGCTCCCTACCAGTGGAGACTAAAACGTTTGCTGTTTGAGTCAAGATATTTCTGGTGAGAAATGCACTCACAAAGTTGCTGTAGCTATATTTGGCAGTGGAAGATCTGAAAGGTTGTCTATAATATTGGTTCTTTTCATTTCCAATATATTGTATGACTCAACAAAGATTCCTGCATGCACTGTGCAGCTTTGTTAGATATGGAGTGATAATGATCTCAACGTCAGAAATGTTGAGTTTCTATGTGCAAAACCTATGGTTCTAACTATTTGAAGCTTTGCAATACCAAGCTGTTCCATTAGATGCCCAAAATTCTGTCTTGTATTAGGCTGCAAAACACTTTTGTCTGAAAATATTCCATCACCCAATTTGTAGACAATTCTTCAATTTGGTTTTAATTTGGAAGAAAATGTAGCTTAAAGGTCTGCAGACATCTGGCTGCCGTATTAAGACTGAATTTAGGAACTTGCCCCGACTCTGTGCGATAGACAAAATGGCTTTACAAGGTTAAGTGAAATTATGGGACTTGAATGATGAACTTTCAGACTCCTTGCATTGCAGAGACAGAGAATAGAGCAGAACCTTGTTTATAATGTGGTTCATTATGACATGGATTTGTTTATAAAGCAAAAGGTGTGTCAACCCCATTCACTGCGTACATGCACATCCAGTGCACTTTCCAGACACCTGCCATTTTCAGTCATGAAGTTGCCACTGACTGTAAAGCATACAGGAAATTATGTCATGGACAACCTCATTGGCGAAGGGTATTGTAGATGCAGTACAATAAAATAAAACTTGCATAGGTCATATCAGTTGGGGCCATAACATTTAATCCTGTATAATCAATATGGATATTGGTCAATATGCTGGGTATTGTTTTTCAGGAGGATCTCATGAAGACAGGAATAGATCTCGCCCTATTGTAATCATGTATGTCAGAGCTGGAGGACCAGCAGACAGGTACAGTTTTTATTGCTGATCATAGCTGGTATTGTGTTTGCGTGAAGCCCATTAAGTAAATGAACCACTTTCAGACCTGTGTGATGCAAACAGGAAGTACCATTCAATAGCCATTTGATTGCCAGCAGCTACTAATACCTTTTCTCATTGTTCAGTGTAAAAATAGATTGACATGGGCTTGTAATTCAAAGTGAAAAATTAAAAATGACAATTCAATATTACAGAATATTGCTGTATCACTGAAAACCTATAGTTAATGTAAAGTCTCAATGATTACGAGGCAGTAATTTTCACAGAGAGGTGTAGAGTGCCTTTAAAAGTGAAGCTTAACACCTGACACCTCCTTTGCTCTCTGCCACCCCAACACATACAGTGAGATTGAAAAACATGAGTATGAGGATGATAATGATGATAATGATTATAAGAATAATTGCATTTGATAAAACGCCTTTTGTGTCAGGAGGATGTCTCAAAGTGTTTCAGGATTTACAGTGCAGAAGGAGAGGCCATTCAGGTCATTGTTTCTGTACTGGCTCTCAGAGCAAGATGTTCATTCAGACTGCTCTGCCTTATCTGAAAACTCCTATCTTTCATACTGTAAAATGTAGTGACTATATTTTGAAGGGAACATAGCAGCCAATTTGCATGCAGCAATGTCCCACAAACAGTCATTGAGTCAATGACCAATTTCATTTGGGGGGGACTATTGGCCAGGACACCAGGAGAAAGTCCTCCTCTCACTTCGAATAGGGAATAGTTTAATGATTCATTTGAAGGATGGAAACTCCAACAATGCAACACTGCATAAGAATGTCAGCCTAGATCATGCAAATTCAAACAAAGTGGATGTTGAACCCACAACATTCAAGCTCAAAGGCGCAAGTGCTACCAAATGAGTCTAAATGTGCTGCAGTTTGTAGAGTAGTTTGCTGCTTTTCCATTGCTGGCTGATGGTCAGTCCTGTGTCACCAGCACAAGCAATAGTAATATGTGACACAGCCATTGGATAGCTATTGAGCAAGAATCAAGGTTGATTGTGGAGAAGTAATCTGTCCAGGTTATATCATGAAACAGAAGGCAAAGTCAATGAGTGTCGGGGTGGTAGTTTGTGCAGTTTTGTTCCTGGTGATCTGCCAACAAAAATGGTTTAGTCGTGCAGAAGCCCGAGTCCTTTTATTAATAAAAGTTCAGCTTTCAGAATCCAGTGAGCCGTAATATTGTACCTGTGACAATGAGACAGAGGAGCTCCTTGTTGGTTGCTATTTTTTTTCTTTGACTTTAAGCAAATCTAAAGTGCTTGCTTTTATTTTATCTTATAGAGAAGGCACGGTGAAGACTGGGGACAGACTGTTGAGTCTTGATGGGATTCGGCTGCATGGATCAACCCACGCAGAGTCTATGAGCATTCTCAAGCAGTGTGGGCAGGAGGCTACATTAATAATTGAGTATGATGTCTCTGTAATGGGTACGTTGCATTTTTACAACAAATTTTTGAGATTTTCTTAAGGCTTCACCTGATCTTTTCAGAATCATTTTATATCAGTTACAAGCAATCAGGTTCTAATCAGAGTCTTCTCAATGCAACAGAATCCTTTTTAGGTTCACGGAGAGGTCGCCTATTTTGGTTCCCTGTTTTTGCAGGTCAATAAATCTGCTCCGTTCAGCATTTCAAAGTTTTATTTAGTTAACGTCCTAAGAAGAGATGTGTCACCTTTCTAAAATTAAAATTGTGATTCACAAAACTAGTTGTGTGTTAGTCACAAATTTTTCTTTTTTTGGTCCATCAGTTTGACAGACAGGTTATTAATTTTGAACTGATTTAGTCATCCTTGGAATATAATTTAATTCCATTGTTGTAGATAAATAATTCATACGTAACTGCTTTGCATATTCATTCAGTTGACTTCCATTATTTCACATTAAGTTAACCTTATCTGAAATGTCTATAACAGATTAGGATTTTAGTTGCCTTTTTTTTCTTGAAGTTTTAAGTACAGTCCCTGTAATCTATTTGCTCTGTCTTCAAGTGTATTTGGAACATCAATCTCAATGCGTCATTTGGTGTTTTCTCTCTTAGATTCAGTGGCAAATGCTTCTGGACCATTACTGGTGGAAGTGGCCAAAACTCCTGGTTCCTGTTTGGGTATTGCTTTAACTACCTCACTTTACTGTAACAAGCAAGTCATAGTCATAGACAAAATAAAGGCTGCCAGCATTGCAGATAGGTAGGTTTGCCTGCGTGAACCGTGCTGCTCTTGAATATTTAATTGATTGAAACGATCCAAGAATGACTGTATAGGTCTAGCAGCATGCAAGTTTGTAAGCAAGAGATATGCTGCTTCATGTCCAGCCATTTAAACAGAAAGTAAAATTGTTTTACAAAATAGTACCTTCAGTAGGATTTGTTCATTTGCAGTAATTTGATCAATAAATTGCAATGGTTCCTACAAGGAAAAAAAATCATAACTGAGCCTCGATTCTATTAATATTATTCTCAAGTCTTATATATACATATTCAGTAACCCTATAAACTGCTAGAAGGAGGAAGGAAATGTTCCATATTAATGGAACCACAATGGAACGGTGCATTTTTCATGAGTAGGTTTGTCTCTGCATTGGGAGTGCTGACCGAGCTGTCAGGGGCAGCTGTATAGAATTGCCTGGGGGCAAGCAGCTATCATCCAACCACCAGGCTGGGCCTCACAAGCTTGCACTTCCCAGCCATACTGACAGAGAGCTGAGTTCTCTGGTTTTCCTCTGTTATGCTCTCAGGAATGCTGTTCATTTAATATCGCTGATTAGGCATTTCACATCAGCAGTTGCAGGCAATTTAAATTATCTTTTTGAAACATTTGATTTTCTTAGTTTCTTAGTTTTCTTAGCTTTACATATTTCACTTCTGTCTGTTTTAATCCTTATTAATGTACCAGAGTGTTTTTTCGTCCTTTTGGGAGAGTGAGATTGATATGCATTTACAACTGATAACCAAACATTATATTGAAGGATAATAGTATGTAATTGAAAATGCACAAAAAATATTTGTAACATATTTGCTTCTGCTGACAAATATTTGTTCTTTTCTCTGAGTGATGCATTTTTACTCTTCATGAATGAGGTTTTTGTTCTCCAAGGTAATAGGCAATACATACAAACACTCTAAAGAAAGCTGTTTTATAATTAGTCATAAGCTAGGCTAATGGACATTTAGCAAGTTAAATGTTGCTGAGAGCCATATGAATAATCATATCCACTGTCATTTATTCATCTGTAGTTAGTGTTGTGCTGTAGAAATGCTTGTAACTTATGTGGAGAACATTATTCTAATAAGTGTGCTGCTTGAGTGGTAATTCTAGCACGATTGAGGATGCTCAAAGTAAAAACATCTCTGTCCATATATGTAGCTTTATGTACATTAAGAAAGCCTGTGCTGATTTTTTTAATATATTGTGCTATTTACAAGCGACAAAATAGCTTAAGAGTTCAGAAGTTTAAGATTTCATTCACTCATATGATAAAAATTAAAATTCTATTCTATTATTTTATAGATCACAGAACCTTTATTTTATTAATTTAAAGGGGATAAATATATTTTTAAAAAACTATGACATGATGTCATACAGTTTGGACCTGAAGCTTATTAAAAGAAATTGAAGGGTTTTATTTGAAGATGTAAAATGCTTTTATGACTGCAGTGTACACATGGCATGCTTGGAAATGTGTGATTTGTGTGTGCATTGTTTAAATTATATTTAATTTAATATACATTGCTCCCTTGAGACATTTCAAGAAACTTTTCATCTTTGCCTGTGTACAGATGTGGAGCTTTACATGTTGGAGATCACATACTCTCAATTGATGGCACCAGCATGGAGTATTGCACATTAGCTGAAGCAACTCAGCTCCTAGCCAGTACCTGTGAACATGTGAAATTGGAACTGCTTCCTTATCACCAAACACGACTTGCTCTCAAGGGACCAGAACATGGTAAGATTCCTCAATTTTATCTATCCCGACTTTGCCCGAGAAACGGTAAATGTGACAACTGAAAGACCTGGAATAACTTCTGATGAGTACATTCTCTTCTATATGTTGAGACCATTATCAGGTAATTGTGTTGTCTATTTACTCTAAACTAAGACATGGCAGAAGTAACTACAACTGAGAGACTGTGTCTCACCTTCCTTCCTCACTGGGAGCCACAGAGGTTCAATGTATTGTCTATATGTTGACATGAAACACGTTAGTTCCACCATCATTATTATTCTATACCACTGAGTCACTGCATAAACTTTTTCCATTTTTAATTGTATTTGTAAATTTCTGATATGAAAGGTTCATAAAGACCTTAAGATAGTTTTGTTATTATTATCTCATTCCCAGTAATAATAATAATAATAATAATAATCCTTGCATTTGATATAGCGCTTTTCACGTCGGGAGGACGTCCCAAAGCGCTTCACAGAACACACTGTAAAGTGAATTGACTGTATATTTGTGGGCGAACGCGGCAGCCAATTGCGCACAGCAATGTCCCACAAACAGTCGTAGATTGAAAATGACCAATTTATTATTGTTTTTTGTTTTGGAGGGGTTATTATTAGGCGTGTGGAGTAAGGAAACTTGCCCAAGGTATCGCCCTGCCTGGAATTGAACCCAGGTCTCTCACTTGCAAAGCGAGTGCTCTAACCACTGAGCTACAGGACTCCAGTAATTTGTTTTCTCTAAAGCACTGTTTTACATTGCATTTAAGTTCCTTCCCACTTTTTTATTATTGTTTCCAATCAATTCCCATTCATTAAGTTTCCATGTCTAAAACTCTATACAGTGATTAAGAGAGTAGGCAGATGCTGAGGGGGGAAAAAACATTTATTGTCCAGCTTTCCCAAAAAAGGGTGTATTTTAGAGCATTTCCCTTTGATATCTTGGCATCTGTGTTCATTATGAGATGCTGAATTCAGGATGCTGTTTTCGGTTTCACACTGTTCAAAATTGTAGAGCCAGTTTTTGCTTTATGTTTGAAGCCTGTTGAGCACTGCTCTATCTGGGACAAGTATATTTTTAGATCCGGGTTACAGCAAATTGATAGTAAGACAGTAGGATAAAAAAGGATAGACTATTCAGCCCACCAAGCTTTTTCTAATATTTCATTAGATCTGACAGATCTTTTACTCCTGTTCTACACATTTCTCCCAACATCCTTACTTCCCAAATATCATTCTATCTCCTTTTAAAATATCCCAATATTTGATGGACCCCCAGAAGTTCATTCACATCAGCTACATCCCACTTTGGTCCTTATGAAGCCAATGTGGTACAGAAGCAAAGGTTTGCCCCTGCTGTTTCAGGCTGGAATATGTAGACAAATCTCTCCTGAGGTTGCATTTTGATGGGTTGGTTTATTGGTGGTGAGACGGACATCAGCTGTGGCTTGGACAATCTCTGTCTGAAATTGAATTTTTGAAAGTTGGAACATCTAGAATTTGTGTGAGTGTGAAGCTGATGCTTAAATATGTATTGGTGCGAGAAAGCGGCTACAAATAACTCCTGGAACATTCGTATGATCGTCTGTCTATTCAAAGCAGAATGGCATTGTTAGCAGTTATATCTTTTGCTGGTTGCTTCATCATCAGATGGACGTAGACTATATCTAATGTGTGATCTGGTGCATAAATCTCACATTCACGGAGCTTTGCCTAACGCAAACTGGGAGTGCAACATGTGGCCATTTGACTAGAGGCAGCAGGTGCATCTATTACAAACAATACTGACTGTACATCAGGTTGTGCAGTAGTATTAATCAATGTGGAGGTCAATTCACGCTGTTTGCTCTCGCTAGTGAATTTTTCGTTGCACAATTGTAGTGGGATTTCCATGATGCTGCAAAATACCAAACAGAGCCTGAGTTTGCTTGTGTTTGGCAAGACAAAATGTGATTTTTGTTTTTCGTAACCAAAATTGAAGCTCCTGTTACTACTAATTTATTTAGGAATTACCATTAAAAATGCAAATCATAAATCATTGCATCTGCCAAAGTATCTGCACGACTGTGTGACAAATGGAAGCAAAACCACATACCAACACATGATACAGCTCCATGTTCGAATTTCATGTTCTTCTCTGACGATCCACATTAAGAATGATTTAACTCACTGGGGCAGTAAATGTGGAGTGAAGAAGCTTTGGTTTTGCAGATTTTAAAATGCAGCACGTGTAGCTCAAGGGGCAAAAGATGCAGTAGATGAACAGAAAGATGCATCGTTCTACAGTTCGACTCAAAACTGCTTTGGCTTCTGTTAGATGTTGCAATCTATATAATTCTGTTGTCTCTCCCTCTTTTTCTGCTCTGTTCTATCTTTTTTTTGTATGTGGTTCCAATCATCCTTCATATGGACAGTCAGGGTTCAGAGGAGCAGCAGGCAACTTACCTGGGATGCTTATGGAAGCAACAAGAGCAACTTCCTCACCAACCAACACTATAACACCTATCACCCTGACCAGTGCAGGATGACCGCCTTGAAATACCAGAAACCTTCTCCTCAAAACAACCTTCGTAATGTTCCGCACTTTTCTTCCTCCTGTCCTTTTATTTTCTCAGCTGTTTTCCGTCCCACGTCCTGTTTGCAGGAGTTGAACCGACTAACAAATGTGCTTAGATAGATTGCGGACTAACCTTTAACAATGCAGCACAAATTTGTATACCTGTATACGACCAAATCTAACTACCCTAAGAAATGTAAAGCAAAATCAAAATATCTGAGTTGGACATACCAATGTCTAAACGCAAGATTTCAGTGTGGCACTCGGCTAGAAGCTAAAGTAAAAATGATAAATATCGTTGTGATGTGATGATAAAGTAGGATGGTGCATAGGAGCACTGAAGGCAACCTATCAGTGGTTGGCTTTCAGCCTATCTGCCCCCATTCTCTGGAATTCCAGCACAGAGTCCCTCCAACTCTCTCCTACCTTCACCGATTTCAAGTTTTGTCTCAAGGCTTAATTCTTTGATCGCACCTTCGGTCATCATTCCCCTCCTCACTCTTCGGCTCCCAACCCCAACTCGGGTGCCAAGCCAGGATTGTTGACACGAAAGGTGCTATAATGTAAATTTGTATTGTATTGGTGCAAGGGTCCCACACTACCTTTCTGAAAATGGAAATAAATCATAAAGTGTAAATTATAACCCTTATATTGGATGTGAGGTAATAAGCAAAGCCCCTTTGTTTCACATTGCAAGCCCACATTCATCTTCTAGAAAAATCAAGGAGATGGGTATACAATGTTATTCCAATCTTATTGTTAAACAGTATCGTTATTTTCACTGGAAACAAGTCTAGAATAACAATCAAAACAAAAACCAGGAGAATTTGATTCAACTTTTAAAACAATGATTTTCTTCTCTTTTCACAAACCAGCCGAGTGATAGTGGCTAAGAGTCAACCTGCGATGTGAGCAGCCGTTCAAAGAGAAAGGATTGTGAGTGTGCCGTGATGCTTTAGTCTTCCCTGAAATAACGACAAGATAGATGATTTAAACACCTCAATTCAGCAGTAGTGAAAGGGAGAATCCCTTAAAACCACAATACGATGGTGTGGCACCAATAGCACAAGGTATCTTTTTGGAATGGGAAATCCCATGATAAACAACAAAAAGTTTACAAGTGTTGTGATCAGCCCCATGTCAAGCCCCTTAATGCACGTTTTTAAAGACAGATGTGTCATCAGCTTCTAAACATCAAATGATGTAGTACTGTGATTACATGTACCGCAATACTTTTCTTTTTCTGTCTCTTTTGGGTTGTGTGAATATTCTTGAATTTTAACCTCACGATTACCTTGCTCGATATGAATTAAACTATTGTCAGCAAATACAATCATTAACCCCAGATGTTTGAGTACTCTCGTCATATCGAGTTTGCTTGTTTTTCTTTTGTCACTAATATTTTAAAGGTCAATGATATTGAAACTCCCCAGGACATAAGTACAAATTTTGTGAAAGCTAATAAATAGAATAAACGGTCCTAAATTAAAGGTTTGTTATTTGGTTCAACCCCTCTGCTTACATTCTGCTTATATTTTGCCTGTAAATCCAAAAAAAGCTACATTTTCATGTGAAAAGTCCTGGCTGCAGGTCTAATTCCAGGCAGCTTCAGTAAAAGTCATTTCTCTCAATTGGCCTTTCGTTCTCCCATGGTGACTTGTGGGGGGGAAGGGATTTCACATGAAAAGTTTTATAAGAACTCTTGAACCTTACCCATAGCATGCAGAGTGGCTGGTGTATGGTATTTCTAGGAATTGTTTGTACGGTATCTGAAAACTTAAGGCACGGCTTAAGGTGTTTTTAAAACTAGCATTAACTAAACACTTATTGACAGGTCTGGAAGAGCATATATTGCTTACTTCAATTACTCCAGACCTTATCGAACAATACGGCTATTGCCTTGACATTTATGGAGGAAGCTGCTCCATGGCACCTTAAAGCAAACCATTGAGTTAAAAGAATTCAGCTGATAACATTTTTGTGTGGGTTTGGAACTTAACATGTATAAATAACAGTTGGATTGGAGTACTAAAGCCTGTAACTCTAACCCAGCTGATATTTTTGATAACATGTTGTGGTTGTTATTTTTGCAATTGGGAGTGGCTGTAAGTGCTGTGAAGTATTTGCTGTGTAACATTCCTCAAAGGGGCCCGGTTATATCACGTCATGGGTGGGAGGTGGTGGGTCAGGGAGGTGGAGGAAGAGCACTTGCAACAGTTAGAATAAATGAGCTCCATTGAGTAGTATCCCTTACTGACCAAGAGAGTCCAGGGCTCATCAAAAACTGACCACTTGTTGGATTGATGATGACAAAATAACAGCCACAATATATTACAACAGGATTAATGTTATGATAATTAGGTTTAATGACAATTTCGCTTCTTTTTAGATCATTTTATTATGAATGTATTCATTAGTAATACTACACCATAACAAACCAGTTTAGGTTGACCTATTGTTATGGAAAAGAATCATATTGGAGTGGGAAAGAACACATCTTAAACTGCCGGAATTGTAAAGAGATGTGTCAGTGGGTTACTGAGTCACATTTTTGTGACAAAAAAAATTTGCGATGCTGGATTTACCCCGTTTTCCGTCAAGGTTTCTACAGAAATAAATCTACTGCATGGCAACGCTGCTTGTAATATCAATTGATATCTGTTCAATAAGCTAGAATTTAAAAAATGCTAAATATATTGTAAGAAGTTAAAGACCAAGGAACATTAAAAAAAATGGTCTTGGAAACTGTAACACAGTAGCTTGCTACAGACAACAGACTTGTTGTGGCCTGGGTTGAACTGTTAAATAATATTATTATTATAATTGTTAAACCTTTTCTGACTTTTTTTATAGCTCTGGTCTCAGCGTCGTTCTCTCCAGCGTCCATGAGTGCATACAGCCTGAGCTCCCTGAATATGGGGACCCTACCTCGCAATCTTTATCCGACAAGTCCACGAGGAACGTTGATGAGAAGGAAGATGAAGAAGAAGGATTACAAGAGTTCTCGTATGTGCTTGTCCCACTACAAAGATCACTGATCAGAACTAAACTCCTTCTCCCTGCCTCCTCTGGAATCCTCTCCCTCTATTGTGCCATCTCATCTCACCCACAAAATATACAGTCAATTCACTTTACAATATATTATGTGAAGCGCTTTGGGATATCTCGAAGATGTGATAAGGCGCTATATCAAATGCAAGGATTATTATTATCTCACTCCCTCTGTCGCTGTCTTTAAATCCTGCCTCATTTGTGCTATGATCCCACTCTCCTCTCTCTGTGTCTGACACTGTCCTTTGCAAAGAGCTCGAAGACGTTCTCCTATTTGAATATAAATAAATACTTACATTTGATATAGCGCCTTTCGTGTTGGATGGACCTCTCAAAGCGGGTCACAGTGATTTTAAAGTGTACTTTTTTTATGAGCGAATGCAGCAACCAGTTTACACACAGTAGTGTCCCACAAAAGCCGTGAAGTCAATGTCCAATTTTATCTCGGGAATTATTGGCCAGGACACAGGTTAGAAACTCCTTTCTCTGTATGAATAGTGCCATGGGATCTTTAACGTCAATCTGGACAGGCAGATCATTCACAGTTTAATGTCTCATCTGAAGGATGGCACCTCCCACAATACTCTAGTAGCTTTAACATGACTTGGTTAATGTTTTAATTCTTGGGCAAGTGTGCAAAAACAGCAAGTGCAATTAAAGTCCCACTGCATAGGTTGCAAAAAGTTGTGAGTTCAGTTGTGTAGTGGCTGAAAGTGATGCCTGCCATTGTTTATGTCATTCACAGTGTCTTTAGCCTCCAGTACGGTTGGTTCTGCGGGCCAGATTGTCCACACTGAGTCAGCAGAAGTAATCCTAACCAGTGACCCAATCTTAGGCTTCGGGATTCAGCTCCAGGGTGGCGTTTTTGCAACTGAGACCTTGTCTTCTCCACCACTGATTGCATATATCGAACCTGACAGCCCAGCAGAAAGGTGAGAACCCGCAGAGTTACATGCTGCAAACTGTTTCCGTAAACTTTGTGTGTGTGTGTGTGTGTGTCTGTCTGTCTGTGTGACACTTCAAGCTTGACATTTTGTGTTTACAATTAATTATGGATCATTGGTTGGCAAAACGGTTCCAATTAGTGAGTGCCCATTTTGTTAAATCCCACAATCTACTTAATTAGCTCCAAATAAAAAGAACAAGGCTTGTCACTTCTATTTAATTGTTCAATGTGAGAATGGGGAAAGTCATGATAACTGGATAGAACAGGAATCAAAGCTATGGAAAGCTTAGCACTAAAGAGACCCCAATTGCTTCCCCCACTTATGTATCTGAATCTAGAATGAGAATGATGTCCTATCTGGGCAAATTTCCACACTTTTTAAAAATTAAAAAAATGTCCATAGACTACATTTTGGTAAATATATTTCAAACATAGCAAACCGTACAAGACCAAGTAAAGAGGATGAAGGGAGAAAGTATACTTACAGACATGGTGGTGTCATTTTATACCAGGATTTATAAGCACCCACTAGTGTAAAAATGAACATACTTGCAGATAATACAGTGTTTGTGAGTCCTAACCAGAAAAGCTGCGTGAAGCTTGCAAGACGGTGCTTTCAGTGATGAGCAATGTGGCTTTAGATGGTTAAACTCCAGCAGTACCCCACTTTCTGCAATCTCCGAGTTTGGGTCTTGCTAATCTGTGCTGAATAATCTCAAAAATTATGGAAGCAGGGTGCATCTCTCCACAACGATCAGTTGGAATTTCCATACCCCCAGTGTCTATATAGAAAGAGAGGTAGAGAGAGAGAGAATCAAGACTTCCTTGAATTGATTCTGATGTATTGCACTGAATACTAAACCTTCGGCAACATTTCTGGCAAGTGCAGATTAAATTGTCTAAATCATGCCTAGAGTAACAATTAATTAGAATTGGGTTTTAAATCTTGTCACGTCACTTTAAGAAAATGCATCATGATTTTCACCAGGCAAAGGAAAAGGATGCCCTGGGTTCATCTTTTTGTTTAAGGTTCAATAGCAGTCAGGCTTTCTGATAAATTGCTTTGGTGCAATTCTTTGTTGAAGTGACTGCTTGAAAGATCATGTGACAGTGCTGCTTGACAGGTTTTTGACCTGTAAAAGGTGTGGGGCAGAAGTTCGTCCATAGAAAATTACAGATGGGAACAATCCTTATCAGACATTCAGAAGTTGTACACCTGAAGCCTCTTCTCTCGTGCCTCCTGAAGTGAATCTGACAGATGGTGTTTCTATCCCTGTGTGTGGCAGGTGTGGAATGCTGCAGGTGGGAGACAGGATTCTGACCATCAATGGCATCCTTACTGAAGACAGCACCCTCGAGGAAACCAACCAGCTACTCCGAGACTCTGCCATCACCAGCAAAGCCACTCTCGAGCTCGAGTTTGATGTTGCAGGTAACTCTGACTTTTGCGCACAGTGTGAACTAAATGAGAAAGTATTCGAATGTGAGTTTTTTTTTTAACAGTTGCAATAAAGGGCTGAGGTTATCGAATGAATACTGTGGCTTTGTCCTAATCTTTTCAGTTCACTTAAAAGCTTTCACTGTGACAAGACCAACCTATTACAAGAAGCTCCTGATAGTTTTGAGGTTGACAAAAGGGTTGCAAGCAGACCTTTCAGTCAGTTTTCTTTTAGTTGCGTTCATTCTTTTGTGCACATTGTCAGAATAATGTATTGTCCGACACTTTTTAAAATATGTATTCGCATCCACTTTGTTCAACCTTCATGCATTTCTTGCGCAGAATCGGTTGTACCAAGCAGCGGCACATTCCATGTGAAGCTACCAAAGAAGAGTGGAGTGGAACTCGGCATCACCATAAGTTGTGAGTATTTGCCCAAGCTTCAGACGCATCACACAGTCCCTTGACAATTTACTTCTGTAACAATGTCAACCTTTACACCCTTCGACCATCAACCTGTTCATAACCATAGTTAATATCTTGCTCTGTACAATGCCATTTATACTGAGTAACATTTTAAATTGGATACTTTAATGTGTTTTTCTTTTTTTAAAAAAAACAGGATTGGGGAACAACATATTTACTGATAAATTCTAAGTAACCAGTTTAAACCATTACACTATTTGGGAAAAGTTTATTTGTTTTTCCTCTCAGTCTTTTTCCTCACGCTTCTTTCTTCTTTGCCTTTTTCTTGTTTACGTTTTCTCCTCTCTCTTAAACATTCTCTTTTTACCTTGTTTCTCTCCCAACACCACGTACCACATAGTGGTGGATCCTGGCTGTGAACTTGGTCTAGTGATGCTGAGGGGAGATCTGGAAATGGACCCCTGACCATACAATGAATATCCGTAGTTTAAATGTACACCAATAGAGTAAACGTTTTCATACGTTTTGAAATTGAAACAAGTAGGATTAGTGAAAGAAGACAGTCATACACTTTATATTGTATAGAATCTGCAGTTATGTTATGTCTCTCTTCCTAAAGACACTGCCTCAAACTAGGCTGAGGTTCCAGGGATGTCGGAAGCCCTCTGGATCCAACTGATTATTCTTTAGATCTGAACTGAGGCAGTGGAGTGTCACACGCCAACCGCTAAAAAAATAGTGATCTTGCTACTTGTTTGCAGTGGGACACGGCTACTTTTAACAATTGATGCATGATAGACTCTGTGTTTCGGGGGGATGTGTGACTGTGGCATGCATTAGAACCACGTGTAATGCCCTAATGTTCACTGACTTTCTCTCAATGAGGGGTTAGTTGACTGAAATGAGGAATGGGAACCCTGGTTGATTTCCCTGCTGCCTTCTTCATGCAGAATCCTCAGTCAAATGTAATACCTTTGTCACCAACCCTGGGATCAGCTAACTAACTCACTGCAGGTCAAAATGACCTGGTCTGCATGGTTCAGTAGCCCACTGAATGTTGCATGTAACCGCTGAGACACCAGGGGAACTTGCAACTACAAATATTAACTTTTTCATGTCTCACCGGCCATCACTTATCTCCCACTGTATTCCTTCAAGCTGAAACGCAAGGACAATTCACAGACACATAGCTGGTAAAGACGTGTCACTGTGACTGAAAGCAGATGCACTTGTAGCAGAGGGTCTGCTAATTTAGTGGTGCAGCCTAGATGCAAGAATTCATAAGGAGATAAGGCGGGGGTGCGGGGGATGGAGGAAGTAGTTAAGACAGATCGGCAAACCTCTTCTGTCACTCATTCAGATCAGTCCTCCTGTCCTAGGGTTATGAAGATGACAATTAAGAAAATACATTGCATGAATTATAAGCAGGTTAGCATGACACAAGTAATAAAATTGCTTTAAAAGCATTTTAATGGGCTCTGTTCAGGTTCATCCATCAAAATGAATGTGATCTTGTGTTCATCCAAGGCATTGTATAGGGCAAAACTTGAGTGCCAATAATTGACAGTAACCAGAGATCTGAAATTACCAGTGACTTGCCTGTGAAATAAGTCCAAACCTATACTGAAGATGTAGTGGGAAGCAATTTTGCACATCAGCTTTTGAACTTGTCTTTGTAGCATGGAATGATGGCAGTAGGATATATACGTGTGGAAATTCCATTCAGTGATACATACGTGGCCCTTGGGATGTCAGTGCACTAATAGGATTTCACATTATAGACAACCCTCATCAGAGGTGAGGCACGGGACCCTGAATGGAACTTTCACCTCAGTTGTAGGGTGTACAGCTAAGAAATGCAGAAGATAAACCGAAGAATGCTGATTCCTCTCCGCATATTGCATTATTGTGGAAACACTTAGACACACTTAGAATGCTTTACTTTGTTGTCACCAAAGCTCTAAAGGAGACATTCAAATTGATTTACCATCAAGAAACCCGAATGTTGCTAACCCTGTGCTGTAGATTTGTGTAGCACTCTTTAAGCAACAGTGATGAAACGGAAATAAATATTTCAGAGCTAAAATAGACGTGTTTAAAACACTGGTGAGTCCATTTGATTCAAGTGTATCAGGTGGAGTATTTAATAATAATCCTTTCACTTGATGTGGAGCCTTTCATGTCAGAAGACATCTCAAAGCACTTCACGGGATACACTATTTGCTACTGTGGGGGCAGCCAATTTGCACACACCAGTATTCCACAAACGGCCATGAAGTGATTGATCAGTTTTATTTAGGGAATTCTTAGTCAAGACTTGGAAGAAATTTTGCTCTCTGTTCAAATAGTACCATGGGATCTTTAACATCCATCTTGGATCTTGGTTTAACATCACCCAAAGGACAAGACCTCCAACAATTCAGTGTTCCACAAAGCTGCACTGGAGTGTCAGCCGAGACCTTGGGCTCAATCAAAAAATGAATTACACCTGCATTAAGCACCTGCATTTCCCTCTGTATGCGAGGGATTTCACATGGTGCATAATATACAGTTTACCCATCGTGCTTAACATGCCATCGTAATGTGGGGATCAAATTCTACAGATGCTTGACTATGATTAAGTCGCTAATACAGTACTAGGAAAAGAATTGCAATTTATCCATTAAATTTTCCGTATTCACTGGTGTGTGTAAAGCACTTGTTTTAAGAAAGTGTAACATTTAACACTGTTAGATTGAACTGATCAAAGCCTGATTCCCTAGTGACGGTGTAAAACCAGGCAGCTCCTTGATTAGTCATGAGTACATGTCATTTTCTTGGCACATCACCTACATCTCTTCTCTGGCTCCAGTGATGTGGTATCAGTGATATTTCCTCTTGTAGACCACATTCACATGTTGCCAATTGAGAATAGAATACCTAGTGTCAGAATTACAGGGCAGTGCTAAAATACTGGCTTGCTAACTTCCCATTTAAGTGATATTGGTGTACTTTACGGCTTAAATTAATGCTACTCGCTAAACCTCATTTACTGCAGCAACTTGCAACCCATTAATTAAACAGTTTGAATTTAATAACTCAGTGAGTTAAGATGGTACCTCTTTTTTAAAAAAGGAAAATGAATGCAGTTCGGAGACTGCACCTGTTTTTCACAGTTTACGACGAACATCTTTCTCCAGAGGGAACATGCACAGGAATCAGCACAGCTCAGGGCTGCGCTCTTTTCTTCCACTGACAATGTTTAAGGACAGGGGAGGAAATTTAAGCTTGAAAGTTTTTTTTAATCCCGGACTATATTCCAATTACTTGTCAGCTGGTGATTAATTTATGAGCTGAGTTTTCCAGCACTTAACTGGGTTTAAGAGAGAGATTCCTCGTTGCGCCTGCTGTATGAAAGAAAATGAAATGTGTTTTGGAAGATGAAAGGCCTATTGTGCCGTTAAACTGCTGACAGATTTACTCACATGCTGCTGCAGCACAAAGGTCAACCTCAGGATATTCCTGGTTTGAAGCTTGCTGTAGATTAAATAATAATAATCCTTTGATACAGCACGTCATGTCTTCGAGACATCTCAAAGTGCTTTACAGGATATACCGTAAAGTGAATTGACTGTATTTTTGTAGGCGAAACACATTAAATTCAGTCTTGTCTTATTTCTTCTGATCATACAATGCCAGGTTGAGAAATGGACATCCGTGTCTCCAAATACAGTACTTGGGAATTGAGAATTGGAAATGGAATTGTGAATATACAAACTCTGGATAAATCAGAGCCATGGTGTGTAAATGTAAAATCATCCATGGCATTCCAAACTAAATACAGTATGTTACTGTGTCAGAAGCTTGTGGGTTCAAGCCCCAAGTTGGTACTTGGAATCACATAGCCTAAGCTGACACTGCACTGCAGCACGGGGCGGGGTTGGGGTTGCATTGTTGGAGGTGCTGTCCTTCGGATATGATGTTATACCGAGGTCCTGTCTTCCTCTTCAGGTGGATGTTAAAGATCACATGGCACTATTTGAAAAGAGAAGGGAGTTTCTCCTGGTGTTCTGGCCAACAAATCCCTCAAATAAAATTGGTCAACAACAACAACTTGGATTTATATAGTGCCCTCCATGCCGGACGGCGTCTCAGTTAATGGCTCGCTGTGGGGCATTGCTGTGCGCAATTGGCTGCCACATTTTGCCCACAAAATACACATCCAAATCCACTTTACAGTATATCTGTGAAGCGCTTTGAGACGTCGCATTGACCTGATAAGTCGCTATATCAAATGTAAGGATTATTATTATACATACACATATGTAAGTGTTCCAGGATGTGTGTTTTGGATATTACATTTACTGTCATTTGACATTCCATGTGTTCAATGTGCTGGAAAGATAATAATAATCCCAGCATTTGATATAGCTCTTATCACATTGCTGAAAGTGCTTAACAGGATTTAATGTGTAATGACTGCATTTGTAGGCGAATGTAGCTGCCAATTTGAGCACAGCAGTGTCCCACTGGCAGCTTGTAAACAGAGCACCAGATTTTGCCATTTACTGAAGTGCAACTTTACTGAAATATTCTATGCATCCTTCCCACCCCAACACCCACTCACCTACCAATTAATGTGAAGCTGATGCATCATATTTGAAGTGCGTGCATGTTTCTTTAACATATTCAGTGCTCCAGTATGCATATTAGTTATTCAGTTACTATCCAGACAAATAGCTTGCACCACAATCACATGAAAATTAAATTGGCAAGGTTTTTGTAATGTCTGATTATTTATACATATTCTTTATACGCTGATTTTTTTAAGATATGTTAGTCAAAATACAAAGGGAGCCTTTACACTGGTACTGCTGGAGTGTAACCAGCTAAAACTGGTTGCCATTGATAGCGCTGTCTGGCAAGCTTTCCCGCAGCATTCCAGCTAGGTCTACCATACCTGTTAGGGCTTTGCTGGCAGGATTAATGGTAGTGGGAAGAGTTCCTGCCCCCAGTGACTGTTCTGCCATTCTAAGTACTGCCAATGAGCCAGGCTGGCTGTGCTGTCATCAGCAATGCCCTAGAGTACTGCAGATCCATCTGGCTCAGGAACTGAACTACCGAGACTGCCACAGATGCTGACAATCTGTTGGCAGACATGTCATCTTACAGCCAGTTCAGCTCCAAGGAGACCCAGCTTATCTCCCCCAGCTCCCACACCACCACCAAGGAGGATACTATACATTTGTCATCTGCATAGTTATGCCAGATAAACGTCATTCATTCACATTCATAAAATTCATGACCGTACATCGCCTATATCTATTTTTAAAAATGACTCAATGATTTATTTCAGGATCAAATTATCTGATTCATAGTTGTGTTTAATGTCTTTTTTTTGTACTGCTAAATTAACCCTATTGTCTGTGAATCCTCACAAGCATCAAAACTAGTAGAAGACTGAATACAGTTTTATAATTTTGAAGGCAGTTGTATTGACCTTAATGCGTTTTGTGCATCTGCGGGTAGTCTATTGAGGCTGGTCTGAAGTTTTTCCTTCTTCCCCTCCCCTCACCCCGAAAAAAATATATTCCTTTTTGCTCTTTTTCTCCATCTCCTTTTGAAACAGTTTGATCTAAAATTAGTTGAGAGACCTTTACAGTATAAACACCAACAAAGGCGTATTTTCCTTTTGAAAAATGTCTTGCATTATAAATTTTGTGTTACCACAGCACCTGCAAGCAGAAAACCAGGGGATCCTTTAATTATATCCGGCATCAAAAAAGGGAGCGTTGCCCACAGGTGAGCATGGTCATATTTACTTTAAAAGAAACCCACAGCCTCCTGCACATTTGCTATATTAGTTCTGCTCAACACCGTAAATACATGGAACCCCTATCACAGTGTATTCCGATATAGTACTGCCTCACTTATAGCCCAGCTCTCCCATGAGACAGGAATAACCGTAAATGCGATAGACAAGGCTTCCAGTGCTGGCTTCGTATTTCTAGTTCATTAATGGGACACGTCTTATTACCAAAAGGTGAGATAATGCGATTTGCGTTTCTCCAGAAAACCTAGTAGATTTAGGTTTTGCATCTTCATGTGCGTGTGTGTCGCTGATCTTCTTGGTATGTAACGTTAGATGAAACATACCCTACAACTCACCAGGTTCTGAACCGGTCACAAGCAACTAAAACAAAGCAATGACAATTCCCTCAGCTCCAACCTCACCCATGCCGCACCTCTGGGGGAAGATGGCAACATGAGATCAGTAAGAACCTCAGTGCTGTGGTGAGGTTCCGGCTGTTTCCTTCGTCCCATTGTTCCAAACTCCCGTGTGTGTAACTACTGCAAAGACTAAATGCATTGACTTGTGGTTACCTTCCAATGTCAGCTGTAGGTACTTAAGTACTTCTGTGTATACAGTGTAATCATTCAAATGACCTGTTGAGCAATAGAACTGTCTGGAATTAAGTGCCTCCAACTAACGATATGTTCTATAAGTTAGCAAGTTGCACTAAACAGATGACTTTGTTTCTGAGCAGGACAGGAACATTAGAGCTGGGGGACAAACTGCTTGCCATTGACAACATCCGCCTGGACAACTGCTCTATGGAGGATGCAGTTCAGATCCTTCAACAATGCGAAGAGCTTGTGAAACTCAAAATACGCAAAGACGAAGACAACTCGGGTATAGTGGATGAAGTGACCCAGTTTATTCACAACACTTATATGATACACTCTCCATCAGTTTTCTTTTCTGTTTTTAAAAACTTTAAAATGAGCAATGTAAACTTAATGTTTGAGGGATTAGAGGTCATTCTAGTTTTACCTGCCCAAAAAAGTCCTGGTTGTGAATCTATTTAAATTCCCTCACCTCCAACCTATTTCTGTTGATCAATTTCTGTTGACGAATTGCTATCTGTGGTGCACAACGAATGGAATGGGTATGTTTCAATAGGGAGAAACTGTTACGGTGGTATAAAGAACAGAGTAAATTGAAACACAAAATTTAGGTCAACATGTCAAGGTTGTTATCTTCTTAACTTCAACTGCTTAGAACTCTATATGGATTTTTGGCTCAGAGGACAGATAAGCAATCTGCTTCTATGTCTATGTCTGCTCTACTCTTGATTCAGTCACCAGAGAATGTGTCAGAGGAACCAAGAGGGAAGTGGCTCATCTAATGATTTTTATAGCTCGTTGCTGTTCTAAATCAAGGCCTCGCTGGGTGGTTTATTGTAGGCGCACCTTACAGCTTGCTTCTTCCAATACACAGTGTCGGAGCATCAATGCACCACACGATGCACGATGTTTGTCACTGAGATACATTAAAGTTGTAGGCTTGTGATTGATCACAAGTCAAGGAAGTATAAAATCTGAAAGATAAATCACGATTATGCTGATGCTCAGCAGAAGCAAGAACTTGTTCCACTTCAATACCAAATTAATCCAGTCCTGGTTACTTTTTAAAATAAATTTTATTCTCTGTATAAAAAATACTCAAAGAATAAATCGCTCTCCCCAAAATTTCACCAAATTAATTGAGTATAAACCACCCAGGGAGTCCTTGATTTAGAACAACAAGCTATAAAAATCATTAGATGAGCCACCTTCCTCTTGGTTGCTCTCACGCATTCTCTGGTGACTGAATCAACAGTAAAAGAGTGCAGTAAAACTAGAGCCAGTTTCAAGTTCCAGCTCCATATCTAGCTCCTATGTTTTGGACCCAAATGCACTTAATACATAAAAATGATTCACAGAATTCTGTGGAGAACGATTTATTCTTTGCGTTTTTTTACACAGAGAACACAATTTATTTTAAAAATACTTACTTGTTTGTCCTCACTTTCAGTCATCTTTTCTCACCCCACCCTCTTCATGTCCCACCCCCCAGCTCAGGTGCCCAGCCAGCAGTGTGAAGCACTTTGAGACTTCTTCCTGACATGGAAGGCACTACATACATTTACATTATTGTGTTATGTTTTTGTCGCTTTAATGTTTTTCACTTCTGAAAAACTAGAACCTTCACACAACCTCTTCAAAGATGCTATTTGAATTGATTCCAAAAGATTGTTGCAGAGTGGAACCATAAAGTCAAAGAGTAGATCTTAATCCATATAATTCTGACCAAAACAACACTGCAAGTAATTTGCGACATCCTTACTTTGCTGCAAAAATGTAACCATTGAATGGTTAAAGAGAGCTTTCCCAGAGAAGTTATTTTGCAGTAAAACTGCTCAGAAGACAACAGCCACAAGATAATTACAAGTCACATTTAACAGAATATAATCTGGAGGTTTTGCTGTGTTGTTTTTGACATCTTAATTATTACGAAAGTGCGCTGGAGCAAATCTGCTGTGAGTCACCCGCACTGAGGAGGCACAGGAGCAAGCTTTGACATTTATGCATTCATCAAAGTGTCTTTGAAGACCCAGGCTATAATTTGTTGTCCATGCTGCATAATTATATGTCACAATTCTTTCAGAGGTATGTTTTCAGTTATGCAAAAATAATCGACAAGTATGATTAATCCTTCGGAGGGGACAAAGGCTGCAAGATAATGCGCTGAAGTAATATTAAAATGAAAATAAAAAGCTACCTGCCAGGACTCTTAACATATGGAAGTAACATAGTTTAAAGTCATCATATACCCAGAATTTGGTGCTTATGTAGTGTTAGAAATGTGAAATGGTTTTCGATTCACTGTCAGTCTTAGCATCAAGTGTTGTCTGATCAGATTTTGCAATGAATATCACAGATGTAGATTAAACTTTAATCTACAAAAGTCCTGTGTATCTTTGATTTCACAGGACTAACCTCACTGGTCAAAATTGTCATATTTTCATTTCTCACCCCACTTTGTCTAAATACGATCATCAGACAAATGATGATTTATGGCTAGTTTTATTTTCTTGGCTGATCCCTAATATGACACATTTGACATTACCCAAAAAACCCTTCAATTTGTTGGAAGACAGAGTAGACCGTTTGAAAGTATTCATTTGTTTAAAAGGAAATCCTTGCAGCCATAAGATAAGGGAACTGAATCAGTCTGCGATCAATTTGAATCCAGGGAACAGAGATAAAATGACATTGTTCAAAACTTCACTGGACTACTGAATCCCTCAGAATGTTATTATCCTGGCAAACCATTAATATTAATTGCAAACTTCTATTCAGTCTTTTGTTAGTTATGTAACTCATAATTGTGATGTAAAGTGCTTTGAGGTGTTCTGCTACAGAACAACAAATTACATTTGTTTAGCGCCTTTCACGCTGGGAGAATGTACCAAGGTGCTAATCTATACATCAAAGGGGCTATAGATTTGTTGTTGTTGGCAGGGTACAAATGCCTGTAGTTTTGATGAAGATAGGTCGTCACTGAACAAGCACAGCCACCCCTTTGCAGAGAGTATGTGTAACACGTCTATGACTCTTCAGAGATGTCTAAACTTAGTACTTGACCAGCTTATGGTTGGTATTTAAAGCCTAAAGCATTTTGAGCCTATTGAGTAATAGACCAAACTTTTTCTGTAAGGAATGTTAAACTAAAACCCCTTTTTATATAATGTGTCTCTTATACCCTATTCTATCTGTAAATTCAGATTTGTTTCAAATCTTATTATGAACTGAAACAAAAAGTTTGAAGTGCAAAATGATAGCAATTGAAATTTGTTATAGCTTTGCCAATCTGAAAAAAATACTTCATGTTCATCTACAAAATAAACAGTCACTACACTTTACAGTATATATTATGCAGTGTTTGAAACATTCTCCCAACTATATCAAATGCAAGAATTATTTATTTGGATTATTCACGTTTTTTCTTCAAGTGAGCAAAGATGTGTTACGCTAAATGAGTCCAGTACTCATTGTGTTTGTGTGTGAGTGAGAAAAGACAAGTAATAATGACCTCTCTAATAAGCGCAAGTTCCTTCCTCTGATCTCCACACACTGCAGGCTATGCACAGAAGAAAAATCAATATTTTATGTAATGTTAGTGTTGAACATGTGCAGCAGAAGCATTACATTTTGCCCTGATTGTGGCAGACAGTGATTTAGAGAGAGGTCATTTGTGCAATGAGTTGCAAAAATCCACACAGATCACAGACTTGCTGAAAGGCTGAATGAATTCTTGAGTTTCCCAACAGCCTTATTTGGTTTTATTATTAGGATGAGCCACAAGATGCCGTCCTTCTTGATGGAAGATGTATGGCATCTTTTGCATGTATATAGCACTCTTCACGTAGGGTAACATCTCAGAGTGCATTAAATAGACAGGGTCGAATAAGTAAGGGAGAAGGGGTAGGTGACCAGAGGCATGATTTAGTTAGGATTTAAGGTGGCAGTTAAAGACAGACAGACAGAGAGGGGCAAGATGGACAGGTAGAGTGTGGGACTTCCAGAGGTTTGGGGAGTAGGAAGTGGGAGAAAGGAAAGCTGAGGATTGAGATGGATGCCAAGCTTGTGCACTGTTCAGTGAGTTTGAGCGAGTGGTCAGGGAGCCTGAGTCAGTCAGTTAGGTAGAAGAGAGGATATGCTGGCAGGAGCCTAGAAGGATGGTTTCCATCCAGGCCCTGATGTCTGGCCGGCAAGCAGATATCAGTGGACCTGAAATCAAGAGGAGAAGTGGAAAAGTAGATTTGGGTTTATTGTGCTGTGTTACTGTGGAAAAGGTGGTGGGCAAGTGAAAATCTAGGTCAGTAACAGCTCTTGTATTTTGCCCACAGATACGTGTTCTATTGGTATGCTGAACACCATTAGCAGAAATTTCGGGAAACAAAGTGCCTAGGCAAATACTGAGCAGATATATGGGAAAGAAATGAGGAGGTTAAGACCTCAATAGCTATTTGGTATTGTGGGCTGAATCTATTGTTGGCTAAATGAATAGCCCAGGTATATTGACTCAAATCAATCTGGTTAAATCTTAACCAAGTCTATCAAACTGGAAACTAGGCTGACCCAGTTGAATCCCTGTTCCTCCAACTGAATAACAGTGCAAAGAGTCAGCTGTGTGTCATCTTGCAATTATTACTTGTATGTTCCTGTTATCACTGGGGAGGATAAAGGCTATAGGAGGAAGCAGTCTGAAACCCTACATAGTCTGAACCAAAGAGTGCTTCTCATTTTGGTCTCTCCTGACAACACATGACAAGGGAGGTGAGGATAAGTGCATTTTGGCCAAGCGAAGAGTAAAATTCACTCTAGCTGTTGTTCATTGCACATATGTTAGATGAGAAGTTAATGGTATTTTTTTTTCTTTGTATGTCTTCATGTTATAAAGGACCTAGAGGAAAAGAAATGAACTGCTCAATAGAATCCAGACAAGTGGTGTGAAGTACATTCTTTGCATTTCTGTTGCTCCTACTTTGTATACTTAGATCCTCTCTTTAATTAATTCAGCTATTACCTTTGTACCCAAAAAAATCCTTTTATTGTTTCTATTCCAGATGAGCAAGAGAGCTCGGGGGCGATCATTTATACTGTAGAGCTAAAACGTTACGGTGGTCCTTTAGGAATTACTATCTCAGGCACCGAAGAGCCATTTGATCCAATTGTCATCTCAAGTCTAACAAAAGGGGGTCTGGCTGAAAGGTAAGGTGCTATGTATTTTGACCCTACCAACTTGCACAATCCCCGAGATAGAAATTCCTCCACAATGGCTGAACCTTTCATGAGTCTCCTCTATTAAAAGCATTGTAAACTCATGTCGAGATTTGTATTGATTTTTAGGAATATAACTGATGCACAGGATCATTATTTCACAGAATCTGATTTGTTTTTTTGGTACTATTAATTTTCTGCTCAGTAGATCAGTGGTAGCTCAGGATACCTGATTGAATATGAAAATGTAACCGCTCATGCACATTTGAATTGGTTTAAAAAAATGTTGCCGCTATGTGTTTGTTTTATGCAGTTACCCTGTGCTCTTTTATGTTCCTTATGCTGTAATTTTTTTTAATGTTTCCTAAATCTTTTGTTATTGCATTTCAGGACTGGTGCCATTCATATTGGAGATCGTATCTTGGCTATAAATAACAGCAGTTTAAAGGGTAAACCTCTGAGTGAAGCCATTCATCTTCTACAGATGGCAGGAGAGACTGTCACCTTGAAAATTAAAAAGCAACTCGATAGTGAGTACTGAACTTGCTGTATTTACATTTTTTTAAACCAACTGACTGGATAGTTTAAAATTCATGGCCTGCCCTGCCGTGGGATTTTAAACAAGCTGAGATTAGATTCAGTAAGATTTCCTCTCTTCTGTGGAAAAGGCAAAGGAGTGTTGGTAAACTGCAGGGTTTAACCCCAGTTTCTGTAAAGCAAATGAAAGAGCACTACTCAAATATTTAGTGCAGTTATTTGCGCTGGGTAAGTGTGAGGGCAAGTGCCCAGTGTCCACTTGGAAACTGCCCTAATTGTAAGATGGAGATTGAAAGTGGATTCTGCAGATCCAAGTCCCTTCACTTTATACAACTTGTTACTTTTCTGAGATTGACCCTGGAGCAAGACATTGGTTGATATTTGGTTGGGACTAAGGCAATTTATTGGGGTTAGAGCTGGGTTGATAAGAACACAGCTCTATCCCCAATAAATTTTCTTAGTCCCAAGCTCATAAGAGCATCTTCCAATTGTACCAGTTCAGTATTTCAATGCTGTGTATCAGCCATCCTTTCTTTGAGTGAGAACCTCAGTTGCTTCCAAATATGTCAACTATGTGCTCCTTAGATGAAATTCACATTGGATTCATGTTACATTGAATTCTTGGAATCGTTACAGAGATGAAACCTCCACCTATTCTGGACAGGATTTGGGTCCCTGTCCCAGATGTGAAATGTTAAGAGTCCTCAGCCACAATGTCGCTCTATGTTTTACTTCTTAGCCACAATGAAGGTTTGAAAAATATTCTCAATATATGCAATGGGTATTACAGGGTAGATCTTGAGAGATTTGAACGATAAAGATTCTTCAGCCCATTTGATTTCAACCTTTTGAAATACCCAGCCTATCATCCTTTCATTACAAATCAAGCTGTTTTAGAGGTGAAGGTCAATACGAAATTCAACTTCAATACAAAATTATATTCGTATAGCGCCTTTCACATCGGGAGGATGTCCCAAGGCAACTTCAGTGATCAAAGCAAATTATAGTCATGTCATGTGCTTGTCTATAAAATTATTTGGTGTTTTTTTCACTTTTGCAGTGTCGAGTCCAAAAAAGTCCTCTATTTCAGGCCAGCTGAGTGAGCTGAGTGATGTGGAAGATGAGATTCCCACTGTCCAGAAGCCAGTGAAGCTTTGTGACATATTCTCTACCACTATCCCCAGTGTGGACAGTGCTGTGGAGTCCTGGGATGGATCAGGCATTGACACTGGTTACGGAAGTCAAGGTAAGGAATAGGATGTTCTTTCTCCCTTGCCATGTTATTCCCCCCCACCCCTCGTCTTCCTGTTTTTAACTGCTTTTGTTTTTTTTATAACCAGTGTTATACTTCAAACAGAGGCCATTGAGTCTGCTTTACCATTAGGTCGTGGCAGCATTTTATCTTTCTCATAATGTTTGCCTTTTTTCCTCTCTTAATACCTTTACTTCCACAATACCTACCACATTCTAAGTGCCACTGTCTGAATCTGTGACCTTCTGGGACAGTTCCTTGTCATGTGGAGTCCTGTAGCTCAGTGGTTAGAGCACTCGCTTTGCAAGTGAGAGACCTGAGTTCAATTCCAGGCAGAGGGCGAAACCTTGGGCAAGTTTCCTTACTCCACACGCCTAATAATAATCCCTCCAAAACCAAAAACAATAATAAATTGGTCATTTTCAATCTATGACGCTTTGTGGGACATTGCTGTGCGCAATAGGCTGTCGCGTTCGTCCACAAAAATATACAGTCAATTCACTTTACAGTGTGTTCTGTGAAGCACTTTGGGACGTCCTCCCGACGTGAAAAGCGCTATATCAAATGCAAGGATTATTATTATTATGTATCAGATGGTGTTTCACTACCCACTAAAAGCCAACAACCCTAGCAGTGCAGCAGTGGCAGTACTATAGACAGGGTTTATGACCGTGTTTTTTTGTAACCATTTGCTCTTACCATTTTGTACGAGATACTTGAACATCTGAGAAAACCATCACAACTTTGTTTTTTTAAGAAAAATCCAATCAAGGGGGAAATTCCGTAACTTTGTGTATGTGAGTGGGTGCCAGAGAATAATTTTTAATTGTTCCTTTGCCTGCAGAGCCTGCTGGATGCTTTATGAAATGACTGGTAATTGAGAAATGGGTTATATGGTTTCCATAGATTTCTCCTTGTGGGATTGGCACTGGTGATTGTTATGTGACCAGAAATACCGCTGATGGATGTAGATATACCTAGAGAAATGGGAAGAGAGTCAGTCATCCTGCACCTGTTAATTTATTATTTACTAACCTATTGATATTAAGCTGGGATCTTCAGCTTCCCAGAGTAATCACTGTATTGCCAGGAAATGAGCACTGTGCTGCAGATAGACGCAGCAACATTTCAGCTACTCCCAGATGCAGCATATTGTTAAACATTATAGATAATTTTAAAGAGCAGAAACTTTCTGCTTTGTGCCAGCTGCTCAATGCAATTTACGGTAATCCCATAAAATGTTGAACAGCAAATGCTAAGAACTCGTTCTTGGGACACAGCAATAAAATATTGAAAGTAGGATTTGTAATCAGTAAAGGTCAAGCAGTCTACTGCTGTAATGAACAAATACAGTGGTACCAAGCTACAAAGACCAGGAAGGATCAATACCAAATCAACATGGTTCAGTAACACATTATGTGCTGCATTTACCCATTACACCAATGTTCCGCCTGGGTCTCAGGCAGAATTTCAGTAGGAACACTACAGTTGACCCTAGCGTGACACTGGGCTAGTGAGCAAAGTAATAATATTCCTGCTTTTAATCATTATCCAAGTAGTTGGTGCTGAAAAATGCCTTTAGGATTGGGGTTAGGATCAGATTGAGCTTGGCTGTGCTGCCTTTCATAGTCAAAGTGAGTATAAAATTAGGAAAAACAACGATATGTATCACATGCACTGCAGAGTTAGGATAAAGATAGTTACTATTCTAGTTTGGGAGTGGGGTGGTGAAGGGAAATTGACACCATCAAGTTGGAGAAAATAGTCCGATGATATCACTAGCTTCTGTTACATACCAGAGGTACAAAGCAGCAAACTTTTTTCACACTTACCAGTCTACATGAGAGTGATGAAGTTAAGTGGGACAGTGTGTGGGCCAGACTGCTGTGGAAAGAATAGTTAATTGAAAGGAAGTATTTTTTTTTAAGGTGGCAAGGCTTCTTCTCTTGAATCACGACAGGTCTCTTGCTCTCTGTCCCTATGGTTGTGTTGTCTATAGACAGAACATATTGCATTCTGTAAAATGCTGTCTTTTTATTTGTTTCCTGTGGATTTCAATCCATGTATTTTAAATATTCCTGGATTGTTTCCAAAATCAAAACACTGCAAATTCCATTACTTCCTCCAAAGGTCCTTCTGGATATCAAGCATCTGGCTACAGCCTTCACGCTCATGAATGGAGAAATGCTAAGCATATTGGCAATCTTTCACCTGTAACCAGGCAGCACAACAACCCTTATCATGATATAGCATTGAGCGATGATGAATGGGACAGGCCTACCACCAGTGGGTGAGTTCATGAATTTTTCATGCGGAACAACAAACTAAACTAGCTGTATTTTTATGTGCGATTTGGTTTTAGTTTCCCCTTGCTGAAAGATTTAATCTGCAAAATCTGCACCAGTGATGATCAAGAGCAGTTGCTCTCTGCTCATGTCCCAAAATGTTAGAGAATTGCAGATAGGCATCAGTACATTTTGCAGCTGAATGTTGTTTGATTTGCCGCATTGATCTTTTAAGAAGAAGAAAAGTGTGGGTTACCGGAACATGACTACCTTACTGTTTATTTCTCCTCCTCCAACCTCGCCCCGTCTCTCCAGAGGCTCAAAATTCCATCTAGCCTGTCAAACATAGGTTTTGTTTTACGATTTAAGATCGTGTAGAGTTGTCTTAATTTGGAAGACATTTCTTTGCAGTTCCTTAAATGCAAACCAACATCCAATTTACGAATGAATTTAAAAAAAAATCCAGAATTCTGCAGGATCTTAAATTTTAGGGCAAAATGATACTTACTAGCTGGTACTAAGAGGTGGAATTTCAGGCCCGGTCGTGGTTCCCACTGGCTGTGACTCTGCTCATGTGATACTTGAAATGCCAACCTACACAATGAGTGTCAGTGGCCATTTGACCTTAGGAGCCAACACAGTCGATCCCTATCCTTATCCTCACACTACAACCTAAAGGCTACTTTCTAGCAGTAAGATCTCTGGCTGCTATTCTCTTTTTATTATAAAACTCTCCTTCCAAGCCCAAGACACCGGGGTCAACGCTGGCACCTCTAAAAGTTAGTACAGACCAGGGATCGTGCTTGAGGCAACCTGAATCTGCATAATTATATGAGGGACTAAGGCTCAATGTCTATCCACAAAAGTTTAAAAATCTATATTTTTATGGAGTATTTGGGTAGGTTGTATTATTTTATCCAGTTTTCCTTGATCTTGCTGCATTTGGCCAACCCCTGGAAAGGAAAGTGGGAATATGACACTGCCTGAACATGCTGCATACCTGCTTGTTCAAGTTCATAAATTGCAGTCGCTGTGGTTTTACAGTGAGGGCGCACGAAAGTTCAGTGTGATGAGGAACACAGAGCTGCTCATTAGAACACGCAATCTTCGCAAGTTGAACTTTCATCTTACACAAATGCTTCCTGTTAAAGTCCCAGAAAATCAGACTTGTAGAAGTCATTCTGATGTTCTTCATTAATCAAGTTGCAGAAACAACAGATTTAAGACTGTTTGTTGTGTATTGTAAGTTGGGACTTCACCTTGACACTGAATAGTTTAAGTGTCTGTGAATACCTTTCAGCTATGTGGGCGGACATGATGGGTTAGAAGCTGACCAGGAGGAAAATTTTTGGTCCCAGGCCCTGGAAGATTTGGAAACCTGTGGCCAGTCTGGAATCCTGCGAGAATTGGAGGTAAAGAGGCCCTCACTTTCTTGCTGAGCTGAAGAAAATAAAAGTAACTTTCAATATCATTTTACGCCCCATTCATTATTCGCAGCGTTTGTATTTTGGCTCACATCATCCAATCTCACTTAATGATTGCAGGACCCTAGCTCTTTAAAGGAGATGGCGAGCAACCAAAACCAACTGAATTTGAAAAACGTGGCCTTATTGGTATATATTTCTACAAAAGTTGTTGTCTAATGTTTTGTGTGAAGCAACGTTTTTCAGATCTGGCTTCTCATACGGCTTCTAACACTCAATGCAATGCCTATAACCTGGGCCAATGGAAAAGTGCGGACATATTTGGTGAAAATTTCAGGGACATTTGTGCCAAATTTGGCAGAAAATTGCAGTATTTGCATTACATTTTTTCACTTTATTGATCGAACCTAAACATAAGGAGATAACACATATTAGATTGTTGCAAAAAAATTAATTCTTTAACGTAAACTGTGTGGCACTTTTTTTTTGGGGGGGGGGGGCAGTGACGTCAGGTAATCAGCGAGTGGCCCGTGGGCCAGAAACTTTTTTTTAAAGCAGATTTGTAGCGGAGGAGGGCGTTTATGGCGGATTCCGTGGGAGAAGTGCTGCCGCACTTTTCTATTGGTGCAGCCTATAACTTACCGCCGACAAACAGCTAAGTGTTTAACACTTATGTTGCTTTCTAATTCATATTGATACACGTGTATATATAAAAACATCCACTGTAGTTTTGAAAATACTGTTACTACCATATTGTTAATTTTTAAAAAAAGAGATAACCCACCTTACCATACAAAAGAGCACAATATGTGAGCAAATGTCTTACATTTGTTTCAGATTGCTTAACTGCACTGTTCATTCACGATCATTAATACAAAGAGCTGCCCTTTAATTTGGCTTTGCTTTGTACCCCTTTTGTATTGGTTAGAGCACTGTAATAAGCGAGAGGACCCAGGTTTGATGAGTGAGGGAGCAGGTGGCTCGAGGTTCAAAATAACAACAACAACTTGGATTTATATAGCGCTCTCCACGCCGGAAGGTGTCTCGGAGCGCTTTACAGTTTAGGATCCTGGGACCGAGCCAGGGGAAGGGGGGGGTAGGTGACCAAAGGCGAGGTCGAAATGGTCTTCAGCAGAGACCTGAAAATGGGAAGGGAGGGAGCGAGACGAAGGGAGTGAGGAAGGCAGTTCCAGAGCCTCGGGGCATAGTGGCTGAAGGCACGGCCGCCGAGGGTGGAGCGGAGGACTCGGGACAAGGAGGAGGCTAGACCCGGAGGAATGGTCTCAGACTGGATGTGGTTTCCGTGAAGCGTTTTCAGACGCCTCAACGATGTGATAAGATACTGTATCAAATGCAAGGATTTTCTTTAAATAATGACTTGACACACCCCAAAAAAGCACAGTATGTGAGCAAATGTCTCATTCATTTATGTTTCAGGTTGCCTAACCGCTGTTCATTCACAATCACTAATACAAAGGGCTGCCCTTTCTTTTATTTGGCTTTGCTTTTTACTACTTATGTTATTTAATCCAAAAGGCAACAATCATGTCTGGAAGTGCCCTGAGCCTGAATCAGGGCAACAGCCCAACCCACAGGGCACTGGGCAGACAATCAAGCTTCCACGAGAGAAATGCAGTCAGACCCCACTACAGTCAGAGCTCCCGCTGCAACACTTTACCACCAGATGCTGGGAGAACAAAGTCAATGGCAATTCGGAAAATCAAGCAAGAAATGAAAGAAATTATGTCCCCAACACCTGTGGAGTTGCACAAGGTTTGAAGCTGATGAGATGTTTTTCCAGTCCTGTTTTATGAGTTAGAAAAAAACTACATTGATTACCTTTTTAGGATCATCCATACTCTGAAGCAACCATCACAATCCTTTAGAGGTTGTGTGAGTGACTCAAGCATCCACCCCTTGACCCAAGAGAGACAAATTTCTTTTGGAGATGGCTGTCATGCCAGTAAACACAGAGTAGTCTACTTTATCTGAATTCTGTAAAACCAGCCCAAGTGTCTTGATGACATGATAAGGCACCATATCAATTGCAAGAATGATTGATTTGGTGAAATTTGCACCCTACCCGGGGCTTACTGAGGAATCACATCTCTTATTATAATGACAAAATTTCAAAGACAATTCAGCTTACAGGCAAAAATCAGCAGAATACTCTTTCAGTGAAATCTACTGGGAAGTTTTCTTATCACAGATGGGTATAGTTTATGAATGTAGTTATTCGAGGCCTCTAAACTAGTCAAAATGAAACATCTGCAAAACATGTCAAGTATCCCATGTGTTTTGTTAATTAAAATCACACAGCAGCAGAAAAGCTTTAGTGTGAAGGTGTAGTACACAAGATTCACTTAACTGCTCCTGTGTTGCAAGGGAACTGGAAGGAATCCAATAGTTAGATAGTAACCGATGCTCCCCATCGTGCTAGGAGAACATGGTTCAGAACAATCCCAATTCAGGACATGAGTTCACAGTCTCGGAAGAGACTCTTATGCAGAACTGCTCTGTTGGAGGAACTGTTCTCTGGATGCCAATTCAGGTGGATGTTAAACTCCCCATGAAATCATTCAGAGCATCAGGTTGCTCCCAGTGTCCTAGTCCAACAATCCTCTGGATAAATAAGGAGTTGACCTCATTGTTGATTGTGGATCCTTGCTGGGGCAAATAGCTACTGTTTGCTTTGAAAACAATTCACAGAAGTTGAGAGTCGATATCTGCGATTTGCTTTGAGGCGTTTCAATGCACAAGGTGTTATAAAATTTTTTAGATTTTTAAAAACTAAAGGGATTAAGGGCTATGGGGATGGGGCAGATAAATGGAATTAGATTAGAAAATCGGCCATGATCTTATTAAATGGCGAGGCAGGTTCGAGGGGCCAAATGGCTAGACAAAATTACACTGCTGATTTTTGGATAGCTTTTGTTACTATTAAGAAATCCAGTAACAATTTTACTGCATCTCAGCAGTATTAAATCTAGTTTGCATGTTGGAATGAATTTCAGAGATTTATTTTGCCACTAACTAGTGTCACCTTTTTGAAACCATCCAGATAACGTTGTACAAGGATTCTGATATTGAGGATTTTGGCTTCAGCGTATCCGATGGGTTATTGGAGAAAGGTGTATTCGTCAACAATATCAGACCGAATGGCCCAGCTGACCTTGGCGGTATTAAGCCCTATGACAGATTGTTACAGGTATCTCTACATTTAAGGAACTCAAATCTACTGCATTGAAGCCCAAATATCTCTGCGATTTGTTTTCCTCTGGTAACTCATTATAATTCTTACTGCTGCTTTCAAGTTTAATATTGTTTTGTCGTTCATAACATAACATGTTCGATCTATATATATTTGTCAAATATAAAACATATATATATTCATGACTCATTTTGCAGTATGTCCTGTGAAGCGTTTTGAGACATCTCAACAACATAAGGTGCTTTCTCAAATGCAAGGATTATTATTTTTAAATCTCACTGCGCATCTCTATTGTGAGTATATGGACTGACTAAACAGCAGGCTGACATTTGCTGCTTTTCCTTGTTAGGTAAACCATGTTCGTACCAGGGACTTTGACTGCTGCCTGGTGGTGCCTCTTATAGCAGATTCTGGCAATAAACTTGAACTGGTCATCAGCAGAAACCCACTGGCCTTTCAGGAGCTGCACTCTGTAGCTCCCGTATCCCAGGGAGGAGAATGGAATGAGCAGAGCGAAACACAAGGCTTCAGTCAACAAAAGGGAAGACTTGGTAGCACAGAGGCACAGGAAAATACAAACACATTGTAGTGCAAGGGAGTATTCAGTCTGATTGACTGAGGCATTGTGGATTTTCAATGGTGCTAACTCACTTTAACATTATTCATATATGGAAACCCTGAGTCACATGTCTCACAGGTTACAATGTACACTGGCTTCAAAATGAGCAGAAATCTAGAAACCCCACTGATAATGCTAAAGGCTATCGATGATTCTGACCGAACTGTGTAACAGTCAGTTTATGCAGGGCGTTGAAATGAAGGTGTTCCCCCCCCCCACCCCCCCCAAACTCACTAACCTAATGGTACACTTCCCAAGTGTTCACTGTCCTTACTCTAGTAAAGCTGATATTTTTATGATTAGCAATGAATAATGCTACCAGCTGGTTCCTGGGTAATAAGAAAAAAGAATTATTGCATAGGTGTGCTGTTTTTAAAATATATATATTAAAAATGGATGTTGTGGAGTCCTGTAGCTCAGTGGTTAGAGCACTCACTTTGCAAGTGAGAGACCTGAGTTCAATTCCAGGCACAGGGCGAAACCTTGGGCAAGTTTCCTTACTCCACACGCCTAATAATAATCCCTCCAAAAACAATAATAAATTGGTCATTTTCAATCTACGACTGTTTGTGGGACATTGTTGTGCGCAATTGGCTGCCGCGTTCGCCCACAAATATAGTCAATTCACTTTACAGTGTGTTCTGTGAAGCGCTTTGGGACGTCCTCCCGACGTGAAAAGCGCTATATCAAATGCAAGGATTATTATTATTATTATTATGTTTCTGGATCTACTCTGAAGTTGAGTATTAATGCACGTTGTAGACGTGGAATGCCGTTGGGTAGAAAAATATTTTCTACTGAAAAGTTAAACACAGCACAGGGAATTCAAGTATTTAGCTCTTACTCTGGGTACTGGTACGAGCGATGTTCCCCCAAATGACTATTTCTGTTAATATTTTATCCACTGACAAGGTACCATAAGGTAGGCAGGAAGGCCATGCATCCAGTGGTTCCTGGTCACTCTGCTCAGAAATCTCTCAACTATTTTTATCTCCTGTTCTTTACAATTTGCAAGAGGTAAGAGCCTGTCGATTACTCAGTGCTGATTTTAAAACAGAACCCATTCAATTCTCTCCCCTCCACCCACCTCATATGAAACCAACTACCATAGGTGACCTTCTCTTTGCCAAGATTTGGTACAGAATTTTATAAACTTTTTTTTTGCCATGGAGATTCTGATGTTGCCACAAGAACTGTAACTCGTGATGGACAAGTACTTAACACTTGGATTAATTTTGTCTTAAAATTGAAGCCCTTTTTTCAATGGGTGATTGATTGATCCTCAACCTGCTCAACTGTGTATAGTGCTCTTCTACGTTTTGGTCCAGAACTGAGTCTGGTAAATATTTAATGAACACATTTGTATTTGTAAAAGATTGACTTTGTATATTGGTATAACTGAAATATTGATGTAATATGAATTTAAAGCTGGCTAAATTTCAATTAGTATTATTGTTGGTTGCACCTCACTACAGTGTACCAATACATTGGTATTTAGAAAACTAAGGGCACATCAGTACCCTGCTTTGACTCATTGATTTGCACACACAAGATGTCCATTAGCAGTCACATGTGAGTTTTGTTTTGCTTTTTTTAAAAATAAAATCAGCACTGCCAGCAATACAACTATAATCTAAGTGAACTTGAATCAAACGTGTCGTAAATTACATCCTTTGGACAATGTATTTTTATTTGTAACAAAACGAGTATTATAAACAGCAAAGTATTTTTGTACAAATTTCCTACTTTGGTAGCATGATATTTATCGTCCTCTAAGGTTTTGGGAATCCTCACTGCTAAATTTGTATGGGATATGCAAAAATTACAATAAAAGCAGGTTTAAAAAAAACTACTTTTGCAGCAGTTTCATTTTTAAATGAAAGTTGTGTAATTGAAGTGCACATGCATAAAAAGCAGTAGCATATGGCAAAACAATGATAAAGATGCAGATCCTGTTTAGGTAAGATATAAGGTACGAGAGGGAGCTATGACACGTTGCAGAAAATAGTTGTTATTTTGAATGGAAATGATTAAAGAATAGTGTTTCTCGTTTTCCAGGAGAGCATTAGTTTAGCAATTTTTTTAAAAATAAGGGCCAACTTTGCTGTTCTCATTCAACCACCACTGAGCAGGTTAGTAACTGTTTTTCCATGTGTTTGTTGTCTTGACAGAAAATTGTCAGATTCAACAGTTGTTCTCTGTTGCTTCCAGCATTCAAGATCATTTTGAAGTGCATTTTTTTTTCAGAGAATAATATCCCTTGAACTTGCATCATGGTACATTAGTGTACAGTCTTCACCATTTATTTATTTTGAAAACAGCTGCTTGGGGATTACATCCTCGAGCTTCAGGAGTCCAAGTCGCATACTGCCAAGAGGTGAATCCACCAAGGATACCTACAAAACAGAGAAGTAGTTATGACAGACTGTTGGGAATATTTAACGGCTTATCTCCACCCAACAGATTGAGTTCAGCAGCCATATTGCCAAATATCCAGTAGACACTGGCCAACACATCAGGCAATGAAACAGATTCCAAATATATTTGAGCCAGGTCAGAGCTCTGCCTGTTTGGGGCGGATGCTACTGAGTGCAATAACTTGGACACTATCAACCATGTACATCATCAAAACTGAGCATTTTACCATCACCTGCTCAGGAGTCCAAACGTGTTACAGCTGTTTCTGGGTCATTTCAAGTTCATAGTCTTAATAGTCTATGGCTCCCCTCACTTTCCACTGGGACCAGCTTTAACCCCCAGTTTACGCTAAATTACTTGGTGTTAACCAGGCTAACAGTAAAAACTAAAAATTGCTTCTAGATGAGGGAGGAGAAAATGAGCCAATTCTGCTGGAAAGTCCGGACATTGGAATGAGAAGAGGATAAGCCTCCCATTCTCTCGACTTATGACAGCCATTTGGGTGAAGTACCTGAGAGCAACCAGTCACAATAGAAATGTAGACCAAATCAGCACTTTGGGATTGCATGAAAAAGCCCTCTTTGTGTCTGCTTTACACTAGGTACCATTCAATTAATGTTTTTATTTACAGACAAAAGATCTTTTGAAAGCCAGCCTTTCTCAAGGCTAATTTTCATAAAGTACCACTTTGCGAGACTCGACAGTCGGACCAGCCCCTCTTTCAAACTCCCTCATCAAAGAGAACAAATGGTTCTCTCTGTTCTCATGAGCAAAATAATCAATTATTAAATCTTTCATAACGCAGTACACTGAAATTCTCATTTACCTTGGATTGTTTTGTAGGAGTTTCCATTTCGTCCACAGTAAGATTGAGCCTCTTACTGTCAGGAGAAGAAGCAGCAGGAGCAGATCTGCAACATTGAGAGGACATGTCACCAGACTTGGCCAGAAAGGCATCCCTCCCACTGCTAGTCTGTGGAGAGGGGATAGATTCTGCTGTTGGGCTTTTCCGATCCTCGGCCATGTCTTGGTCCTCAAGCTCTTGGCTTGAGGAAGACCAGCTGTAATTCTGTGCAAATTCCAGGTCCGCAGAATAGGATGTTTCTCTCTGAGGTTCAGTCTCGCTTCTGGGCTCATTTATTTCACCGTCTGAGTGAGGTGCAAAGAAGTCTCCTTTTGCCTGACCGGAGGCAGTTGGGGGCGATGAGTCAATCGGGTTTGGGTGAGCAATTGTAAACGTGGCTGGTGCTCTGGCAGGGGTTGAGCTGGACTGCTGCTGGTTTACAGTCTGTGAAGGGGGCTGCTGGGACAGCGACTCCCCATTAGCGGAGGTAAACTTGGCTTTTGATAGATTCTCTTGTAGTAATTCACGTAGACGTGTGCTTCTGCGAGGACATCTTGTCTTTACTGCCCTAATAAACTGGTCCTCGGACGTAATGACGTAGACCCGCTGGCGCCCCCGTGTGACGGCAGTGTAGATGTGCTGCCAGTTTTGTCTTCCTGCTACTCCCACAATGTACACAACTGTGTCAGCTTCAGATCCCTAGGCAAAATAGGAGAACGGTACTACGGGGAGATTCATTATAAGGTACTTGTTGGGATCCATGAAATTCCCAACCCATGCTATAGTGAATTGCAACAGGAGGTTTGACTGTGCGCACGCAGCTGGCTGTCCCTGTACCAGCAGTGTCGCTCACTTTCTTTGCTGCACATGCGCAAAACAGGAAGGGATATGCACAGTGCCATTTAATGCAAAAGCCACCAGTGTGTTGGACATAAGCAGGTCAGCTGTGTACCTTCAGAGTGAATTGGCTCCACAGTGCACCCCCGTTATAACCAAATTCACCATGGTGAAGTGGGTTACAACTGTACAATTGGGGCTGCACTGTATATGAGCAGTCAGCAACATACACAAGGGTCTAGCCTCAGGCAACTCAAATCAAAGGCTAGACAAAATAATAATCGTTGCATTTGATATAACGCTGATACGATGCAAAGCACTTCAGGCAATTGCAGTCGAGTGTAGGTGGCTGTGTATTTGTAGGCAAACAAGGCAACCAATTCTATCAGAGCAAGGACCAAACCAACAGTTACATGATGCATTCATCTGGAAGAATTTGTGGTCAGGACACCAGGAGAAACTCCTTTCTCTTTTCGAAAAGGGGATCTATAATGGTTACCCGAACAGGTAAACTGAGCTTTAGTTGAATGTCTCGTGTAGATTACTTCACTTTCAACAATGCAGGAGATCCCATAGTCAGCCTAAGCTATGCGCTCAAAGTCTCAACGTGGGGCTTGAACCTACAGCCTTCTACTCTCTCAGAGGGGCAAGTTAGGCAAGAGTGCTACCGCCTGATCCAGGGGGAAAATGAGTGATTATTTAGATGGAATGAAGACTGTGACCTACCTGAAATGTATGGATGGTCCTGGCCCATGCATGTTGTAGTTTGCACTCTCTCATTATTTCATTGTAGTTCACTTGAACCTTACGCTCATCCAAATCGTCCAGATATAATGAACGGGTCTTCTTAGAACCCTCAATTGAAGTTAAATCCTAAAAAAAAACAGAAAACCATTTCTTCTCTAAATGCGCAGAAAGTGTGAGGTAAGTCCCATTCCATCCTAGTCTTTTTCTTTGGCTTTTTATATATATACACAAACCACCTTGTCAAAAAAAATGGTGGTCAAAAGTTTATCTTGTGGTGAATTACTGCTGGTTTATTTTCAGTTATGGAATTGTGACACAGTGCACTATAGGGAAAACAGTAAAGGTATGAGAGAAAATGTAAAGTCCAGCTGATCAATTTATAGGAATTGTTTCCATATTCATCTACTGTGCTAACAATTGAGTCAGGCTGACACATAAATGTGAGTTTTAAGATATTATGCTGCGATATTTTTTTAAAAAGATATGCATCGCTTTACCTGCCCAATAAAAAATACTTCTCCATTACACAGACGAGTTTTTTTCTCTTTCTCATCTTCTGATTTTTTTTCTGACTTTTTTTGTTCTAAAAGGTCCCTGACGTAACCGTTCTTTGTGCAGCACACTTTGTCGCCGTTCTGGAACTCGATCCGATTTTTATGATTTCTGTAAGAGGGGATAAATTTGGAAAGAAAAACAGGCCATTTGTGTTCACCTACAAAACACAGTTACTGCACTTTAGGATGTCCTCCTAACGTGAAGGGTGCCAGATCAAATGTAAGTATTATTATTTTATTAATTCAATAAATTTACAAAAATGGGTTTAAGTGGGATCAATTGGTGAAGAGTTCATTTTCCATAGATAAATGAAAACAAATTGTTGAATATATTGAAAGCAATTGCAAAGGACGTAGGAGGTTCACATGGCAGACAAAGATTTTACAAATATTATCTCAAGTATTTAATGTTTCCTTTATTTTTTTGATCTAACTTTATTGCTGTTTTACAACAGCTAGTAAAACATCTGCATATCTTTCTAACTTCGTGGCTGGGAAAGCACTCACTTTGCAATTTAAGGCACGTTAAGGAAACACAATCTTAATTAAATGGTGGAAGGTTATGCTTGAAGGCTTAGTTGAGGAAGGGCAGGAGGAGGCTCATGTGGAGCATAAACACCGGCATAGACCAGTTGGGCTGACTGGCCGGTTTCTGTGCTGTATATTCTAATGTATTCTAAATGCATTTCTCCCACTCTCTCACACACACACACACACACACACAGCACACAGAGGACCTCACTTGGTTGAATGTTTTGAATAATGTTTGCAGCAGAGTTCGTTTATTAAGTCGCAATCCCTCCTGCATAAAAAGAAGTTAATAAAAATATGTTATAAGTACATCAGCATATACACATTCAAATTACAACAAGTTAAAAACACAAATAATAAAAAAGGTCTGAAATTCAATCAAGAGGCAGCCATTAAGACCATTAGGGCTTAAGATTTTAAGATCACACAGAATTGTGAACATTTTTTAAATTCAATGTTAAAATTTGACAAGAGGTTGGGGCAGGCTAAGAGCAGGTGTAATTTGGAGCCGATTGTCTACAATAATAATAATCCTTACATTTGATATAGCGCCTAATCAGGCCATTGAGACATCTCAAAGAGTTCACAGAATATATTGGAAAGTCTAGTGTATTTACAGGGCCAAACCCAGGTCCTCTCACAAGGTGAGCGAGCTAACTGCCTTTCTACGGGACTCCAACCCAAACTTAATATCAAACAGTGTAATACCACCAAAATATTAAGTAACATCTCTCAAATCATTGAACTAATGATCTAATAATAAATGGTGGGGGAGAGAAGAGTTTTTATAATCTGTAAAGTGACGATTTTCTTCCTTTTTCTCCAAGGGTAGATACTACTGCAAGTAACTATAAACTTTGTGAGAACGTCTCAGTTGCCTTTCCTCCTTCTGCGCCCCTCCCCCCACTCTCTGGTTATTGTTTCTAAAGTGTCATTTGGGGTGAAAAACAACACAAACTGAAAATGCAGCTGCAGATTTTGCTTCAGAACGTACTCACCGTCTAAATGCAATGAACTGTGAATTCTGATGGTCTTTCAATCCTGGCCCTTCCTTTAGTAAGATCTGAATGGCATCTTGGAGAGCTGACAGATACCAAAATTGAAAAAGATGTCATCATGCATCATCCCTACCAAAATGAGGCCTGAGATAATGCAGCCCTTTTATCTTCAGTGGAAGGCAGGCCCTCACTCACTCTGCCTTACATGGCACCTGTTGGAATAGTGCTTAAATGGTGCCACTGGGTGGCTCTATTGAACAGTCAAACTGCATGCAGCACATCCAACGGCAACCAGTCTGCCACTGATGTTATACAGAAACAAATGCAGTGTACATTCAATAGAAACACCTGATACCTGCACTAACCAGCACTTTGGGGTTTTAACAAACCCCTTGTGGTTGAGAAAGCATGACCGCCTTTAACTTTAACTCAAAGTAATTCAGGAAGTGAAAAAAAATCAGAGCTGTGGAAAGAGATGGGAAGAAAGTACACAAAAAAAACTTAAAGGTAGGATTGGCATTAGAGTGCCAAGGTGTGCTTGGTATTGCCACGTTTTGAGGTGTCTGCCAGATTGCAGCTCAGAGTTCCCTGTGTTTCCTTTTAATGCTTCACATTGCGCAGAAAGTAAAAATTCAGCGCTTATGGTATGTGAAAAATAACAGTAGCCAGGAGAAGAAAAAAGGAGTTCAGGAAAGTAAACCAGCAAAAAGAGAACTTTAAAAAAATAAATTATCTTTATCAAACCAATATCCTTTTACTCTTTCAAGAATTACAACATATCTAGTTTCCTGTTGAATTTTTCACTATGTAGTTATTTCACTAGCCAACTGGTCTGTCTTTAGTAGTTTGATGCTGCAAGACTTTAATATGATTACAGAAATCTGTGCCTGATGCATATACTTCAGGCAATTGAAAAGCTGCCTAGAAGAGCAATAATTAAGAGTTTTAGTGCAAAGTTCTGTTAGAGAATGCATTATATAAGAGCTAATGTCGATTTGAGTGTTAACATGTTGTGAACAGGGTTTGATAAATTGCACCCTCCCCTTCTCCCCATCCCCAAGATATAGTTCAAGTGTATCAATTTCTAGGAATTATTTTCAAACTCACCAAACCTGTCATAAACACGAGGAAGAGAAACCTTAATAAACCTTTTATCAACCGTTGGAATTGTAGCAGTTACTCCGTTCCCCACACACATCACTGCATCATACTCCAATTCTTTATAGCTCACACCCATCTCGGAAATCCTGAACAACAGAAATGCAAGAAAAGCTAGTTTCAATTTAAATGGTTGCATCAAAATATTCAGATCCTAAAGAAAAAGAATTATTGACTGTAATATTTTATCTGCCATTATACTCCCTTTCCCTCCTTTACAGATATTTTTCTTCTAGGACCTTCCTATTGGAAAAAAAATGCCAGTTCAATGTTATACACAATTTTACAAAGTTTAGAATCTATTGACACATGCATTTAATAATAATAATCCTTGCATTTGATATAGCGCTTTTCATGTCTTCTAGACATCTCAGAATAGACTGTAAAGTGAATTGACTGTATATTTGTGGGCAAACGCGGCAGCCAATTGCACACAGCAGTGTCCCACAAACAGTCGTTGATTGAAATGACCAATTTATTATTTTTTGAGGGATTATTATCAGGCGTGTGAAGTAAGGAAACTTACCCAAGGTTTCACCCTGCCGGGAATCGAACCTAGGTCTCTCGCTTAAAATGTCAGTGATTAACCAATTTGAGCCAGGGCAGTACCACTAAGTAATAATAATCTTTGCAATTGATACAGTGCCTTTCAAGACAAGAGAACGTGTTAAACTAATTCACAGGATTCACTGTAAAGTGTAGTGACTGGGTATTTCTTGTAGGTGGAGTCCTGTAGCTCAGTGGTTAGAGCACGCCAGTGAGAGACCTAATTTCCACAGGCAGGGCGAATGCACCATGGGCAAGTTTCCTTACTCCACAAGAGCAACTAAATAACAGTCAATTCACTTTACAGTGTGTTCTGTGAAGCGCTTTGGAACGTCCTCCCGACGTGAAAAACGCTATATCAAATGCAGATTGTTGACTAGGACACCGGGAGAAATGCTTTTTTCGAGGAGTGCCAATGGATCTTTCACATCCACCTGAACAGCAGACAGAACCTCTGTTTAATGTCTCAAAGGACAACACCTCTAACAATACAGAGCTTCCTCTGTAGTGTATTGGAGTGTCAGCCGAGACTGTGAGTTCAATATCCCAACATGGATTTTGAACCCACAATTACTGTTAGTAATGAATATTTGCACTTAATCATTTATTCAGTAAAATATACCTACTTTGTTGCATTATCTATTATTAGCTGACTCTCTGCACGATGATTGGTCAAAAGCTCTATTCCCCATTTAATTCCGTGAAAGTTGTACATGTCAGCAAGCATGTTGCCAGGTTCAATACTCGGTAGCTGTCTAACATCACCTAGAAATAGGAAATAAGGAAAACAAAGACACCAGATTTAAATAATAATCCTTGCATTTGATATTGCACGTTATTACATCTTCTAGACATCTCAAAGCGCTTCACAGAATACTGTAAAGTGAATTGACTGTATATTTTGTGGGTGAAAACAGCAGCCAATTGAGCACAGCAATGTCCCACAAACAGTCGTGGATTGAGTAACTTTTTTTAAGGGATTATTATCCCAGGAAAAGCGATCTGCCAATTGATTAACAACCGAGTTCCTACTTACTGCTAGGTAAAGAGGCATATGGAGTAAGGAAACTTGTCCAACGTTTTGCCCTGCCTAGGAATTAAACCCAGGTCCTCTCGCTTGCGAGACGAGTGCTCTAACCACTGAGCTACAGGATTCCACAGGATTCTTATAAATAAGATAAATATACAATATATATTCTTATAAATATATAAGAATCACGTTTCACTCACAGCACTTCACATGTGCAGTTATTACTGGATGTCGAGACTATGAGTAGAATATTAATCCATGTATTTGATGTAATGCCTTTACATCAGGATGACATTTTAAAGTGACTATGTGTTTTGTAGAATACCCAAAGTTGGATGTGTGCTACAAACCAGGTCAATATATTTGAGTGATAAGTAGATAAATTTCTGTTAGGTCAGGATAGTAGTGGATATGGGGTAAGGGTGGATAACTGGACTTGAGGTATAGAATAGTCATGATCTTATAAAATGCTGGAACGGGCTCAATGGGCTGAATAGCCTCTAGTATCTATGAGTGGTTCATTTCTTTGATACTAGTTCATATTCAGCAACTCTCGCTGATTTGGGACAGTTACAATGTGACATATGACAATTTAAGTTTTCAGGATAATATATTCTATTATCTGGCAGTTTTTCTGTCTCACTGCAACACGCTGATAAGAAAAACAATATTTTGTGAAATGAGTTATTCCAAAGAGCAACTCGAAATACTCATGAAGAGACACTAACCAAGGATTATAAGCTTCTGAAGAAGAGCGTATTCCATCAGCATTCGTAACACAGAGCTCAGAACCTGCACGGAGACCAAGCTTCCCTCATCGATTATCAGAACATTCACTTGAGAAAACATCCAATCAATAGGTTTTCCAGTAATCTTGCATTTTTCTGCATTGTAGAAACTCCACATTACCTGTATAACAAAAACACACACATGGGTACAAGACCTCAAATGAACAGATTTTAAAAGTTGATCTAATTTAAATCTGCACGTAAAATCACCAGAATGTATTAACATTTTAATGGAAGTTTTTTTTGATTTGGTCATTTTAATTACTTTTTCCATTTCACATGTTAATGTTTAACCCTGAAATGGTGCTGATCATCCTTAAAATTGGAGGGAAGAGGAAAATAGATATTTAATTTTACATGAGTTAATTTATTTTACATCTTCAAAACAGATTATTTCTCATCAATTTCAGAAACTGCAATTCTGCAATATTTCTAAGTTTAACATAGTCCCAAATCAAACCAATTTCATATTTAATTCAGGTTTTCAATGCAAGTCAACCAAATAATAGACTTATTTGCTGCTAACCAGGTATCTATATGCATCAACTATCCTGACATAAAGAAATAAATTCTTATTAGTAATTTATCATCATCTTTGATGTGAACATTCAATGTTTCCACCAGTCTCAAATTGGAAACTTAGGGTTTGTCTCAGTGGAGCTTTTGCATAGATACTATACTTTAAATGTGATAAGTTTCCATTGTCCAAATTAGCAGCGGTAACAACAACAGTTTGCATTTATGTAGCGACCCTCATGCAGGGCATGCATCCCAGAGCGCAGAGTAATTCCCGTTGATATGATCTGCAAATGGTATACGTCAAAGAATGGAGTCCTGTAGCTCAGTGGTTAGAGCACTCGCCTGGCAAGCAAGACACCTGGGTTCAATTCCAGGCAGGGCGAAACCTTGGGCAAGTTTCCTTACAAAATCAAAAATAAATTGGTCATTTTCAATCCACGATTGTTTGTGGGACACTGCTGTGCGCAATTGGCTGCCGCGTTTCGCCCACAAATATTCAGTCAATTCCCTTTACAGTATATTCTGTGAAGCGCTTTGAGACGTCTAGAAGACGTGAAAAGCACTATATCAAATGCGAGCATTATTATTATTAGTCATATTTAATAACAAATGGAAAAACAGAGGGAAATGGACCGGAATCCATTTGAAACTTACAAGTCATATCAAAAACAAATTGATCTCGAAACCTTGCTTAAAAGCACACATCCTCAAGTTGCCCGCTGACATAACAGTGGGAAAAGTGGTGAGAGTTGCCTTAGTGGACAATTTGCTTGCTTAATGCCATCAATAAACCAAACTTCCAGAACCAGTTTGAGCCATTTCCAAGAATTCGTTCAGACAGCAGCTTAGTTACCTGGTGTAATGTGTAAGCGTCAAACTGGGTTTTCTTCTTTAAAAGAGAAGCAGCCTTCCCTGTCGGTGCCGTGAAAAGGATCGAACGGTTTCTTATTTCCAGTGGTTTGATGGGAATATTGTCTGCTGGTGTATCATCACTTTCTGTCAGCTGATCCATTTCAAAGGCTTTACAGGCCTCCTCAACCTCCCTCTGGAGATTAACGGCTGCTTTGAAGATGAGGCTGACAACGGTTGTTTTTCCACAGCCACCTTTTCCACTCACAACTGTAACAGGGTTTTCACACATCATGGTAGCAGCTTTAACTTGATCCGAATCCAGATCATCATCTGCGCTCTGATTGCACAGTCAGCATCTGGATTGGTTGTATCATCGTTATCATCTTGCTGCTCGGATGATCTTTCCTTCTTCGGTGGAATCAAGCCTCTCCTCAGCACTTCCTTTACAGGCAGAGAAATGATCCACGGAGGTTTATTCACAAGTTTCTCTATGCACATAGCGATATCTTTCTCATACTTATAGAAGCGCCTCAGATACACACGGGTTTTCTCCCTTACAATAATCTTTTCACTCTTCAGGAACTCCAGCGAAACCCAGGCACTCTCATCACTGAACTTATCCGCACGTAACCCAGTCAAATCCTTAATGTCAACAAATGTGTGTCCTTTACTCCAACAGACTCGCTTCAGTTCATCATAAATGACTAAGGCGTGTTGCTGTAGCTCTGGAATTGTCCTGAAGAGGTTAGAGCGTTCAAAGGCTTCCAATGTTGCCTCGCAGCCAACCAGTTTAACCTCTTTGCGGAGAAGCTAGGGGAAAAGACAAGTTTAAGAGATTATTATTACACAAAGCACTCAATGGGGCTTAATTTGTAGGCATATCCATAAATATAAAATCAAAGGGATAATTGCCCTGTTCACATGGGTGATTCAATCCACAGAATAATTTCTATCCACATGATGACTTACATAATTGAATCCCAGCTTCCACACATCTGTCTGAATAATCTGCTCCAGTTGCTCCAGCATGCTGTTGTTTATGCTTTCATTTTGCTTCTCGTTGTTCATCTCCGCATTGTTTACCTCCTTTTCAGGAATCGATCTCATGATGTGCAAAAATTGTCGCGGCAAGAGGCTTGGCAGGCGCTCCATCAGATGTGGAAACTTCAAGGTGTTCTGCATGTACTGACCTGCAACTACATTTCCAAAATGTTAATCAGCTGCATCTTAACCATTGCCATTGAGCATTCAAATGCTCCACCAAATCACCAAGAACAATCTCTTTTACTGAAATCTAGCAATAGCAATACTATAGCAATGTTGCTTCTACTGGAGTGACTTAGAGCAGGAAATCCGATTTATATATTCCGCTCAAAATCACATGGGCTGGAGACTTTTTTCAAAAAAGTAAACTAATTCTGTCGTTCTTAGTTTTTCTATATTAAAGATATTATGCAGAGGGTATCAGCTCTTTAATGAAATAAGAGTTTTCTCAGACTGTTGTTTCACACTTGCATTGATTATTCAGTGAAATCAAAACTATCACTGAAATCAGCTTCCCAAAGTCTCAGCTGTGTGGTCTCCAGTGGAAGTCATTTTTGAAAGGAGCCACTCATCCAAGATTTATATTTTGCTTTTAAAGCAAAGTGAAATGCCGTAAGACAAGGAATTGCAATGTTCTACTCTAAAGTAAAGAATCAAGATTTTTTGCTTTTCTCCTGCCCTAGGTAAGGACAAAGTGATCAGCAACATGAGGTATGTATGTAAGGTTACATTGAGTGACGCAGCAGAGAGATAGGCGTCTGTGCCAGTGATGTGTAATAATAATCCTTGCATTTGATACAGTGCTTTTCACGTCTTCTAGATGTCTCAAAGCACTTCACAGAATATACTGTAAAGTGAATTGACTGTATATTTGTGGAAAAAATGCGGCAGCCAATTGTGCACAGCAGTGTCCCACAAACAGTCATGGATTGAAGTGACCAATTTATTGTTTTTTTTTCTTAAGGGATTATTATCAGGCATGTGGAATAAGGAAACTTGCCCAAGGTTTCGCCCTGCCGGGAAACAAACCCAGGTCTCTCACTTGAGAGGCGAGTGCTCTAACCACTGAGCTACAGGACCTACATGTGTAGGTGAGTATGTGAGGGAGGTGGAGTAGGGGAGATTCTCCCACAATAAACTTGTGCCTCGGGGACTTTTTCTGCATCTTCCAATCTATGTATGAAGACCTAATAAAATATTAATAATCCTTGCATTTGATGTAGCACATCATCATGTTGCCAAGACGTCTCAGAGCGCTTCACAGGCCATACTATAAAATGATTTGAACTGTAGATTTTGTGGGTGAAATGTGGCAGCCATTTGCCCACTGCAATACCCCACAAACAACTATGGAGTGAGTCACCAAGTTTATTTTTGGTGATTGTTGTCCAGGACACCGGGAGAAACTCACTTCTCTTTTCGACAGAATCTCGGTTTAACGCCTCATCCGAAGGACGGCACCTCCGACAATCCAACACACCCCCAGCACTGCATTGGAGTGTCAGCCTATGGGATTCCAAGTCCCAATCTGGGGCTTGAACTCACAATCTTCTCACTCAGAGGTGAGACTGCTACCACTGAGCCACAGCTGACCTGGTATTAACATACAATGTTTTTTCACCCCCATTTGACCTTGATACTAATCTGTTTAAAGAAAACGGTTGGTATCTCTTCCTAATCACTACCAATCATTTCTGCAGAAAGTGTGGCCATCAGATCAGGGCAGTATAAGGCCCTGTGGCTGAATAAGCTGCCAACATTGCCAAGGTAAAGTACCGGGGATACTCTGGAGGAACAAAGCTTGGAATAAAAATTGCTACAGGGAGGAGTTCCTACATATGAGCATCACACATATTTTGGATATATAAAAAGGTGGGGGGGAAGAGAGAGAAGGGGTAGAAAAGAGAGAAGTTCCAATCCAGCTGGACAATGGTATAATGATAACTAAGCCAAAAAGATTCACAGTATTTTTTCCAGCTACCATGTTTCATACATCCAATATCCAACAGAAGCCTAATACCTACGTGAGTTATTAATCGCGGCGATGATACTTATTACCATGTCTTTCTCTCCTTTATTCTTGCTCACATCTGCACGGCTTTGTAAAATCTCCATCAGGTTTGCGAATTCAAGATTAATAGTCTTAGGGAGAGAATCCCAAAACCATAGTTGATGCTGGTGATGTACGCCACATTTCGTAAAGAACAAACTTAGTATTGTTCTTTCATCTTTCACCCGCGTCCTCAGAGAGTATGACGGATAATACTCCAGGTGCCATTTGCCCTTCAGACATGTGATCCGAGCTGTCACCGTCCACCACGGATCGGTCAAATGGAAGTGTCCGAATACATCATAACGTTTCCCAGACTCGACTTCCTCGATCGTAACTGAAATGGCGTGAAAGAGAATTGTAGCACAAGCTCCGGCATTTCAAAAAGCTCCTCTCAATGAAAACTAGAAACAATCCCACCTACTTGTTGCTCCTCTGCAACTCCAGCGCTGCCCCTATGTGAAAAATCATTTTTTCTTTTTAAAAAAAATAGGACAGATTGAATGGCAAAGTGAAAGAGATTCAAAACCTGTTTTAAGGCTTGGTCTGAGTGTGCAACAATTAGTGGGGGGGGAGGGGGGGGAGGGGATGGGGGGGTATGTAAGGGTTATGATGAGATGGGGACAGGAGTCAAGAGTGATGGGAAGCAAGTGTGTGTGTGTGTGTGGGGGGGGGGGGGGGGGGGGGTGTAGGTGGGAAGATGACTGAAGAAGAAGGTGTTGTGACAGGTCATGAAGGCAGCACTAAAGGGGGGGAGGGGGGAGGGGGAGGGGAGAGAGGCTCCGGGATGGAGTTCCAGCGAGTGAGTAGGGGCCAGAAACATGGCGGGGGGGGGGACGTGATGCGGGTCACAGCACCGAGTGCTGATACAACTGAACTGCAGCCTCTCACACGAGGTGCGACAGTGAAAGACACACAGACGCACACGTGCTCTTTCCCCACACACTTTTTCGTCTCTCCCCCCCCCTCCCCCCTCCCTCCCACACCCTCCCCCCCCCACCCATCTCCCCCCCCCCCCCCACCCTCCCCCCCACCCTCCCCCCCCCCCACCCACCCATCTCCCCTCCCACCCATCTCCCCCCCCCCCCACCCACCCATCTCCCCCCCCACCCACCCACCCATCTCCCCCCCCCCCCACATCTCCCCCCCCCCCCACCCACCATCTCCCCCCACCCCACCCACCCACCCATCTCCCCCCCCACCCACCCACCATCTCCCCTCCCCCCACCCTCTCCCTCCCCCTATCTCCCCCCCCCCACTCCCCCCACCCACCCACCCATCTCCCCTCCCCCACGTCTTCCTCCCACCCCTCCTCCTCCTGAATCCTTACCCCGCTGCCGTGTCAGGGAAGCGGCTTTGACCTGACACCCCCCGCGGGTCAGTTGGACCATGTCCGTGAAGTCCAGAAACTGCAGCTCCTCCACGTGCTCTTCCTCCTCCTCCTCCTCCGCCGCCGCCTCCTCCTCCTCCGGCGGCAGAATGTGAGCGCACAGCACCAGAGAACGTCCCCGACCCGCGGCCATTGTTCGCTCACGATCGCCAGGCGCCGAGCGACCAATCAGGGCGGCCCAACGCTCTGATTGGTGTCAATTCAAACCCTTCCCGCGCTCCCTCCTCCCTCTCCCCTCCCCCCCTCTCCCCTCTCCCTTCCCCCCCTCTCCCCTCCTCTCCCCTCTCCCTTCCCCCCCTCTCCCCTCTCACTTCCTCCCCTCTCCCCTCCTCCCTCTCCCCTCCCCCCCTCCTCTCCCCCCCTCTCCCCTCTCCCTTCCCCCCTCTCCCCTCTCCCCTCCCCTCTTTCCCACTCTCTCACCCTCCCCTCTTTCTCCCTCTCTTCCTCTCTCCTTCTCTCTCTCTCTCCACCCTCCTCCTCCTTCCGATCTCTCTTCCTCCTCCCCTTCCTCCTCCTCCCTTTTTTTCCCTCCTCCCTCTCTTCCCTACTCTCTCACCTTCCCCTCTTTCTCCCTCTCCTCTCTCTCTCCTTCCCTCCCTCCCTCCCTCCCTATCTTTCCCTCCTCCTCCTGTCTCATTTGCCTCTTACCTCTTCTCTTCCCATCTCCAATGTTGGCAGATTGGGCGTGTTTTTGTTGTATTGGGCGTGAAAAAAACAGTTTGTGTGGGTGCCTAATTTTAAAATATTTAATTAAAACCTACAAAATGCCCCCCCCCCCCCCCCCCACCACCTCCCCCTTTTTGAAGAAGTTTTCTTACACTCTTTCAAAAGCACTGACCCAAATTGGCAGGTGACACATAATATTGGGCTACTCTTAGGCTAGTATTTGGTTGACTTTGAGCTACAAACTATTTTAATTTCTGGCAATACTGCCCCTCTCCCTTCCCACCCCCATGTAACAAATATTGATAATAATAATAATTGATAACAGTTGATAATAATGAGTGTGTCAGGTTGGGTCATCCCCTAAGGCAGCCAGGAGCTGGAAAGGATGTGAAAAGGGTTTAGAAACCCCTGGGACATGCTCAGTAGGTTCCCAATCTTAGCAACACAATTTATATTTATATAGTGCCTTTCACACAGGGTAGTGTCTCAAAGCGCTTAACAGTGGCGGATCTTGACCCCAAACCGTGGATAGGGTGGGAGGTGACCGTAGACACTCAAAGAGGAAGGTGTGATCTGAAGACGGGCAAGGTGGAGGGATTGAGTTCCATCGTTTCGGGGCTTAGTGGCTGGAAGAAGAGCTGCCGATGGAGCAGGGGGGGACCAAGGAGTTTGATCGATAGGATGGGGAAGTTAAGCAGCTCGGAGCTGCAATGAGAAGACGTTGAAGGGAGCCAAGGAGTTTGGCTTCTGTCTTATCTACATTCCACTGCAAAACGTTGTTGCTCATCCAGGCCTTGATGTCTGACAAGCAAGAGGACAGAACATCGGTGAACCTGGGGGAGAAGTAGATTTGGGTGTCATCTGGCTACACATGGAAGTTGACCCCAAGTATGCTGATGACATCACCAATAGGAAGCATGTAAATGAGACTGAAGTGCTTTGAGACATCCTTTTGACATAAAAGGCACTCTACCAAAAGGCAAGGATTATTAGGATTATTATATCATAATTCTTGCATTTGAAGAACCTTCTCACAAGACATTTGAAAGTACTTCATGAAATATGGTGACTATTTTTGGGCCAACGTGCAGCCAATTTGCACACAGAATGTCCCACGAGCAGCCATGAAATGAATGATCGATTTCTTATTTCGAGGTCAGATTAGTCACCATAAAACATTGGACACTGGCTTAACATACTGCACTATGGGGACAGGAAGGGGAGATTGATTATACATAATGACAACATATTCTCTTGCCATATGTACTCCCTGTAAGAAATGGACAATGATGGCACAAATAAATATTAGTTTAGAATGATGATCATCTGTACATTGGTTTTATTTGAATAGTAACATAAATACACATACATTATCTTAAAATTATGCATTTTATACATGTATACTCTAGAATATAGAAGAATTAGAGGGGATCTTATCGAAACCTATAAGATCATCAAAGGGCATGATAGAGTAGATAGTGGGAGATTGTTTCCCCTGGATGGAGAAACTAAAACCAGGGGTCACAACCTTAAAATCAGAGGCCAGCCCTTTCGCACTGAGTTGAGGAAGAACTTCTTCACTCAAAGGGTGGTGAATGTATGAAACTCGCTACCTCAAAGGACTGTTGACGCTCAGTCCCTGAACATATTCCAGACTGAGATAGATTTCTTATTGCAAAAGGGATTAAGGGAATGGGGATAAGGCATTATTATTTATTATTATTATTATTATTAGGTTATTAGCTGGAGTTAGATTAGAAGATTAGCCATGATTGAATGGTGGGGCAGGCTCGAAGGGCCAAATGGCCTACTCCTGCTCCTACATGTGTATATGTTCTAGTAAGGGATTTCAGTTACTGATTTCAGTCTGAACCCAAGGGTTCTCCATGTATTCAATGAATATACATTGGTTTTCATTGTCATCATGTTTCCACCTTCCCACAAACGTATCCAAAGTGATCACTTACATGCGTCATGCACATAAACCTAATTGTTGATGCATTACACCAGGAGCATCACGTCTCAAAGTACTTAACAGGATATACTGCAAAGTGGAGTGACTGTGCACCTCGTGGGCACAAGCAGCAGCCTATTTGCGGACAGCAATGTCCCACAAATAGCCCTGCAGTGAATGATCAATTTTATTTTGGGGGTAGTTGGCTAGGTCACTAAGACATTCTTTTTAATATCTTTATGACTAGGAAGTGACATCTGTTCTTGTTTTTTCTCACTGCATGCTGAGGCTGCCAACCTATGGAATAAGATATTTAGATTAACAGAACTCACTTGATGGGTATTTACTGCTGTTGATTCATCTTCAAATATCAGACTAATGCGAAAGGGTTATTTATACACAGTCTCTGTTGGTGTCAAACATTTAAAGAGTTAAAGGCGATTCCACCACTTCCATTAAGTGCTTTTTTCCTCTCTTTAGATGTTGCCCAGATCACACATAGCCCAACGGGTTGAGCCCCTTCTTCTAGTAGTTACAACTTACATTTATATACTATTCAGTTCTGACAAAGGGTCATGGACCCGAAACGTTGACTCACTTTTCTTTCTCCATAGATGCTGCCTGACCTACTGAGTGTTCCCAGGAACCTCTGTTTTTGTTTTTACATTTATATTGTGTGTTTCACGTCAGGAGGGAATCTCAAAGCCAGTTACACAACACCACCCCCTCACCTCCCCACAAGAGGATACCAAATATATAGTCAATTCACTTTACAGTATTTTCTGTGAAGCGCTTTGAGACACCTTGAACACAAGATAAGGCGCTATATCAAATGTAAGGATTATTATTATAAGTCTTGCTCTTTCTTTCTGCTTGGCAATATCCACTGATTCAATCGCTACGATCAGGAACTTGAGGTATGTGGAGGTGCAACCATACAGAAAGCTTTCACTTTAACAGCACCTTGCTGCAACAAATGATTTCTCGGTTCCCCTTGCCCCATTTCTAAATTTTAATCATATTAATGAAACAAAAGCAGAAGTCGCTGGGAACACTCAGCAGGTCAGGCGGCATCTATGGAGAAAGAAAAGCCAATGTTTTGGGTCCACGATCCTTCGTCAGAACTTGGGCATGTTGGGAGGGAGAGGCTTTTAAGGCCTAACAGAGAGGTGGAAGGCAGGACAAGGAAGACAAAGGAGAAAATGGGTTGTGCTTGGGGACAGAACAGAGGTGTTCGACAAATCGGTCATCCAATCTAATCTGTGTTTGGTCTCCCCAATGTATTGGAGACCTCATTGTGAGCAGCGAATGCTGTAAACTACATTGGTGGTACTACATGTAAATTGCTGTCTCACTTGAAAACTGTGTTTGGGGCCAGGGATAGTGATATGGGAGGAGGTGAAAGGGCAGGTATTGTATCCCCTGCGTTGGCATGGGAAAGTGCAGAGGAGGAGAACAACTGTTGGTGGTGATGGAGGAATGAACCAGGGAGCCACAAAGGGAACAGGCCGTTCGGAACACTGAGAGGGGAGGGGAGAGAAAGATATGTTTGGTGGTTGGATCATGCTGGAGGTACCGGAAATCGCGGCAAATTATTTATTGGATGTTGAAGCTGGTGGGGTGGAAGGTAAGGACAAGGGGGACCCTCTCATGGTTCTGGGGAGAGTGGAATGGCATGAGGACAGAGGTGCGGGAAATAGGGCGGACACGGTCAAGAGCTCTGCCTTCTACAGTGGATGGGAATCCTTGTCTGATGGAAAAAGGAGGAATTTCGGTTGCTCTGGTGTGAAAAGTGGCATCGTCAGAGCAGATGCGGCAGAGGCAGAGGAACTGGGAAAAGGGAATGGAGTCTTTTAATATTAATGATTTTTTTAATATGTAAAGATAGCTTCACCTACCTTCCTAACTCAAAAATAACTCTTTGCTCTTCAGAACGCTTTGTTGTAAAGCGCAATTTTCTCCTTGAGTCATAATTTCGGTTGGTTTTCAACGATTTCAACTCTTTCAGGATCCAATAACTGGTTCCCTAAATTGAGAGATCCCATATGCCACATTACACAATGCCGAGAGACATACTATTTACAGAAAATACAAAAGAGAAAGAATGTAAAGGAACAAACCAAAAAATACTACAGATGCTGGAAATCTGAAATAAAAAGAGAAGTCGCTGGGAGATGCTGCCTGACCTGCTGAGTGTTTCCAGCGACTGTTTCAGAATGTAAAAGAAACCGATTTCCATTTTGATTTCAAAAGGATAGGACACAGTTAAAAACTGCAAATAACGGAACATTATCAAGAGCTTGAGTGCAGAACTTACATGGATGTGCCTTACTGCTCACAAGTGCTGACATTTTAATAAGTGCAAAGATGTTTGTCCCACCTACTGATGCAAAAATCTGGTGAAAGAAATAACTTTTATGTTTTATGATGTATGTATGGTGTGTATGTATGGGGGTCAGGTGAGGACAGAATCAATCTTGACTGAGATGCATCCTGCATAGTGCAGTGCTTCCTGGAATGTGGTGCCTTCCCAAATAGCCTAACACTTACTGTCTAAGGTTACAAATGAATAAAGGCCATTTGGATGAGGAAAGGAACTGGTGCCTAATGAATGACCTTGTAATCTGATAGAAGAAAAAAAGGAGGCAAAGACCTTCAGAAGGGAAAGAGAGGAGAAAAATATACACAAGTATTCACTGTTGTCAGTAAAATCACACCAAGTTTACAAACCTGTGCGTAAAATCCAATTATTGATTTAAAATGTAAAACTACAAGTTTTAAGAAATGCAATTTCAGATCTTAGGATACCAGTAGTGGATGTAATCTTTATCTGCAGTAATTGCAAGGCAGAGAATTAAATATTCTGAACGAGAATATTGGGGATTAAACAATGGTGTGACAGCAAATCACATTGATTATAGTGATCCTGTGATTTACCTCTTGTGTTTTTAATCAGCGGTTCACACAGTGGAGTGGGTCTGTCCATCAAACCATTCGCTATGCATTCCTCACATACGCTCCAAAGCTCCAGTGAGCCACAGCTGCATTCTGCCGGCTGGTTATGGGTCGAGAAGTCACCATCCTTGGGTTTGTTGCTGGTTCCTGAGGTTTGAAACCCTTGGATGCCAGTTCTCCAATTTGACATTTGGTGACTTGCCTGTGGTAACTCGCTGATGACCATGTGACTTCCAAAATCTCTGTACTTATTTTCGCTACCTATAAAAGTGACCTCAGATTGACTACATTCGTAAGGAGTCTTTAGTGGTTTTCCCTTAGACCAACTAGGACTGTGACAGTAACATGCCTCGGTAGCGCCAGTTTCAAAGATTGGAGGAAAACACAGGATCTCATCATCTTCCACAGGGATGCTGTGCTGCTGGGCATTGGACTCAGCGATGGGCTCATAGGATTTTAGTGAGTGAGGACAGTCACTCTGGAATTCTTCAACATGCTGTAAGGGCTCCAATAAGCCCAAAATCTGAACAAATAAAGTTAAATTTTGACATACAATTTTAAATGCACATAATACATTGTTACAATATAATAATATCAATCCTTGGATTTGATACAGTGCTTTGTCACTTTGTCAAGGAATATCAAATCACTTCACAGGATTTTACTGTGAAGTGTAGTGATTGTGTATTTGAAGGAAAACCAGCAGCCAATCTGTGCATAGCAATGTCTCACAAACAGCCATGGAATGAGTGATCAATTGTTGGCCAGAACACCAGTATAAACTTTCTTCTCTTTTTGAATAGTGCATTGGATTTTTAATGTCCACTTGAACAGGCAAACGGGACCTTGGTTCAACGTCTCATCCGAAAGATGGCACCTCCAATAAGTCAGCACACCCCAAGCACTGTATTGGAGTGTCAGCCTAGACTGTGAGTTTAAAGTGAGTTCAAGAGTTTAAACATTTGAATCCACAAGTGCCTGACTCAGAGATAAGAATACTACCAACTGAACAAGCCAGGTCAGAAAAGTAGACTATATTTGAATAATAGTTGAAAATACACATATTCAGGCAAATGATGAATGTATCTTCAAATAAATAAGGATTTAAAAATGCATTCCTGCTTCAGCAGTTGAAAGATAAGGTATCTGCAGTAGTACCCGATAAGGTAGTTATGATCATATAATGACAAATTATGTATACTGAATAGACCCTGGCAAATAGCAATTAATTTACCTGTTCTTTTTTCCTGTACCATTATGTGATTATTCTGAATTGCTGTCAGATCTGCTACTATTAAATAGAATGCATCAATTGTTCTTGTGAGGAAAAACTGGAATTGGCAGTTACTCAATACTTTTTTCCAAATTGAAAAATCTTTTTACTCTGATCTTAAAGCACTTTAAATACCTGTTACAAAATAAATCAGTTTGATAATAAATATAAAGAAGCCTTCTATCTCTCGTGATTGCCTGGTTTCATTTAATTGTTTAATTTTTCATTTCTACTAGTTCCATTCTTTTCCCAATTTGCTGACCCCTCACCTCTATCCTAATGCTTCCTCCTTTGTTATTTGCAGTTGTAGTGCTTACAAGAGAAACTATAGTGTCTTCATAGCTGATTATCTCTGATTTAAAAACAATTGGGCTAGAATTCCTGTTGGCATTACATGTAGGCTGTTTAGCAAAGGATGGGGAAATCTTTAGAGACCCTATCACCAATACCACAAGGTTTAATATCACTGGAATTCCAGCCAACAAGTCTCTATACTTAGCTTTCCCTTTCCTACCCCCCAACTCAGGGAAGTCAATCAGCATTATTAAGCACTTTGAGACATCCTTTCAACATGAAAGGCACTATATAAATGTGCCGGGTCATGACCCAACTGTGCAGCGCCTTGGGACGTCCTCCTGACGTGAAAGGCGCTCTATAAATGGAATCTTGTTGTTGTTGTTGTTGTTGTAAATGTATTGTCTAAGGATTTTTTTGTCTATGCAAAAGAGTGCACTAGTTTCACTCTACTGCTTACACTCACTCTCCTCTGGGTTCAAGTCCTACATTAGGACTTGAGTTCATGCTCAAGATGGCTGTTCCAGTGCAGTACTCGGGGAGCACTACATTGTTGCAGATACTGTTCTTAGGAGTACACATGAAACCAAGGACTGGTCTGTCAGTTCTTGAGGTGGATGTTTAAAGATCCATTGATAGTATTTGAAAAGAGAGGGCAGTTTCTCCCTGGGTCCTGGTGAACAATCCTCCTGAGAAATTGAGATCATTCACCTCATGGTGAGTCACATTAATTCTATCACAGTTCATGCTGTGTGCAAAATGACTTTTGCTACAAAAATGACTTGATATAAGTAGTACAGTATGAAGCACTTTGAGATATTTCAATGTAATATTTGAACATTCTGAGACACTACCCTGCAAGGAGGGCGCTATATAAGTGCAAGTTGTTGTTGTGATAAGGCAGTATAACAATGCAAGTTCCGCAGTTTTCCACACTTAAAGCTCAACAGTGTTGTAAATTCTACTTAATTCTTTAGTTATCTAGATTACAGTACTAAGCTTTTTATAATATAGTCAGATACTTGGCAGTTTTCACACAAGCAGTCTTGTGACTCCCTTCATCATATTTATATTAGAAACTCCTAGTTGGGTGACAAGATGAACAAACAATTAGGCCTGCTAATGTTTAATTAATTAACATTTAATGAAGTGCTACAGTGGCCCTTTCAATCATGAATTACAGCACTTGTGTCAGGCTGCTTTAGTGTTCTGTTTAATTGTGAGCTGAGGTTAGACAAATTACTTTAATGGAAAACGATTCAAAAGAATCCTGAATTTCAACCAACTTGGGCAATGCACATTGCATTAACCCAGTTTTTTTTTAACAAGAGATCTAAATAAAATGATTCAAAACAACAACTTGCGTTCTTTTAGCATCCTTCACGAGGTGTAGCTTCTCCGAGCACTGAACAATGGCGTAGTTTGACACCAAGCAGGGGAAAGGGAACGTAATTATGGGTACAGTCAAAGAGGAAACTCTTCAGATGCGATTTGAAGATGGGTAAAGAGGAGGCAAGATGGAGAGACTGAGGCAGGGAGTTCCAGAGGTTCGGGCATAGTGGGTGAGTTTGGGCATACTTCTGTGCATTCCCCGACCACTCACTGCACTGACATCAATCATGTGCAGTGAATGGTCGGGAAATGCACAGAAGGCTCCAGATAGCCGAGGGATGGGGCGGATAAAATGGGGTATGAGCGGGTTAGAGAAGGACCTGGACGTGTGGGAGTTTGTGCGGGAAAAAAAGGAGGAATGGGGGAGGCTTGAAAACAAATAAGACCACAAGGATTGTATTGATGAAATTAAGCTGGGCTTACCTGTGCCATTTGGGGCCTGATTTTAACATGAGATGCAGAGCATTGAACAGCAAGGTTCAACAAAGGAAGGGATATACTGTGTGGCCAGATGCCTGCACTTTGGTCCAACAATGCCAGACAACTTTCAACACCACCACTTTTCTCTGCGGTTTCCACAACCAGATTTCTCTGTGAAGCAGAAAATAAAATGGGAATTTTTTTGTTTTTTTTGAAAGAAATTGTGAATTTGACGTCTTTTTGCATCACAATAACTTTCAAATCTGTCAGATATTTTAAGAAAACTCACCAGAAAAACTGCTTTTGGAGTGTGCAGCACAACTCTTTTTCCTGTTAAAATTTCCAACATAACCTGGATAAACAAAAATAAGGCACAGCAGAATTACTAAAGTATTGCTAAAGATTGTAGTGCAAAAGGCTATACCTGTGGTACAGTATTACAATTTTTGAGTTCAAGTGATGGGTTAAAGTTCATCTGTATCTCAATGCAAGATACAATCTGTACACTACAGTGGAGAGAAATTAAATTCATTTGATTCAGCAGTCTGATGTATACAGTCATAACATCAAGACAATATTTGTCTGCTGGTATAAAGGAGTCTATAGTTATGGACCTCATAATGACGAACCTTAAATCTACGCATCATCACCAAGAAACCTAGTAATGACACTGAATGGCCTACTCCTGTTTCTATGATGTGCCTCCCCCCCACCAGTATAATTCAGTTTCGCTTCTTGCGCCAGTGTCCTGTGGACCCGAGCTATCCAAAAATGCAATACACCTCATTAACATTAAAATTAGCTTGCAAATAGATTGCCACTGACGTTAATTTCTGCATGTTGCTAATAAAACTTCTGTGTGCTTCAAAGCATCAGCCTGCTCATGGGAAATTGAAATAGCCCTTTGGACTCCAAAGTCTCGGCTCTAATAATATTCCCTTGTAATTATTCACCCATAAAGTACTTCCCCATCATTAAATCCTTTTGTTTTTTTGGTTAAGTATGTTTTTTGGTGCTGAATATGTGCGTCTGCAACTTCTTCTTTGGAACCCACAAGCCCTTATTGCAAGCTGTCTGCAGTCGCATTAAACCTCACATTGGCTTCTCCTTTAAGTAGGTCTGCCTTTTAGTGTGGTCATGTCAGAATCACTGAACTCAACCTCAAGGAAGAAGTGGCCTCAAATCTGAGGTGAAAAGGGAAAAAATGCAGACATGCAACACTAAATCCGTTGGAAAATTAAGAGAACAAATTGCTATTCTATAAAACATCTTCCCTGTGGGGTTTTGTGACTGTCTGAAAGAGCAGAATCGATAGTTCAAATCAGATGTGATCAGCAGTCACTTCCTGAGAGAGTCTCGCAGTATAATTATTTATCTTGTGTTACACTTAAGTGTGCACAGTTTGGATATGTCTTCACATTCCGGTTGATTTGTGAATTGATAGCAGAATTAAATTAATTCTAAAGATGACTGACATTTTGAATGTCACATTCAAGAAGAAACCTGACATTCAAAATCTTTGGTTTATAAAAAACCTTTTTGTTGGCCCGAAAAATATACAGTCACTTCACTTTACAGTGTATTCTGTGAAATGCTTTGAGATCTCCTCCTGACATGAAAGGTACTGTATAAAATGTAAGGATTTTTTTTCAGATTAAACTCCTAATTTTGTTTTGTTTTTTGCCCCAGACTCCCCAGGGCAAGCAATATCTGCCAACAACTGCAGTAGAAATCCATTATGATGCGCTTTGTTATAAGATGGGTTCACTTTGTAGTGTGGACCATAGCATTTATTTACCCCCAAACTCTAAATAGGTGTACCGGCTCCATTGGAGCTCCAAAAACACCAGCCGCCATGTGAGAAGCCATAAAAAGCTGACTTTCGGGTCATCTTGTTGTCACCAATGTCACATCCTATGATCTACGCATTTGTGTTGCTAAAGATTTTGCAATGTTTTGAAATGCCTTTCTGTCTACATCCTCTTTTTGCCCCAGATTCTATTGTATTTATATCTGTCCTTTAAGTATTTACTGGCACAATGACACAGATTTTTAAAATAATCCTATTCTCCCGAGTAGAAGAATCTATTGCACATTAATGGACAGATGCTGTAATTCATCATTGCCAATGGGACAGTTAGTCTGTGGACAGGAACTAACTGTACCAATGGATTGGAGGCATGAAGTCATCCCTGCTGATGTATCTCTGCAAGCCAAAACCCTAATGAGTAGAATAGGGAGGCCCAAGCTGGACAAGCAGCGGGAAAGTTTGTCATACAGCAATATCAATAGCAAGCTATGCAGTTTTAGCTGGTTAGAATCCAGCAGTGCCCCAATGCACACTCTGGGGTCCTCAAGCCTTGGCTCTTGCCAACCTGCGCCTAATACTTTCCAGAATTAGGTAAGCAGGATGTGTCCCTCCAGGGAGAGAGTGCACATTCCATTCCAACAATCTATTTCTGGGATGTGTAGGTGGGTTGAATGGAAATCTCAGTCTGGTTTGGATATTCTTAGGCATGCTGATGGGTTTCCACATGTATCAGACACTTGGCTGACCCCCAAAAATCTCACTGTCTACAGAGAATCAACTTAAGAACGTAACCTTGTAACCTTGCTTTTTATCTTCAAACGTTTCAAATAGAAACGGCCTGCTTTTCATTAACCCTTTGAGCTGCTCAACAATCTTTTAAAGTTTGTAAAATAAACATAATAATAACCCTTGCATTTTATATAGCACTTTTCATGTCTTCTAGAAGTCACAAAGCGCTTCACAGAATATACTGTAAAGTGAACTGACTATATTTGTGGGCGAAACGCAACAGTTAATTACGTACAGCAGTGTCCCACAAACAGCCGTGGATTGAGTCACCAAATTATTATTGTCTTTTTTGAGGGATTATTATACCCGGAAAAGCGATCCGCCAATCACTAACAACTGGGTTCCTATTTACTGCTCGGTAAACAGAGACGTGTGGAGTAAGGGAACCTGCCCGACATTTCACCCTGCCAGGAATAGAACCCAGGTCTAGCTTGCGAGACGAGTGCTTTAACCACTGAGCTATAGCACTCCACATAGATTTAGTTAGGGGAAAGTACAGGACCACACATTTGCTTAGAATATCTTTTTATACAAAAAATAACCCAGAATTTTGTACACAAAATGTCAAACCAGATTGCACAAGACTACAACTATTTTCAGTGGGTGGAATGTGTGATTACGAATGAGTACATATGAACATTTTCTAGACAAATATTATTTTAAAGTTGGGAGCAGGTTTATTTTTGTTCGCTAGAAATAATTCTTTCTTTACCTTCACTTGCTGGGAACCTATCCTTCAGTGATCCAGACTGCCTGATAATTATAGTAGCTGACAGATTCTGTTCCGACAACTGACCTTACTTTTAATCTACATGTTGTTAAAGCTGCATATCACTTCTCAGAGCCTTTCATTTACAAAGGTTTAAACTTACCACCCCAAAGCTGTAGACGTCCACTTTGGTGGAAAGTTTCCCATGGCGTAGGTACTCCTCAGGTAGATATCCTATGATCCTGGAGGTCCTAACATCCATGCTGATTGTGTGATTCTGATTGACAGAGTGTGGCCTCAGACAGGCCAACCCAAAGTCAGACAGCTTGGGTTGAAGCTCCTCATCGAGCAGCACGTTTGCGCTGTAATTATAATAAGAATTAAAATCCTTGCATTTGATATAGCATCTTATGCCACGTTTCAAAGCGTTCTCACAGAATATATTATGAAGTGATTTGATTGTGTGCGAACACAGCAGCAAATTTGCAGCAGAGGTGCTACCAATTGAGCCAGATTGATTGTATCAGTGGACCTGACAAGACCTGACTGTGAGCACCACTGCTGCGCACTGGGAGGAAACAGGTTTCTTATTCTAACAAAGAAGGAATGGCTGAGCAGTAGAGTTTATTGAGCACCTAATTTTTACTTTTATATTTTTGGGGGAATTATTGAACTACTTGATTGATTGAATCCCATTTGTGTTATAGGATGGAAACTTAAAAATGATTTATAGATCAATGCTTTAAAGTTTTTTTTAATAATGCATCCCTGCTCCCATTGTGACAAACTAAATTAATAGGAACACAGGAATGGAAAAGGTCCAACTGTTTAGTCTCCAAAGCACAAAAAAAACATGTCTCATTAATAAACCAGCCAGGATGATTAAGAATCCAAAATGTCTTTGATTACTGCAGACTTGCATGGATTTTTTCTACTTGTATCTTCTTAGAACCTCTCCCCTCCCCAGCCCAGGCCTCCAGTAGGATGGGCTTCAGTCAAGGTATTCATTCTATCAATTTGAAAAGGATGAAGGACTGGTTGAAGCCATTGGGATTCAAATCCTAAGACCAATGTGCAACTGATTGAGTTGTGTGGTTTGATATGAAGACTACCACTTTGAAAGATATGAAAGTCCATTAATTGCACTCACAATGCAGCAATGAAAGTACATATTCACTTCACTTGTGGATGTAACAAGCGCACTGGAAATGTTAAATCAATAGGGATTAGTTTAACTGCTTACATAGTGTCCCCCTGCGCAACTGGCTGAATGATCTCTATAATCTCTGAAAGATGGTAGAACTTCTGTTACCTTGTAATGTTTCCACAAATGACTGTGCAAGGCTGCGCTGTGTGCAAATACTGTATAGCTCTTGCTAGTCCCGTGATAATCTGGAGCCGGATTGACCAAGCAAGGGGTGCAGTATGACCCTGCAATGAAAATATATCAGTTTGGTTGTTTTGTAATGTCTAACTGACCTCCTTCAAATAACAGTATGGACAAACGCTGCACAGAATTGATTTGCTTTGCAACATAAATGTAGTCGGAATTGCCAGAATTTCAAGTACATTTTTGTGCAAAGCAAATAAATGTGTCTTGCCTGCTTCCTCCTTACAACAGCACAATGCTATGTTTACATTTGTTCACAAACATGGTGAAGATAATTTCAGTGCAGCAATGCCATCAGATTTAATCCAATATTTTAGCCACTCTGGCTGCTTTGATTATATAATACAATACAAAATCACATTTGTAAAGCACCTTTTCCCATCAGAAGGACATCCCAGTGCACTGAACAGTCAGGGATTAGGGATCAGGATTACCACACAAAACCACCCTTGATTTGTCATTGAAATTTTTCCGAGCATAGAACTATTGTTCAGTGTACATTATAAAGGGGAATGGTGAAAAGGGCAGGTAAATTAGACTGAAACAATTGCTCTTTAAAAGAGAAAGCACAGACATGGTGGGCCGAAAGGCCTTCTTCTGTGTTGTAAACTTCTAGAGGTCTCTGATTCCAAATATCTTGTATTTGAACATTGATTCACATTTACAAACTCTCTGTTCTACTTACAACAGTAGTAAAGTTAACTGCTGAGTACAATTCCACAAGCACCTAGGTACAGGCACCTTTCCTCAGTTAAATGAGGTGTGTTAAATTGGACCAATCTATTTTTCACTGGCCAGTAAATAAATGGTATAAATACAAGGTTATTGTAAAAAAAAGTATTGGGACCAGTGGTTGAAGTGGAAATAAAATAAATATTTTAAATATAAAGGAGAATATGCAATGGGCAGGGGAATAGGACTAAATGGATAACTCTTTCAGAGAGTCAGTGTAGGCTGAATGACCTTCTATGCTGCAAAAATTATATGATTCTATATTTTGGATGTATATTTCTTAATATAGAATTACGTAGATTACATGTAATTATAGATTTCATATAATTCCCATGTCCTGGATTCTCCATTTTTATGCTTCAGGAGGCAGCAGAGCATGTTTTGATCTTTGTCTTATAACAAACATACTTTATTCATGACGACCATACGTGGTTGCTGTCTTACCAAACAATTCAGCCTGTCCAGGAGGGATCCATTCTTCATGTAATTGTATGCCAAACAGTACTTGTCATTCTCTGAACAATACCCAGCCAGTTCAAGAATATTGGGATGATGAAACCTTGGTATAGAATTCAAAAATGAAAGTTCAGAAATGTCAAGCTGAAATTAAAAGCAGAATCAGCAAGAGCATAAACATCATTTATCACTTCCAGCCTGGCTGAGATGAGCTAACTCAGCACGAACCCTAGTTTGAATTTGTGGCTTTCCAGTATGTATAACAGTCTAATATTCACCATGTGTATACACAGCTTTATGATGGACAGTATTGTTCAAATATATGTGCACACAGGGAATTACAGGTCCACTAATTTGCCTACAAAATACACAGTCACTTCATTTTACAGCAGTTACCAATGAAATGCCTTGAGATGTTTCAGTGAAACACAATACACACCATATAACATGCACTATATAAAATATTAATTAACAACAAATGAAAATTCTTAATTTCATTGTTGTTAAATTGCATAATAATAGGGTCCTATAATTCCATCTGTCCATATAGTGCATAATACAATTAAACACATAATAATAATAATCTTTATATCGGATATTGTGCCTTTCACATCTCAAAATGCTTCACAGGATATACTGTAAAGTGCAATGACTGTGTATTTTGTGGGAGAAAGTGGTAGCCAATTTATGCATAGCGATGTCCCACAAACAATAATAATCCTTGCATTTGGTTCAGCACCTTATCACGTCACCATAAAGTGAACGCCCAACTTTTATTATTTGGCAGATAGTTGGCCAGGCACTGGGAGAAACTCCCTTCTCTTTTAAAATATTGGGATCTTTAACATCCACCTGAAAGGGCAGATAGGCATCAGTTTAACATCTAATGTGAAAGACAGCACTTTTAACAATGCAGCATGGCCCAGCATTGCATTGGAGTGTCAGCCAAGACTATATAAGTTCCAAGTCCTGATGTGGAGCTTTAACCCGCAATGTTCTGACTCAGAGGCAAGAGTGCTGCCAACTGAGTCAGGCTGACACGCATATAGTGCATACTAGATTCTGTTGGTTAGTGCTGCGGGGGGTGTTTATGCCCAGTAGGCCTTAGCAAGAAGCTTTTGTGTAGAGTTTTAGTCGTTCCCTCTTTTAGTTTTTTTCAGATCCATTCTCCAGTACAGAAGACAATCGGCTTCTTTGCTTCTTTGCTCTTCAACCATCTACTTGAAAGTGTTGACAATAGGTGAGGATAACTCACCTTCCGATTGATCTCTTTCTCCTGAAGTAGCACCTCATTTCACTCTGTGCTAGTTTTCTTAGCAATGGCTCTGCCATTCCATGCTGTGCTGTGAAGCCCAGCCAACTATCCATTTATGATCATATTTAAATTAGCAGATTTTGTGTCGAGAAATTCATATAAAATGCAAAACACATAATTGGAATAATTGTGCGTTACTTACAAACGTAACACTTCAATTTCTGACAGGAAACATTTCCACTGCGTTTTCCATTCAGCACTTCCTTCCTGCAAAAAGTCAGACAATACTTATAAGTAATGTCACTTCCACTGTACGCAATGCTTTACATTGACATTTATATTGACATGGATTGTTTCCTGTTTTTCTTTCATGTTACAATTTTCTTTCTTTAAATCACAGACTTATATTTGGGCTCTATTCTATTAACCCCCCTCCACATGACCAACATTCAAACTTCTCCTCAGAGATCCCAATTTACCTGTTGGAAGACCTTTACTGCAAAAATCTTGTTCTGAATGACTGTTTTGTACACCTCAGAAAACGCTCCCTCCCCAATCTTAAAATCATGGTGAAAATTCCTGGTTGCCAGAGCAATATCTTCATAAGTGAATAAAGAGCGGGGTTTTACATCTGCAGGGAATAAATACAGAGCGAAAGAGAGAAATTAATAAACCTATGTACATTTTCATATTTTAATCTGAATCACTTACCGTAAAATGGGCATAATCCACTTCAAACATTGAATTAATACAGACCAACAGATGCAGGGATCTATTCATTTGAATAGTTAGCTTTGTTTCACAAATGGTGTGTACTTTAATAGGAAGGTGAGGCTTTAGGGATAGCTCTACACTATGCGCAGGGACAAAACAACAAACAGCACACTGCATTGAAGGATGTGCAGTGCATGTGGTTTCCCCACATTGCACGTTTTGATGGTGCTCAATTTTAAAGCCATTTATTATTTATTCTGATTAGTTGGTAGTCAGGTCAAGATTTACAAACTCATGGGAATTAAGCTTTTTACATGTTTGGCCATGTTTTGCACATCTCCAGCCTGCTTAGTGCTTTTATTTGCTTTTGCATTCTGTTTCTTGTTAAACAGACATTTGTCACACTTCCTTCACATCTACAAAACCTTCAGAGTTTAATTCTGAGTCAGAGCTGACACTTCATTAGTAATATTAGTTCAACTGCAATACTTCCTGTTCGATAAAATAGTAAACCATCAATAATACTGAATGTGATTCCAGAGTTTGATTTTGCACATTTTTATTAATAAATAATAATCTTTGCTTTTGATATGGCGATTTATCACATCATTGAGAGGTCTCAAAGCGCTTCACAGAATATATTGTAAAGTGAATTTACTGTTTTTTATGGGCGAAATTGGATCATTTGTAAAATAAAAAGCCGCAATCTTACCTTTCTGAACGAACAAATGTATAGCTCTCTGTTGATCCATATCATGAAGAAGTTGCAGGAGATCACCAACTGTTTTATTCTTGAGTCCCCACATCCAGAGCAACTCCCCAGTCCGACTTTTCCCTTGTTCCGCGAACCGCTCAATGGTTCTGAACTCAAGCCAGTCGGTGGAGATCCGTTCAGCTGTTGAAAACCAGTATGCATTGTTATTGGATACAGGAAAAATATAAGGGGGCATCTAACAATTCAATCTACACAATTATTATAATAATGTATTAATAATAATTCTTGCATTTGATATAGCGCCTTATCACGTCTTCACAGGATATACTGTAAATTGGATTGACTGTGTATTTTGTGGGTGAAAAGCGGCAGCCAATTGTGCACAGTGATTGTCCCACAAAAAGCCATGGAGTGAGTGACCAATTTTATTTGGGGGAATTGTTGGCCAGGACCCCGTGAGCAACTTCTTTCTCTTTTTGAACAGGGCCATGGGATCTTTAACATCCACCTGAACAGGCAGATAAGACCTCGGTTTTTAAAGTCGCATTCGAAGGACTGCACCTCCGACAATAACACACCTCAGCACTGAATTGGAGTATCAGTTTAGACTATGTAATTCGAAGTCCCGATGTGGGGCTTGAACCTTCTGATTCAGAGGCGAAAGTGCTACCAGTGAGCCAGGTTGACACACAATCACATTATTCTTATGCTATCTGTGCATCACGTTACCATTTGTCCCATTAACATGTATCTGAATTACTATCTTACATTAGGAATTTAACTCTACAACAAAACTTTACATCTTAGGGAGTATGATAGAAAGCTTGTAACTGCTTATTAATAATGCCCCTGGCCTGGCCCAGTTGGTAGTCCTCTTGTTTCTATGTCAGAACATTGCGCATCCAAGCCTCATGTCAGGATTTTGATCTCACAGATTACACTGACACTCCAAAGCAGTACTGGGGTGCGCTGCATTATTGCAAAATGTCTCCATGCATTTCAGGTAATTGCTGTTGAGTGTAGTGACAGTAGACAAATGCATAATAAATGTAAGGATTATTAAGATGCAGCATAATAATATATTAATTAAGAGAAAGCTGGCCAATTTTGTAAAAATGTCATAAAATAGGTATTTCTGTTCCGGGTATTCTGATTGATCAAACTGAGGAATTTAGCAATCTGATGCTCTCTATTTTCTATCTTCAGGGCATGAAACTGTTGTGGTTGAGGAGCCTGAGCGATCTATTGCTGTGGTGAAATCGGGGAGTGGGTGGGGGCTTCCTCAAGTTGGCTTCTCATATCCTGTTGCACCAGCTTGACATCCTATGACCTCTGAGTACTTGTTTTACATTTAATCCAGAGGTTGATCCAGCAATACTGCTTCCCCAACGGATCAAATTCAAGCTCCTCACATTCAAATCCATCCACAGCTTCACCCCACCTCCACCTCTGCCAACTTCTGCCACTCCACTGACCCGGACCTTTCCACACAGTAAAAAATAGTTGGGATTGAGCAAGATCGCAATCCACCGCAAAATCTTTACAGTACATCCATACAATAATAATCCTTCCAAAAACCAAAAACAATAATTAAATTGGTCAGTTTCAATCTACGACTGTTTGTGGGACATTGCTGTGCGCAATTGGCTGCCGCGTTCGCCCACAAATATACAGTCAATTCACTTTACAGTGTGTTCTGTGAAGCGCTTTGGGACGTCCTCCCGACGTGAAGAGCGCGATATCAAATGCAAGGATTATTATTATTATTATAAGCACTTCACCTTCTGAGTTGACTGCAATCTAATCCTAGTCAAAGCCCATCTATACACACACGGGGGGGAGGGGGGGGGGGGCATCGTTATTTAACCCTAACTTATCATCACCTAAATAGATACCTCTGGGTGCAAGTTATTTAATATTAAAACAGTTCTGCCCCAAAGGGTCATTCACTGACTGCCACCGTGCGATGATATCGACACAATCTCTGGTGGGTGCAAAGGGGAAGAAAAAAAAAATCTGTGAGCACAGAGACGGGAGAGTTACTTTGGTGTCACTCTCAGCGACTGAAGCGCATTTATTTAGGAGACGCTTTTGGTTTGTGCACTGTGAGATCGGAACAACCGCAGTGGCCAAAACGCCCCCAAAAGAAGCTGTCGGTGCAAAAGCTGCAGCTAAAAAAAAAATAATAATAATAATGTTGCAAACGCTTACCCAGTCCTCGCCACCCCAAGGACCCGTCGTGACTGTCCATAATCTGGCACAACTTTTCCATCAGGGAGGGAGCCACGTCCAAAATAGGAGTCGATGCCGAGAAAGAAGGTTTCATTCCTGACATCTCGAGAGAGAGAGAGAGACAGAGAGAGAGAGAGAAAGAGAGAAAGAGAGAGAGAAAAAAAAAGTGTTCTGGGTCTGCGATCTCCTCTCTCTCGGATCGCCCTTAAGAAGGGGGTGAATCGAGTTGATGAGAGGCGTCACACGTCGTTGCACAAGAAAAGAGATCGTCAAAAGGAATTTCCCCCAAATGCAGTCATATTCAAATGATTTCCCAGCCCTTGTGCGTAAAACTGTCAGCCCGGACTCGAGAGTAAGAAAACTTTTACAGGGATTTTTTTTTGATCATCATCATCATCATCATCATCATCATCAAAAAAAAATCAGTGAGGTTTCAGCACACGATTTTTCCAAACAGATTTTCTTTTTTAAAAAAAAATACATTTTTTTAAATAAATCAATACGTGGGACTTGTGCAGCACTGGTACCTCTGCTGTTATTATTATTATTAATTATTATTATTAATAATAATAATAATCCTTGCCTTTGATACAGCACCCCGCCACTTTGGCAGGATGTCTGTCTTAAGAGTTAAAGCGTCTCACAGGATTTTTGCGGTGAAGTGTTGCTGTGACTGTGTCTTTTGTAAGCAATCAATAGCATCCGATTTGCATACAGTAAGTAATGTGCCATAAACACCAACAACAACAACAAGATTCCATTTATAGAGCGCCTTTCACGTCGGGAGCACGCACCAAGGCGCTGAAACAGCCTTGAAGTGAATAACCCCAATTTTATTTGGGGTTTATTGACCAGAATAGTGCCATGGGTCTTTAACGTCCACCTGTAACTTGATTTAACGTCTCATCCAAAGGACAACATCTCCAGCAATGCACTGTAAGGCTGCACTGTATTGGAGGGTCAGCCTTGATTCTGTTGAGCTCAAAGTCCTGATGTGAGACTTCAACCCAAAACCTTCTGACTCGCAAGTTTAGTGCAGCCCACTCAGCCACATACTGAGGCATCATTCTGTGTGTAATTACAGTGTTCTCAATGTTTCTACACTTGTGTAGAAAAAAGAAACCAGACACCTGAACTCCCTTCTCCCACCACCTAAGTTGCTGCACAGATGTGGAAAGATTGACAACATTGTGATGCACACATGATGATGCCTCATTTAAATACTGTATGTATGTGCTTAATATATGTATGCTAATACAGACACAATTTCTGTCTGTCCGCCAAAAACGAAATATCCGATTGACGTAGAGACATGTTTTATACCTCATCGGAAAGGTCTTCGTTGGGCATTTTTTCTGGGGGGAATCTCCTATCATTGATCAGCTATATTAAAAAAATTCTTTAATTAAGCTTACAAAAAGGTATGTATGGTATTCTGCAACAAAGTAGCAACAGGGGTCATACACCTTTCTAGAGAGATACATCTATAGTAATAAAGACAAAATCTCTGGATGTGTGAATGTCTAACTGATTGACATAGAGACACCAACAGGAGTCCTCCCAAGCAAGAATCTTCCAACTGAGGCCTCCCACTGAATCCTCCCAACAGAAATCCTCCCAAATGGATATGTGTGAAAATATGTGAACAAGGGATGTTAACAAGTTCAATAGAACATTTTCTTAATCTTAAGGGATAAAGATGCCTAAGAAGCGAAGCTCAAGCCTTTCTAGGATGAATAAAAATGCCAGACGAAGAGAGAAGGCCGATTAAATGATACTTGTTGCAGACGTAGCTGCAGTGGGTACAGTTGGCACTATATATTTGTGAATATATAAGTGATCTGATGAAGTCTGGATATGTACATAAAGCTCAATAATTACTTTTTCCAGATATAATGAGAGCAGAAGTGAGAGTAAAAACAGTTAGTGCAGTGTATTATGTGGCAGGATATGGAACCCATCCATGGAGGGAAAACCACAATATAACACACTAACAAGTACACACAACAACCCCCACCCTTACTTCCATCCCAACTACCACCCCCCCCCCCCCACCCCACGCACACACACACACTTCTCGGGGGATGGAAGAAAAACCTCAGTAATATCAACCATTTAGCTGTGGAGAATGTCAGTGTGTCCAGCAAAAGCAGAAGAGCCATCCAACAATAGAGCAATTCAGTAATAGAACTGAATCAGCTGCAAGTGTGCTTAATTGATCTCATTCTGTAAAGTGCTTGAATGTGCGTTCAGCGCTCTGAGATGCTATCCTACTTGAAGGGCTAAGTGGAGGGTTATTGTGTGCACTGCTAATGTATGCTGTGGTGTTTTGTGTGCACTGTTAGTGTGTGGTGTGTTGTGTGCTCTGCTAGTGTGTTGTGTGCACTGTTCGTGCGTGTTGTGGTATGTGTACTGTCAGTGTGTGTTGCGTGCACTGTCATTGTGTTTGTAGTGGGTTGTGTGCACTGTCAGTGTGTGTTGTGTGCACTGTCGGTGTGAGTTGTATGTGTGTGCACTGTCAGTGTGCGATGTGGTGTGCGTGTGCACTATTAGTCTGTGTTGTGTTGTGTGTGTGCATTGTCAGTGTGCATTGTCAGTGTGCACTGTCAGTGTGTGTTGTGTGCACTGTCAGTGTGTGCTGTGGTGTGTGTGTTATGGTGTGAGTGTGCACTGTCAGTATGTGGTGTGTGTGTGCATTGTCAGTGTGTGTTGTGGTACGTGTGTGACTGTCAGTGTGTGTTGTGGTATGTGTGTGCACTGTCAGTGTGTGTTGTGGTGTGTGTGTACTGTCAGTGTATGTTGTGGTGTGTGCGTGTGCACTGTTAATATGTGTTGTGTGCACTGTTAGTGTGTGTTGTGGTGTGTGCACTGTCAGTGTGTGTTGGTGTGTGTGTGTGCACTGTCAGTGTGTGTTGGTGTGTGTGTGTGTGTGTGTGTGCACTGTCATTGTTTGTTGGTGTGTGTGTGTGCACTGTCAGTGTGTGTTGGTGTGTGTGCACTGTCAGTGTGTGTTGGTGTGTGTGTGCACTGTCAGTGTGTGTTGGTGTGTGTGCACTGTCAGTGTGTGTTGGTGTGTGTGTGTGCACTGTCAGTGTGTGTGCGCACTGTCAGTGTGTGTTGGTGTGTGTGTGTGTGCACTGTCAGTGTGTGTTGGTGTGTGTGTGTGCACTGTCGGTGTGTGTTGGTGTGTGTGTGTGTGCACTGTCAGTGTGTGTGTGTGTGTGTGCACTGTCAGTGTGTGTTGGTGTGTGTGTATGTGGGTGTCGGTGTCAGTGTGTGTTGGTGTGTGTGTGTGTGCACTGTCAGTGTGTGTTTGTGTGTGTGTGTGCACTGTCAGTGTGTGTTGGTGTGTGTGTGTGCACTGTCAGTGTGTGTTTGTGTGTGTGTGTGCACTGTCAGTGTGTGTTGGTGTGTGTGTGTGCACTGTCAGTGTGTGTTGGTGTGTGTGTGTGCACTGTCAGTGTGTGTTGGTGTGTGTGTGCACTGTCAGTGTGTGTTGGTGTGTGTGTGTGCACTGTCAGTGTGTGTTGGTGTGTGTGTGTGCACTGTCAGTGTGTGTTGGTGTGTGTGTGTGCACTGTCAGTGTGTGTTGGTGTGTGTGTGTGCACTGTCTGTGTGTGTGTGTGTGTTGGGGGCGGGGCTGTCCTGTCTGTGACGACACACTGAGCTGGTGGGCGGGGCGGGGGGTGTGGGCGGGACCGGAAGCAGTTGGTGCTGAGGTCGGACTTGTTGTCGTTGGTGAAGTCGCCATTGGAGACGGTTCGGGTTTTCCAGAGGAAAAGAAACCGACGGGAGAGCGAGAGAGAGGGAGAGAGAGAGAGGGAGGGAGAGCGAGAGCGAGATGGAGGCGGAACACTACCCCAGATCCTCCATTGAGGATGACTTTAACTACGGCAGTAACGTGGCGTCCGCCAGTGTCCACATCCGAATGGGTGAGAGTCAGAGAGAGGCCGTCACAGGCCCCGCGCGGCCTCTCACACACTGTGCGCTGTGTCTGACACACTGTCGGGCAGTGGCGCGTGTAGCTTCATTTGCGGCAGAATTTGTGTTTATATAACGTCTAAATGCGCCGTGGGCAAGAGGGGTGTGTGTGTGTATGTAGTGTGTGTGTGTATGTAGTGTGTGTGTGTATGTAGTGTGTGTATGTAGTGTGTGTGTGTATGTATGTAGTGTGTATGTAGTGTGTATGTATGTAGTGTGTGTGTGTATGTAGTGTGTGTGTGTATGTAGTGTGTGTGTGTATGTAGTGTGTGTGTGTATGTAGTGTGTGTGTGTATGTAGTGTGTGTGTGTATGTAGTGTGTGTGTGTATGTAGTGTGTGTGTATGTAGTGTGTGTGTGTGTGTGTGTGTGTGTATGTAGTGTGTATGTGTGTATGTAGTGTGTGTGTGTGTATGTAGTGTGTATGTATGTATGTAGTGTGTATGTGTGTTTGTAGTGTGTGTGTGTATGTAGTGTGTGTGTGTATGTAGTGTGTGTGTGTATGTAGTGTGTATGTGTGTATGTAGTGTGTGTGTGTGTATGTAGTGTGTGTGTATGTTGTGTGTGTAGGTAGTGAGTGTGTGTGTGTAGCATGTGTGTGTAGTGTTTGGGTATGTAGTATGTGTGTATGTATGTAGTATGTGTGTGGGTATGTAGCATGTGTGCGTAGTGTTTGTGTACGTAGTGTGTGTGTGTAGCATGTGTGTGTAGTGTTTGGGTATGTAGTATGTGTGTATGTATGTAGTATGTGTGTGGGTATGTAGCATGTGTGCGTAGTGTTTGTGTACGTAGTGTGTGTGTGTAGCATGTGTGTGTAGTGTTTGGGTATGTAGTATGTGTGTATGTATGTAGTATGTGTGTGGGTATGTAGCATGTGTGCGTAGTGTTTGTGTATGTAGTCTGTGTGTGCATGTAGCATGTGTGTGTAGTGTTTGTGTATGTAGTGTGTGTATGTAGCATGCGTGTGTAGTGTTTATGTATGTTGTATGTGTGTATGTAGTATGTGTGTGTAGTGTTTGTGTATGTAGTATACGTGCATATGTGTGTGGAGGGCAGAACAGGGAGCCGGAGAAGCGTATCATAAGCTTGTCCAAACATGGCATTTGAGCCAAATGTAATTTTTAAAAATGTTATCATTAAAATTTGTCAGCATTTGAAATGCTTGAACTCAAAAATGTTCTCCTTTCTTTGTGGTTAAGATTTCAGGTGCTTGTTGTTACCGTAGCACAGTGAAGGTATTACTAATGATACGGATGACATTGAAAACTGTGGGTGAATTCCCCCTTAATACAGGTTCACTGAAATGTGGCAGTTTAGAAATTATAAAACAGTTCTGTACCATACGTGCTAGATATGTTGATATGTACAGATTTGTTTATCTCATAATAGTTTTGCTTAATTCTTCTTATGCCTTTCACATGACAGCCTTCCTGCGAAAGGTGTACACCATCCTGTCTCTCCAGATTATTTTGACTACCGTGACATCTGCTGTTTTCATGTACAGTGATACAATTAAGGACTTTATACACACAAGGTACTTCTGTTCAAAGTAACCCTGGATTGGAACTAGATTAATAATAAATAATAATTCTTGCATTTGATATAGTACCTTATCATGTCTTTGTGACGTCTCCAAGCCCTTCACAGAATATACTGTATATTTTGTGGGTGAAACCCGGCAGCCAATTGCCCACAGCAGTGACCCACAAACAGTTGTGGATTGATTAATAAAATAATTAGGCTAAATTTTGGGAACACTTGGGAGTTTTTCTTTTTCCTTTTCTAAAAAGAGGGAATTTGTTTGAATTTTGTTTGAAAAGTGTTTTTTTTAAAAAAAGATTTAATCCTTTTGTGACACTTCACATGCTGAATTACTAATCTTGGTAGGATTTTTTGAGAGGCTATACTGGCAGCCATGCAGAATACCATTGGCATGAATTCCAACCTGAAATTAATCTTTTTTCTGAAGATATTTCCCCCATTCTGTCACTGATCTGAAAGACACTAATTGCCATAAATGTTTTAAAGTCAGATCTCAACCAATTGAAAGTTTGAGCTGACTTCCAAAGCAGACTATGACCATGGCATAATTATTTATATGCAATTCTAATATTGGTGCAAATTATGGAATAGTGCAGTAGCTGCACAGTTATCTGTTACTACTAGTTAAATCCATCATCAATTCAATAAAAACACACATGATAACTTTACTGTATATTTTTTCTGCCTCATTTGCCTCTAATATATATTTTTTTTCCCATCTTAGTCCAGCATTTGTCCTGGTGCCAGCTTTAGGATCTCTGGGGCTGATCATTGCCCTGGCAATCTACAGGCACCAGCACCCCATTAACCTGTACCTCCTGTTTGCTTTTGTAAGTATTTGATGATATTATACCTTTATTAAATTATATTGCAAAACAACTCAGCATTGCAGTGTTAGCCAATCGCAATAGCAAACTCTGTGTCCTTCAGTGTTGCTTCAGTTTCCGCCTGGGCTGGTTTCATATTGGTACCGAGTCAGTGTGTACCAGGTCTGGTTCAGTGTAGCTACCCACAGTCAGTATCAACCAGGGCAAATTCAGTACCACCGACTGCTAAAAACCAAGGCTGTCTGGTGGTAAACTGTTAGCATTTATGTAGCTGGTGTAGATGTAGGTCTGCATCATCTTGTTTGATAGGTGCTGCCTATGAGTACCCTTCTTTTGTATTGCCACTCTTTACCAGCTATGCAAATTTACCTTTTTTAAAAAAATACAGATTTTGGCTGGTCTATACTTACACGTTTGTCATCTTATATGTTTGTACAATAGCAGTCGTATATCTTTTTTGGAGAGGGAGATTTTTTTCCAAATGTATTGACGTATTAAATGTGTTTTCTTCACAGACCCTCTTTGAGGCTATTACTGTGGCCACTGCAGGTAAGGAATTATCTTCAAATTTGTAATTCTCATTTTTCAAAAGATACTTTATAAATATGCTCCATGATAGAACATTTTGTAGTATCCTGCACTAAGGATTGGGTGTGTTTGGGGAGGGTAGGGGAGAGTTTCTCGTGATTTATGGATTATAATAATAATCCTTGCATTTGATGTAGCGCCTTATCGCATCTTCGAGATGTCTCAAAGTGCTTCACAGAATATACTGTAAAGTGAATTGACTATTATAAATTTTAAATAGATTCTCAGACATGCTGCTTTCCCTCACCACCGTAACATTGCCCACCTCTGCCAATACCTCACCCCACAAGCATGCTCAAATTATGTTTTCATCACATCCAGGCTTGACTAGGCCAATACCCTTCTCCACGCTCTTTCCCACACAAGCTTCAACTATCCAGACCTCTGCAGTGGCGTTGCCCCATCCTGATTCTGTGACCTCCAACAACGCTACCTATCAGACTCTTAGCTCAGCGAATACTGGACAGCTTTATACCTCCCTGCACTATCTGCCTCACGGAGCAACTAAGCTTTCAGATATCTGCTCCCTGTTTCTGGAACTTCATCCCAGACTTCTTCTAACTTGATCCCTCCCAATGTTCAAAGCCCTCCACCGCACTTTCAGTCATCTTTCCTACACTGACAAATCCGCTCACTTCACTGAGAGATCACTGGCCTGCTTTATTTCTCCCACACAATCTGTCCCACCATTGGGGGCCATTCTGACCCCACTTCCTGGAACTGTTTCCCGGAGTCCCTTGGATGCACTCCCTTTGTTATGATTCCTTGAGGAAAAATTATACCACACTGTGAATGTATTCCAAGATGTTTAATTCACTCTCACTCCAAATATACTTTCTCCAATCAGTCTCCCAGCACCTTCCCTGACCTCAGTCAGTGGTCATGTTTTACACTCTGATTCTGTTTAGTTTTCTCAAGTGATGAACTCCTAATATTAATTTCCTTCCTTGAAATGTTACATTGTTAGCAGCTACATTGAACCAGCCTGGCAGACATTAATTGTGCGGTCCAACTAAACTAGGCCTAGCACACACTCTCAGTAGCATCACTAAACTGTTTCTGGCGGGAAATGAACCGCACTGGCTGATACTGACTCTCGGCAACAACTCTAAACTAGTGCTGACAATAACAACAAAATTACATTTGTATAGCGCCTTTCACGTCGGGAGGATGTCCCAAGGCACTGGACAATCAGTGTTTCGGACCCAAACTGGGGGTCGGGATTGGGAGACTGGTGGGCGGGGGGGAGGAACGTTGATCAAAGGCACGGTCAAAGAGGAGGGTTTTGAGATGGGTCTTGGAGGGGGCGAGGCAGGGGGAACTGTGGGATGGAGTTCCAGGGGGTGGGGGCAGAGTGGCTGAAGGCCCGCCCACTAATGGTGGTGGGGGGGGCAAGGCGGGGGACGTGAAGCAGGACGGAGTCCGCTGAGTGGAGGGAGCGGGCAGGTTGCTAGGGGGTCGCAGAGGTAGGGAAGAACAAGACCATGGAGGGCTTTGAAGGTGAGGACCAGGATCTTGAACTGTATCCTCTGTGTGATGGGAAGCCAGTGGAGTCGGGCGAGGATGGGGGAGATAGGATCACGGAGCCTGGTGCAGGAGAGGCCATGGGCTGCAGAATTCTGGATGATCTACAACATATGGAGGGAGGAGTTGGGGAAGCCGACAAGCGGGGAGTTTGCATAGTCGAGCCTGGATGTTATAAATGCATGGAAGTATGAGCTACCTTGGCAAACACCAACTCTCTGGAACTTCACTGAACTAGCCCTGGCAGATCCTGACTCAGCAGCTACACTGAACGTGGCCTGATAGACACTAATTGCGCAGTCAAATTGAACCAGGCCCAGCAAATACTGACTCAGCAATTACACTGAACAAACCCTTGTAGAGAATGACTGTGAAGAACCCAGACAGACACTGATTTTCAGCAAATACATTGAACCAGCCCTGGCAGATACCAATTATGCAGCTACATTGAGCCAGTCCTGGCTAACACTGGAAACACTAAACCAATTCTGGCAGAATTTGACTCAGTAACTTCACTGAAATAGCACTGACTAAATGTGCAGCCAAACTGAACTACCCCTGGCACACACTGACTCAGTAGTAACACAAAAACATCCCTGGCACAAACTGAACCAGCACTGAAGGACACTGACTGTCAGTCAGCAGGTACACTGAAGCAGCCCTGGCAGACACTGGCTCACAACTGCAGTTAACCAGGTCTGTCAGACACTGATTGTGCAGCTACACTGAATTTGCCCTGGCAGATCCTGATTCTTAGCAGTTACACTGAACCTGCCCTGGCAGACACTGGCTCTGGACAGCTACACTAAACTGATACCAACTTTCTGGAGCTACACTGAACCAGCTCTGACACATACTGATTCTACAACTGCACTGAACTTGCCCTGGAAAACACTGACTGTTTTTTGAACCATCCCTGTCACACAGTGATCCCAGCAGCTTCACTAAACCAGCCCCAGTAGTCACTGACTGTTAGCAATTACACTGAACAAACCCTGGGAGACGATGATTGTGTTAGCACACTGAAAAAGTCCAGTCAGACGCTAACTCTCAGGGAATGTACTGAACCAGGCTTGGCAGATACTGATTATGCTGTTACACTGATCCAGCCATGGTAGACACCGAAATCTTAGGCAAGATTCTTTACTCACATGCTTCTGTTTACTTAGCAGTAAGTAGGAACCAGTTGTTAGTCAATTGGCGCATCGTGTTCTGGGAGTAATACTCCCTCCAAAAAATTAATAATAATTTGGTCACACAATCTGTAACTGTTTGTGGAACGCTGCTATGTGCAATTGGCTTTTGTGTTTTGCCCACAAAATATATAGTCAATTCACTTTACAGTATATTCTGTGAAGTCCTTTAAGACGTCTCAAAGACTTGATAAGGCGCTGTATCAAATGCAAGGATTATTATTCTCTTTGTAAATCGTATAATTGCTTAAATTGTATATCCGCCCGAGTCCTATTCAGTTTCTTATCAAAACAACTTAGATTTCTTTGCACTATTCATATTAATTGTTCCATAACTCGCAATGACGTGGCGACATGTCAAGATGCATTGAATCGTGGGAAACATAATCTTGACTTGTCACTGCATTTGCACTTACTGGCTGCAGTGCTGAAGTCCCGTTTGCACACTTGCTGGCTGCATTGAATTATACATGCACAGTTAAGGTACAAGTTTAACTGCAACTTAGACTTTGCACAAATCATATTGAATGTTATGGTCCCAACTGATACAACTTATGTGAGTTTTACTGTAGCTGTATTGGTAAATCATTTAAATCCTACTTTTACAGGATATTGGTGGACATCAAGCGTCACTTCAGAGACTGTTACAAAATAACCATGTTCAAAACTGTTCTCTTTCTTTGTCTTTCAGTCACTTTCTACCAGTATTCAGTGGTTCTCCAAGCATTTGTTCTTACAACTGCTGTATTCCTTGGTCTAACATCCTACACATTCCAATCCAAGAGAGACTTCAGTAAATATGGAGCAGGGTATGTGCACCAGTCTGTACGTTTTAAAGCTCTCAGTGATTTGTTTGATCTCTGATTCCTTTTTATTAGGTCCATAAGATGCACAACATTCTGTCCATAAAGCTTTTGTTGAGACTGGTTTCACCATTGTATTGGTATATACCAATAAACAGTGCTGTCCTGTCTATTATCATTATTATTATCTGTATTATGACTATTATTTGTATAAGGACAATATTTCAACATCACATTGTGAGCATCTCATAAATAAGGGCATCTCATTATTCAGATAACATAATTTACTTGCCTCCCCAATTCAGATGCAGCCTTCTGCTAGTGTGATACTTTTAAAATTAATTTTCAGTGTTTGATGATGAGACTTGATAAACTTTATCTGATTTCTTTAACTATGTCAAATTGTAACAAGTTGTAACTGCTAAAGCATTCCTGAAAATCTGAGATAGTTTTATACTGTATTTAATCTGGGGTTGTCCGTGAAGCAATTCCTCTCAATGTGTGAAAGTGGAAATTTACTGTTTACCTTGGTGCACGTGCTTACATCATAGAAAATATAGGCGAGTGGCTTATTATACTGATACCAACCATAAAAGCTTTATTAAACTGATACCTGTGAAACAGTATCAATTCCTAATTATCTAAATGCAAAAAATCATGTTTTTTTTAATTTGTCTTTCTTGTAGGCTTTTTGCTTGCCTGTGGATTCTGATCCTGGCTGGGTTTTTCCGTGTAAGTAGCAGAAAATATTTCTTTTAAAGGATGGTTGAATATATACCTATAGCTTCTAAAATGGTTTCTTTTTTTGCTGATTCCTTTCTTTGACTTTTTGGGGAAAGAATGGAGCTAAATATTGATTTTGACAATAACATCTTCAACTTTGTTCACTGCAGCTGTTCTTCTTCAGTGAGACAATGGAACTAGTGTTTGCGTCTGCAGGAGCTCTCCTCTTCTGTGGCTTTATCATCTACGACACACACGTACTGATGCACAAACTGTCACCTGAAGAGTACATTCTGGCTTCAATTAACCTGTACTTGGATATCATCAATCTCTTCCTGCATATCCTTCGCATCCTTGAATCAATTAATAAAAAGTAACAACCATGGACAGTTACGTAGATAATATAAAATCCAGCAATGTAATGCACTGCTGAAATATGTACACTCTGTGCAATAACTTTACATGGTTTACATTACCTAACTATTCTGAATGAATTGTATATATATTTAATCATACAAGATGATTAATTGTAGAATTAATACAGTGCACTTTTCCTTCAGGTGAAATGGCTTCCTTATGTGTTGTAAGCATTTTATGATTTTAGAAATGTAAAGTGGTCTATTTCGGGGGAATCATTTCTAAAGAAAATTACTTTTGTGGATGAGCACAACTCAAGGACCAGATCCAGTTATGATAAATAAATATCTGCGGTTTTATTAGGGGTGGGGAAATCTTTTATGACTTTGGGATTAGAATTAAACTTTTTTTTAAAACTTTATTCAGCTTGGAAATGTTGTACTATACTGGAGAAGTAAAATAAAATTTTAGCTGTTTGGTTGTGATAAAGGTCTGTTTGGTAATTTACTTTTATATGTATTCCACATTTTCTTTCCTTCTACCATTTGCAAACATTACAGATCACAGGGAGTAGATTTCCTATTATGTAAATACATAATGCAATATTTTTGAGAAATAGTGTCTTTAACTGAATAAAGTTCATTAATAATACTGTGTGCTCTTCTGCCTTCTGAGGTATTTGGTTTAATATAGTTGCAATAAAGTGTATCAGAGGGAGAAATAATCAATTCTCAGTTTGGTTTGGATACTCTTCACCATGGTGATAGGTTTCCATGTGTGTCATGACACCTGACTAACCCAAAAAACACATTTGCTGAAAATACAAGAAAATATACCCTTTTCAACCCCTGATGCACATTATTGCAACAATTATATCCCCCCAAAAAAATTGCTAAGCAAATGTAAAAACATTTCATGTTGAAAACGTTGAGACCATCTGATTTGCCTGTGAGTTCAAGTTAAATTAGAACACAGTAATCACTGAAATAGGCAAATTAGCTTTAAGGACCACAACCAGAAGTGCCCCTGCTGCCTTTTCCCACAAGGCGATTATACCACAACAAACTGGCAGTAACAGTTCAGGCATGTGAGCAGATGCCTCTTGTTTTTCTCTAATATGACCCACTTTAAGAATCAACAGCCCTATTTCAAGCACAGACTGACCTACAAATATCTGTAAAGTAGGCTTGTCAACAATGTTGGTTAGGCTTCAGCCCTAATTTTGCAATACCCTGCCTTGTTGTGGATTGAGGTGAAGTGAGTTTGCATCATATTATCAGTTATGTAATAATGTAAGGCCTCTAAAACATACAGCTTGTATTCTGGATTCAGATAGTTTCATTATCAAGTTTAACAATTAAAACTAGTAGTGCCATTTTAAGTAGCTAAATGTATTTTCTTTGGAACAATATATAAAGCAACATATGATTCATGGGTAAAATGCAAAATACTGCAGATGCCAGAAATCTGAAACAAAAACAGATCGCTGGGAACATTCAGCAGGTCAGGCAGCATCTATGGAGAAAGGAAAGTGGGTTAATGTTTCAGGTCCACGACCCTTTGTCAGAACTGGGGGATGTTGGGAGGGAGACGTTTTAAGGACTAACAGGGGAGGCAGGGCAAGAAAGAAAGGAGAAAATGGGGTGGAAGGAGCAAAATTTGGGAATGCTTAATGCATTTATGTCTTGTATTAAGACCTCTTGTTTTGCATTGCATTCGCTGCTCAGAACTCATCAGTTTGCAGGGCATGGGACAGCCTGTTATTTCATAAATAATTTAGAGGTATGTATTTATACACTAATTAGGGTTAATATTTTATTTACCACAACAGTTTGCATTTATATAGTGCCTTTCACAAACAATAACCTCTTGGAGCACTTTACAGTGAAGGTGGTCAGACAACAAGCAAGGGAAGGGGGAGGTCACCATAGGTGCAGTTGAAGAGGTAAGTTTTGAGGGAGGACTTGAAGACAGAATCTTTAATTATGTTTATATCTTTAATAGTTAATTCCTCTTCTGATCATTGGATATCCTAGTGATAATAAAGTACCTCCTCATATTATAGGAAAATTCTGAACAGAGCATATCGTGTGTTGCTCGACTTGTGATAGACACCACCCAGCTCAAGCATGAGTAATTTGGAACTAAAAGGTTTGTCCTTTATTTTCTTAAGTTAAATAGCTAGGATGAACAAAACCAGTGGCTTTAGCCAGAAGAGTAATGTGTCATATGGACATTTATAAACATATTAAAAATGATTAACTGTTGAGTAATCAATGCAAGCTATGAAAAGATGCGGATCCTATATGCTGTAAAATAGCCTCCTAATACAATGTTTTTTATGACTATCTTAGATTGTTCCTACACAATTCTCATCTTGATTATTATCAGGGAAAAGGCCCTGCACGGTCTGAATGATCGAACAGTGTCAATGCTTAGACCTATAGAGGTTATTGTAGAAGAATTCCCGGTGCAAAAGTAACCAAGACCAATTAAAACTTATGTTTATCAGACAGAGAGACCGACAGAGGAGCTGGTGTGACTGCCAGGGTGTGAGTGGCTGCAAATTGCTGCTTTATCTTGCCATTCTTAAAGAAATGACCAGGTCTGAGGCCTTCCATCAAACTCAAATGATTACACCTCACATTGAATCTTCAGTTCATAGTACAGACCGTTACTCCAGTTGAATACTGGGGGTGAATGCGCTGTATTGTTGGGAGACACTGTCCTTTGGATGAGATGTTAAAGATCTTATTGCACTATTTATAATAATACTAATAATCCTTGCATTTGATACAGTACCTTATCACACTTTCATGATGTTTCAAAGTGCTTCATAGCATATACAGTAAAGTGAATTGACTGCATATTTTGTGGGCAAAACGTGGCAGCCAATTGCGCACAGCAGTGTCCTAATTATTATTATTTATTTGAAGAGATTATTACCCCCAGAAAAGCAATCCGCTAATCCACCAACAACATGTGGGTTCCTACCTACTGCTAGGCCAACAGATAAAACTATTTGCCATGAGAATAGGATTTCTCCCTGTGTCCTGGCCAACAACCCATCAAAAATAAAAATTGATCCTTCATTGTGTTGCTGTTTGCGGGTGGTGGTGGGTGGTGGGGGGGGGGGGCGTTGCTGTGCGCGCAAACGCACAGTCACTCCACTTTACAGCAAATCCAATCCAATCCAAAATGACATTTGTAAAGCGCCATTCACGTCGGGAGGACGTCTCGAAGGAGGCGAGCGAGGGAGGGAGCGAGGGAGGGAGCGAGGGAAAGGGAAGGTGGGATGGAGTTCCAGAGGGTGGGGGGGGGGGCACAGAGGCTGAAGGCCCGACCGCCGATGGTGGGGTTGGGCCGGGCCGGGCCGGGGGGAGCGGTGGGGTGAGGGGGGGGTGGAGGCGGCCGGAGGGAGCGGACAGGTTGTTTGGGGGTCAGTAGGTCGGAGAGGGTAAGGCCATTGCAGGGCCTGGAAGGTGAGGACGAGACGTCACGTGAAGCCCCTTGTGACGTCCTCCTGACGCGATGAGGCGCTGTATGAGATATGAGATGCGGGGATTATTATTGTTATATCCCGGGGGTGGGGGGGGGGGGGGGGAGTGGTGATGACGCGGTGACGCACTGACCTGACCGTATGGGAGGCGGCGCTGGGAGGACCGCGCGGGTCCTCCGACTTCCCAGGATGCCTTTTCGCGGGCACGTGCTGGTGCGAACGCGCGGCGGCCGTTGAGCTCCGGGTAAAAAGTGAGTACCTGTCAGCTCCTCGGCGGCTCCGGCAAAGCCCGGAGTGATCAGCGAGAACACACGGCGGCTCTGACTTATTCGCCTACTGTCCCTCGCTTCCCTGCCCCAGGCCCAGCTCCAGGCCCAGCCCCCACCCCGAGAATCGGCGGCTCAGGCCCAGCCCCAGGCCCAGCCCCCACCCCGAGAATCGGGGCTCAGGCCTAGGCGTGGCGAGACCTCGCAGCCACATACACTGCTCCTGTGTGTGTCCCTGATGGCGCTGCCTCTCTCTGTCTGACTCTCTCTCTCTCTCTGTCTGACCCTTCCTCTGTGGTGTGTATATACTTGTCTCTCCCTTTCTGTGTGTCTGTGTGTCTCTCTGACTTGCTGTATGGTGTGTGTACAGTATGTGTGTCTGAGTCTCTGTGTTTCTCTCTGACTCCTGCTTTGTGGCGTGTCTGTGTTTTATCTGTGTCTCCCTCTGTGTGTCTGACTCTTGTACTTGTGGAGTCCTGTAGCTCAGTGGTTAGAGCACTCGCTTTGCAAGTGAGAGACCTGAGTTCAATTCCAGGCAGAGGGCGAAACCTTGGGCAAGTTTCCTTACTCCACACAGAGCCTAATAATAATCCCTCCAAAACCAAAAATAATAATAAATTGGGTCATTTTCAATCTATGACTGTTTGTGGGACATTGCTGTGCGCAATTGGCTCGCAATTGCGTTTGCCCACATATATACAGTCAATTCACTTTACAGTGTGTTCTGTGAAGCGCTTTGGGACGTCCTCCCGACGTGAAAAGCGCTATATCAAATGCAAGGATTATTATTATTATTTTATGGTTTGTGTGTATGTGTTTTGTGTCTTCCTTTGTGTTTAGCTGTCTGGCTGTCTGCCTGCCAGCCATGCTCTGCCCTTTGTGGGTGTGGGCTGTATGTGGTTTTTTTTGGGGGGGAGCGTTTGTAACTTATGCCTGATGTAATTCAACACAATAAGAACTTGTATTTAGACAGCATCAGTCATTTGGGACAATATCTTGAAGTGTTTAACTCAATATTTGTGGACATAATCTATATACGGTATCAGCCTCGTTCAGTTGAGTCTGAGTCAGAAGATTGTACATTCAAGTCCCACTTCTGGACTTAGATCTCACATACAGCCTTAAAATCCACTCCCAATTCAGTGCTTCTTGTTGGGGGTGCTGGTTCTTCTGTTGAGATGTTAAACTGAGGTTCTGTCTACCAGTTCAAATGAATTATTGTACATGACACTCTTCAAAAAGGAAAGTTAGTTTCTCTTGGTGTCTTGTCCTGCAGTCACCCAACTAAAATTGGTCATTCACTTCATAGCTATCTATGCGACATTGCTGTGGCTTGACACATTTACCAACAAATACCGAATTGCTGTACTTAACAGTAAATCCTGAGAAATGCTTGATGTGCAAGGTGTTGCCCAAATACAAAGATTATTATTTAACAATACAGAGCCACTATCCCTAATAAGGAAAAAAAACATTTTGACATGACAAAATGCTACATCACATACAATAATTATTAATCAATTGGATCTTAAACTGCTGATTTGTTGCAAAAGGATAGGTTGGGTGAGTGATAATTGACTGCTGAAATTACTGTTTTATAATGGAAATAGTTGTAAATAAATTGCCCATTTTTATTTAATTTAAGTTTCAATTGGTGTTTACATGAGCTCTGTCTTGTTAATGTTTGCATTTGAAATGCCTTGAGAGGACTTTATCCAGTCATTGAACCATCTCCAATCGCATAATGGGATTTACTGTAGAGTGTAGAGTGTAGCCACTATGTTTCTTGCAGCCAAAAGCGACAGCCAAATTGCACACAGCAACAACAACAACAAAATTATATTTGTATAGGGCCTTTCACGTCGGGAGGATGTCCCAAGGCGTTGAACGTTCAGTATTTCGGACCCGAGCTGGAGTTTGGGATCGGAGAGGGTGGAAGGCAGGGAGGTGATCAAAGGCACGGTCGAAGAGAAAAGTCTTGAGATGGGTCTTGAAGGAGGCAAGGGAGGGGGTGAGGTGGAGGGATTGTTGGATGGAATTCCAGAAGGCAGGGGCAGAGTGGCTGAACGCTCGCCCACCAGTGGTGAGGCTGGGCGCAGTGGTATTGGGGAGCAAGGCCATGACCCACAAATAACCATGAAGTGAATCACCAATTTTTTCTGGGGGATTGTTGGCCAAGGCACTGTGAGAAAAACTCCTCTGTTTTACACTACCATGGGATCTGTTGGAAAACTTTTTCACAGTATCTTAATTACCACTGCTTGTGGTACAATATGTGCATTAATGTTGCAAATGTACCAACAACAAATCATATTTACAATGAATATTTTTAAACAGCTAATTTCAATGAATCTGATAAAGAAAATGAACACAAACAGACGTATAAATAGACTTAATTGTTACTCTTCAATCATGAGAAATCTAATTGTACCAGGAACAACATGAATCAAGAGGCAAAGATCAAAGAGAGGAAGGAATATCAGTATAAACCTACTGATTATAATAGACTAAAAACATTTTGGTACAAGTTTTATTACTTAATATGGGTCTCTGCTGGCAGAAATCTTGTATCATCTTTGAGGACAAGTATTGTTTTGAGGCAATGAGATCCCCAACCAATATGCCTATTGAAGAACTTTCCAAAATAACATTTAAATGTGAATAGGTTTTACTGACACCACCACATTTTATTTAAAATGGAACGGTCTAAAGCTATCCCTTTGGCCATTGCACAAGTATATCTTACTTAAAAAGCAAAATGGGTTAATAGCATAGATTAAAAAAATATATAGTGAAATTAATTTGACATTGATAAATAAATGTGACCATTTTATACATTTAGATAGAGGTGTGTTGTGTTTAATGTAACTTTTTTTGCCTTGGGAAAATACAGAACCAAAAATGGCAAAAAGTTTGAGAAGTAAATGGAAGCGGAAGATGAGAGCAGAAAAGAGGAAAAGATATGCACCAAAAGAGCTTTCTCGGCTGAAAAAAGTCCTTGGCATGGATGGCAATGGTGATATTACTATGAATGATTTGAAAGAAGTTACAACTGTTGTCTCTCCTGAAAAGTTCAAACAGAAGCCAAATGAAGTACAAACACAAGGAGAAAATGGTAAGCAGAAAAATGTGACTGCAGTATTTTGTTCAATTCCTCAGCATATATAATAGACAAGTCAGAACCAAATATTACTGTTGCATTTTTTTATTTGTTACTTCAACCACTGCTACATTATTTTTTCTTCCTTCTAGCTCAGTGTTATTTCCCTTAAAAGCAAGTTCAAAGTGTTTTTTTTGTCTGTTCTGTGCCTATCAGCGTGCTTAAGAGTATCCAAACCAAACAGAGTTCCAGGCATCCCAACATCACATGCAAATTCCCGTGTATTGGAATGAAATACATACTCTCCTCACAACTAGCGGTTAATGTGGTATATTCTGTTCAGGTTCACACTTGAAATATAATTGCTTATGGAAAGGAAGGAGGAATTTCTATTCAAATCAGAACCATTTTATAAAGACTTTATATGTCTGTTTTTGATCATTCAGCAAGAAATTATTAATGAATAGAAATGATTACATGTTGAGAATAATGTAAATGGATCAAAGAATCGGTGGATATTTCTTGTTCAACATACTTTTATTTCCAGAAAAGGAATGTTTCAAACATGCACAATGATAAATACAACTGCCTAAAACTCGCTTAAGTTGTATAGGTCAGAACCATAACATTATTATGACTTGCGCGAAGTTCGAAACCTAAGCAAACTTGCATAAGTGGTATAAAATCCGATTTAATCAAAAATCTACACTGTGCATGTGTAATTCAATGCAGCTGTTAAGGGCACATGCGGGGGCAGGTCAAGACTTCTACCCTTTCCACAATTTAGTGTGTCTTGACCTGTCACCGCGTATGCACTTACCGGTTGCATTGAATCGCAAGAAATGTAGTTTTGATCTGTCTCTATATGAGCACTTACTGTAAAACATTGGAATCGCGTGAAATGAAGTTCTTTTGCACATTCCACAACAGGTCAAGACTATGTTTCCCACGATTCAATGCAGCCAGTAAGTGTGAGGATAATGGAGGATAGGGGAGTGGTGTTACAAGTTAGGAGGTGATTTGCCCTTATAAAATATGACTAGTGCAAAGAAATCTTAAGTGTTTTTGATTGGAAACTGAAAGGGACTCAGGTGCATGTATGACTGATGAAATATACGATTTATAAAGATAAGACCTATGCGAGTTTTATTGTAATACCTTTTTAATTCATAATATTTAACTGGTCAAGAAAATCCCTTGCAGTTGTCTCCACTATCATTTTTCTTCAGCCTCAAATTCATCCTTTGTGCTGCTCCAGGTTTATCTGAGTGAAAAATGTCATAAAGTGTTCCTTCTGGTAACGAGAGCTGGGTATTAATGCAGAGAGTTCATTTTTAGTATTAAATAAGAAAAGATTATGAAGGTTAACACTTCAATATCAATAATTTGTGATTTCCTAGAGGTGATAATATGTATATTTGATATAGCACCTCTTTGAGGTGTTTCAAAATGCTTCAAAAAATGTGCTTTAAAGCGAATTCACTATATTTTGTGAGGAAAATTAATTTTGATCGCAGCAGGTTATTACATCCTGATTGGTATGCTTTCTAGCAGCAGACATGACTGTAGGTCAGGAGCTCAATGGGACACTTTAATAAGAGAGAGAAGCAAATTTGACAATTAGATGTATTATGAGTTTGGAATTTTCAATTTGTATATATATAAAAGATTTTGAAACATTCTTGTTTTATGACTGTATAAACGAGCCATGTTTTTGTATATATAGATGGTGCAGCTACTATGGACATAGATAAGAAAAGGAACAAAAAGAGCCTTTTGAATGAACATGGTCAATATCCAGTGTGGATGCATCCCAGACAAAGAAAGAGGATCAAAGAAAAACGAAACTCAAAAAACAAGCTGAAACATCGAAAGAGACTAGCTTGGTAGATATATTGTGAGAAGAGATGTACAAAGACTTTGAGTTTTATTAAAAAAAATTAAATGAATTCTTAACTGTTGGATATTTGGAACAAACTGAACTATTCCTTTTGGTCAGTCGGGTGTCTGACCCATGCAGAAACACCCATCACCGTGCTTAAGAGTATCCAAACCAAACTGAGATTTCCATGCATCCCACCTACACATGGAAATCCCAGAGATTGTTGTTGGAATGGAATATGCACTCTGACCCTGGAGGGACACATTCTGTTACCTAATTCTGGAAAGTATTAGGCGCAGGTTGGCAAGAACCGAGGCTTGGGGGCGCTGGTGAAATCTAACCAGCTAAAACCACATAGCTTGCCATTGATAGCACTGTCTGGCAAGCTTTCCCGCTCCTTGTTTATCTAGAACTCCCTACCCGTTAGGGCTTTGGTTTGTGGGGTTAACAGGACTGAATGGGAGCATTCCCTGCCCCCAGTGACTGATCTGCCCATCCGAGTCATGCTGATGAACCAGGCTGGCTGTTCTGTCATCAGCAGTGCCCTGGAGTACTGCGGACCCACCTGGCTCAGGAACCAGACTACCGAGTCCGCTACAGAGAGCTCACTCGATTCCAACATTCAGTTGTCAAACGACACCTTGGAGCCGCGTTCGCCCACAAATATACGGTCAATTCACTTTACAGTGTGTTCTGTGAAGTGCTTTGGGACGTCCTCCTGACGTGAAAAGCGCTATATCAAATGCAAGGATTATTATTATTATGTTTGGCAGCTGACCTAAGAAACTCACCTAAGAAGTTATAGTACGTGTCTTTAAAATGTGAACCTGTGAACATCTTGGTTCTGTGATTTATCTTTGTAGACACTTTGTGTTTTAACAGATATTAAATTGTTACACAACACATGTAACGAGGAGTTGGCAAGTAATTGAATGTAATCAATAAATTAAACCTTGTTATTGACAGGAAAAAAAGTCCTTTGGCAACAAACCATCTAGCAAGAAGACCTATATTTGATCTGTTTTTTGTAACCCTACCCTATGCTAGAAAAATTGTTAGTTGGGTTTTATTAACAAAATAAATCTTGGAAAACTAATACATTTTTTTAGTTTAATTTTCTAGTTAACCGCCGAATGGATTACTCATGGAATTTCTCTTGTTCATGGATTGCTAGTAAATTGAGACTCATCGGCACTTTATTTGTGAAAGATAGAATGGACATGAAGTCCATTAGAAACATATCAATGCACCAATTAAATTATCTAATTAAATGATCTGCAGAGGAATGAATTACAAAAAAGGTATTTCCTGGTGTATGGGTACAAAAAACAGAAGATCTAGGAAAAGGTATAAACTGTGTAGTGAATTTGTTACAATCTTACTTAAATCACTTTTTTGTGGGAAATTGATTTGTATCTACTATTATACATTTTTCCAAAATGGACTATGATTAAAATCTAATCCTGATGATGAACATTGACACACAAAAATAGAATTTGTCAAACTACATAATGCTGATCGTCTTGTCAGGTGCATCTGTAGTATTTCTTTGTATAAAGAGAAAATATGGCTTTCAATTAGATATGGCTGATTTAATGCTTGCATACCAGCTGCTCTTTTCAATTTGAATATTTTTTCTACTTCTGTGTCACTTTTTATTATGTTTCATGTTAATCATGGTTGAATCATTCTAACAGCTAATCATTCTACTCTTCTGTTGAACCAAACATGAGGCTTTGAAGTCTTTCCCATGGTCCCAGGTCATCAGGTTAACTCTCAAACTGTGTTTGGAATAGCAAATCAGCACCAGGGACAAACATGCAAAATTTTATTTTTGCATCTTCTTTCTCAAATTGTCCTAAAGCTGGAGTGCACTATGTGGTGTGTAGTTTACTTGGCTTTTTGGGATAGTAAATAAATATCAACAGTTCTTCGAATGGACTTCTAGTTCTTATATAAAGCTTGCCCTCTTTGAGCATGTTTCTTGTCAGCTAATGACATTTGTCATGAATAGGTTGGTCTGTATTTTACATGGTGAATGTAAATTTATGCAGTATAATCTCAATAGCTGTGTGAAAATGTTCATATGAATCAATTGGATGCATCGACAACCTATATATTTACAACCAAAAATCCGGTTTGGTATTTTGAATTTAAAAAGGGCAGGGTGTTCCACCAAATAAGAACTATTGAATAAAAGTTGGGATCAATTGTTGAGGTACCCTTTTTAAGAATAAAGAATTCATGGATAATTGTGTTTTGGTGAGGTAATAATTTTAATATATCTTAATAACGACCAATATTTAGTGTGAAGCCATGTGAATGCACTATCTAGTATGGTACTGAGCTGGAAGGAGGCAGAATAGATATATTTAGCAGATGTTACAGCTAGCTTTAGTAACCCTAGCTGGAGGAGGGGAGGGGGGAGATTTAAATAAGGTAGAGTTCTCACTTAAACATTGTCAAGGGACGGCACAGTGTTACAAGGTGTGTGCTTGAATCTTTGCTGAAGACAAAATTGCATTTTATTATGATGCTCCCCACAATTGATTCACTTGCTGCTCTTCCTTGTCTAGACTCAAACTTGCATAATGACCACTCTTGGGTGAAGGATTACTGGCTTCTGCGGGCAATGCCATGTCATGAGTAAGACAACTTTGGGAGTTCGTGGAGTGGTTAAAACTGCAAATAGTTTCAGAACTTTCAAGCTTTCGATCCATTTTCTTTTAGTTAACCTGACGCATGCAAACATATCAAACTTGGGGGCTATCCGAACCAGCCATACAGAGTTCTACATCTGTATTCAACCTGGGCCCTATTCAACCCTTTGTGAACTTGCTTTACTCTCTGAAAGCGCAACAACAACTTGCACTCATATAGCGCCCTTCACGTGGGCTGGCGTCCCCGGAGCGCTTCCCAGTGGCGGAGTGGGGCAACGATGTTGTCTTTTCTGCCCGGGATTGTGCTTTTTAACTATTCAGCTTCACTTCGCGCCCGCGTATCCGGCGTCGTGGGGAAGACCGCGCGCGGGCGGGGCGCGCGTACGCTTTCCTAAGTGGAAAGAAAGTGGCTGTCACAGGCGAGGAGCGGTGAAGATGCTCCGGCGGCGCTCGCCGGGCGCTGGCGCCGGCTGGTCGATGCGGTGGAACTGTGGTGTAATCAATCAATGAATCACTCAATCAATCAATCAATCAATCAATTACAGCTGCGAGGTCCACGTCAGCCTTTGAGAGAGGGCGTTTGAGTGTTGTCTCCAATGGGGGAGTGTGGAGAGGGAGACGCACACACACACACACACACACACACACACTGCGGCACGTCAGGGCCGGACATGCGCACCCACTGCGGACACACACACACACACACACAGACGGAGGGCGAGAGGAAGAGAGAGAGAGAGAGAAAGAAAGTTGTTGTGTTTTTTTTTTGGGGAAGTGAAAGCGAAGTGAGTAAAAGAAAAACGCGCTGCGCTTTCGGCTCACAATGTCCCGAGTTTAGCAGCGGGTGTGTCACGGTGTTGTTTCCTCGCAGACCAGAGCCAGACGGGGCTCCACTGCCAGACAAGTCGCCCAGGAAACTCCGGGCCACTCAGCCTCGGTGCAGACCCACTGCCTTTGCTCCTGTCCTCAACAGTGGGTACAGTCACAGATACAGTACATTGACAGCTGCAGCTGTTTTTGCTCACCATTATAATAATAATAATAATTAATAATAATAATAATGATCCTTTGCATTTGATAGAGCGCTTTTCACGTCGGGTAAGAGGACGTCCCAAAGCGCTGCACAGAACACACTGTAAAGTGAATTGATTGTGTATTTGTGGGCGAAGGCGGCAGACAATTGCGCACAGCGATGTCCCACAAACAGTCGTAGATTGAAAATGACCAATGAGTAAGGAAACTTGCCCAAGGTTTCGCCCTCTGCCTGGGATTGAACTCGGGTCTCTTGACCCCGACTGGACGTGTCAACCCCCTTAAACTCCCCCCTCAATCCCAACCCCAACCCTAACGAACACATTGAAGGTGGCAGTAACCCGGGGATCTTCAGAAAATCCCCAGACTTGTTGCGGGAGTCTTTTCTTTCCCAACTTTTTTTTTGTTCCCCAACACAGATTCTTCGAAATTTGATAATTAAATTCTTCTTTGATTCTCCTCTTCCTCCTCCTCCTCCTCCTCCTCTTCCCTCTTGCACAGCTCAAATTTCATTTGGTCTTTTATGTCAACTGGAAGAGGCAGCTCGAAAGGAAAACATCTTTTATTTTAACAATAATAATTCTACGTTTTGTTTGCACGACAGACCGATTAAACGAGGCGTCAGATCACAGTGCAGTTTGTTGCTTTCCCCTATGGATGGATGGGATGCACTTGGTTTGTTGAAGAATGTTGACAGACCTTTTGGGGGTTTTGCAATAGCAAATGGGACTTAAAATAGTGAAGTTGGCAAAGGGACCTCAGTCGTTGCGTTGTCTTAAGAGGCGAGAGTCGTAGTATAGAAAATGAGCCACTTTAAAACATTTTAAAACAAAGTGTTTGATTTTTTTTTCGCGGGGTGAGGTCAGGGTTGTATGTGATGCCGTGCCGATAAATAGTCTTGAATTCTACAATTGAAGCGGATGTTTTGACCAGTTGCAATATATTGCAAGCTGCAGGTTTGGAATTCATTTTATTGATGCAAGGAAATGAAGCTTCTCTCCAAAAACAAAATATGCAAAGAACCCTCGCCTCTCTCGCCTCAGTAGTTTAGTTGGTTACACCTGCACAACCTGTTTGACACGGCCACAAAGAGCAGGTAAGATCCCAGATATCACGAGACGTATGGACGATGAGGGCCTGCAGGTCTTTTAATCTCATATTTCACAATTAATCACATGTTTGTCTTCTCATTTCAACATCAAGCAGTTTCTGAAATTAATTTAGCATTCTGACCTCTATTACTCTCCTCTAGTTAATCGTTCCAGCTGTTCAGTACCCTCTGAAAAGAAATACTTTCTGTCTGTCCTAATATTATCCTTCAGAACCCAGAACCTGCTGCCCTGGTGTCTCCAGTATGTGGTGAGCTCTCTCTTCAGTGCCAGAATGGCAATATACAGCAGTCAATTTGATCTTAGCATTCTTGGACTTACAGATAGGGGGGGAAAAAATCAGCTGTTGTTTCTGCTCGTATTAAATTCTGATTTCATAACCTGCTTTAATCATCCTGCTTCACTTTACAGCCATGTAATTATACTGTATTGAATTAACATAAATTGAACATTTAATTATTGCATTGAGCCTATGATGCACATTCCTCATACAAATACAGTAGTAGCAGCTTGTCAGAAAATGACACGTAGTCTATAAATTCTGATGGGTAATAAAAGAAAGGATGTGCTGTCAAGTAAAGACTATTTTTTGTGTACTCTTTACTTTGCTTATTACTTCTGCATAAAGGAATGTTATAAGTATTTGGGATATTTTATGATCGAAAACAGAATAGTATTATCACTATTTTGTATGAATTGCATGACATTGCTCAAACTAAATATAAGAATCTGATGTGGGCCTTTTGATTCATATGTATTAGCTTGCTTTAAATGGGTGAAGATTCTAGGCTATTTTATCCCTTGTTGGTGTAGATGTATCTGAAAATTGTTGGTGGAATATGAGTAGAATGGTCTGATTCTGAAAGTTGTTAAATCCTTCCTTTTCATGTTTAAGACTTGAAGGGTGCTATATAAATGCAAGTTGTTGTTGATGTCGTGACTATAAAGTTAAAAGTAGAACCCTTTCGATACTGAAGCTAAATTGGGAATGGTCATGTAAGCTGGCTATAATGGGAAGTAATATAGTCGTCATGAGTAAGCACCTAGTACTTGATTGTGGTGATCATTGTGGTGCTGAACCAATCTAATTTTAGGCAAAAAAATGTAAGGATTTTATATTGGTATTAAAAATCAAATTAATTTTAAGCGTTAAACAGTTCTAAATTTATCCTATTCAGCTCTTTGTGTTGTATAATGTATAAAATATATTCACTATTTATGTTCTTGAGAACCATGAATTGGTGTAGGAGGCATTTCACTAATAGTCAATTGTAAGCATTGTTAGTCAGCCAACAGAATCTTTTTCCTCCATCAGAGAAAAAATTCTCATTGTGATGCTTAATTTTCAAGTAAATTATTTTCGAGAGTTAGGGCCTCCATTGTCTACTTACCACATACATAAAAGAGCCAAAATGATTCTACTGATCTGGATTTTAAAGGGACTAAAAGTTTTTTTTAATGGGTAAATTACCTTATGAGGAAATTTTCTGATTCAATGTACTATGATTCTGACTGATTCTAATGCTGATACAATGTTTGTTCTTTTGTTTGTAAAGTCTGTGCGAGATTGAGTTATTCCTTTATACAGCAGGTCATGGGGTGGGATGTGCATGTGCTGTTTTATATCCTCGTTACTTTATCCACCGTTTTCTTGAAGGTATTTGATTCCTTTTGCCTTCTTTATGCAAACTTCAGCACCTTGTCTAAGTCATTGTTCTTCATAATTGAGCTTTGACAGCAATGTCAGTATAGCCGAATATAGCCCAATTGCATCCCTGCCTGAGATCAACTAACTTAGCAGAGACCTGAAACCTAGGAGTTGAAAGCTTAAATATTCAGTGGATAAACTTGCTAAACCAGTGAGTGAGCTGAGATTAGTTGATTTTAACAATACTCATAAATAATGATCTATTTAAGTCAGATTAATAAGTGTGTATGTAATTCATGTTGCCATGTTTTCAATGTTGGGTAGTGTGGAGAAAGTATTGATGTAGCATTAAACACTGAGTGGCAATACTCGAGGGTATTAAAATAAGTAGATTTGAATTTTACTGAAAAGTCACATATGTATCAGTGAGTGGATTATAATGCTAGAAGTACTGATTCTGGCACTTGGATTCTTTAAACTGCAAGTGTGTGGAAAGTTTCAGTGAAATCTGTTATATATCAGCATGTGGAAACTTTCTGATGATGTAATTGAGATGGCCACTGAAGAAAGGTCTTGTCATTGGAATTTCTTAACGGCTAGAAATCCTTGTATTATGAACAGTGGAGTGGGCAAGTTGGCCATTATCGAAAATAATTGAAGAGATATAATTATGCTGCAGGTGTTAGGTTTTTTGGACCATTTCAAAGTTATGCTCAGTTGCAGCTTTCTTTCCACTACAAAGTTTCCCCTTTTGAATCTGTGCCAATTAGTTTTTTTTTAAAAAACGCCATCTGCTGATCTCATTCATGCTGTTCATATAGGCATGCATTCCCTTAATTGAGATCTGGTGGTGGATCTATGCTGTCAAATTGAGATAAATTGTCCAGTTTAGACTGTTATCTTTTACTAAGCCACCTAGATCATTTAGAAACCTGAGTATCTAAGGTTAAAAAAAAATCCCGCAATGATTTGATGCAGCTATTTCAAAAACCCTTTTTGTTACTTCAAACTAAAAATAGAGTGGAGATTTTGGGGGGTAAGATTTTGTCAAAATGTTTTTGTTAAGTAGCATTTTTTTGAGTAGCCGGGTATCTGATACATACTTTGTCATGTTTAAATAATATCCAAATCAGACAGAGATTCCACATATACCACCTACACATTAAAATTTCCCTGTGTGTGGAATGGAATGCAGACTCTCCATAAGTTGACAAGAGCCAAGGCTTAGGGATCTTAGAGTGTGTGTTGGTATAATGGTTGGGTTTAACCGGCTAAATCCACATAGCTTGCTGGCAAGCTTGAGTGGCCAGGATGGTGGAAACATTGAAGGAATACTTTGTAATTAACAACTACAAATGATATCTATGACATGAAATATAACAGTGCTATAACTTTAGTTACAATGTAAAACATTGTTTCAGCAGAAGGGAAATCATTTCAGCCGCTTAAGTTCTATAAAAATAATCATTGCATTTGATATAGCGCCTTATCCCGTCTTCTAGATATCTCAAAGCGCTTCACAAAATATGCTGTGAAGTGAATTGACTGTATATTTGTGAGTTGACTTGAAAGGGATAAATTAAACAAATGGTGTTTTTTTTTACATATTCAATAGTAAAATCTTTAGTTTTCCCTCGTTGGTAAAAAGATGCATTTCTCAAATGCATTCCAAAACATCTTTCACTCACGCTCCACCTTCTATTGAATGATTTCATTGTTTCCTCAGATCTCCATTGGCTGAGATGACAGGTTTATGACTTGGGTTTAGACTTATGCCAATGCTGCTTTTTGCAGGCCACAGAAAGTGATTTTCTTTCCCCTAAGGCCCATGGCCAGGTGTTCACTTTGATGGCAAAACAAATAGAAACTGAGTGATATATATATATACACACACACACCCATCATTCTCGCCCCACCCCACACATACACTAACTAGAATATCGAAATGGAGATCTTAATCTTTAATACCTGGACTTTAATTTCATTATTCTTGCAGAAAACCCACCTACTTATCTTCTGGCAGCTGCTACATGGGGTTTGTTTATGATTTCACTGTTGTTTATGATTATGGTACTCGCCTCGCAAGCGACACATCTGGGTTGAATTGACAACAGGGCGAAATGTTGTGCAAGTTTCCTTACTCCACACACCTCTGTTTACGTAAGTAGGAGCCCGGTTGTTAGTTGACTTTCTGGGGTAACAATTCCATTAAAAAAAATTGGTCACTTCAATCCATGACTGTTTATGGGACACTGTTGTGCGAAATTGGCTGCCACGTTTCGCCCACAAAATATACAGGCAATTCACTTTACTATATATTCTGTGAAGAGCTTTGAGACGTCGCGAAGATGTAAATAAGACACGATATCAAACTCAAGGATTATTATCATTATATTCTGCTTTTTGGTAAGGGATCACTTATTGTTTGTTTCAGACTTTGGTTTGATGAATAACAGTACAATCTTATTTATCATTTTTCCTCATGATGCATGATGACCAGAATGCAATTTCAATCATTTGAATTCTTCAATTTCTGTAGCACTTTCAAAGCTATTTTGATGACCAGCCCCTGTTGTTTTAGATGATAATTCCTGTATTTCGTATCAGGAGGTTGTCTCAAAATGCTTCACAGAATTTACTGAAAGTGTATATTTAGCAGGCTAATGTAACAGCCAAACTGCACACCAATATGAAGTAAATTACTTATTTTATCTGGGGAATGGTAGTTATCTGGGGGATTCAACAAACTCCCTTTTCTTTTTGAATGTTGCCACGGGATCTTTAACATCCTCCTGAACAGGTAGATGGTTTAATGCCACCTTGAGAAGGATGGCACCTCTGGCAATGCAGCATTTCCCAAGCACTGTACAGAGCGCTACCTAAACTGTGAGTTCAAAGTCCCAACGTGATGCTTTAATCACAAACTTCTGGCTTGAATTCAAGAGTATTACCAGGCTGACCTAAAACTTTGGTAACAGATTAAAATGAAAGTATGCAAATGTGCAGGAACTTTATCAAAAATGCTCACCACAACTACAATCTTAATATAATGCAAAGGAGGTGAAAACTGCTTATAAACTGTATAGGTGATATTTTTAAAAAGTTTGCATGATTGAATTTTCAGATTTTGGCAAAATAAATTGAATACATATTTAAAGATTTCTTTGGCTTTCATGATATATCAAACAAAGTTTCCAAACTTGCTATTTTTTTTAGAAATTAATCTAAATTTAGTGGCTCTAGAGTTAGTCAGAATACCATAAACATGTTAAGAAGAGGTGAAAGGCGCTCCATAAATAGATTCTTGTTGTTGTTGTGTTATGGTATTCTAACAAGTCT